CAAATAAGTTAAAATTTCTGGCACGTCTTGTTGGTAGTACATTCATATACAGTGGTACGTTGGTTCTCAAACTTAATCAGCTCCGGAAGTCGGTTTGACTTCCGAAATGTTCGAAAACCAAAGTGCGGCTTCTGATTGGCACAGGAGCCGTGGAAGCAATAGCCGACAGCCACATTGGATGTCTGGCTTCCGAAAAATGTTGAAAACCAGAACACTTACTTCCGGGCTTTTGGTGTTTGGGAGCTGAAATGTTCAAGAACCAAGGCATTTGAGAACCAAGGTTCCACTGAACCTATTTGGGCTGAATTACATACACTTATTATAGGTCCGCATAGTAAAAGCTATGGTTTTCCCAGTAGTGATGTATGGAAGTGAGAGCTGGACCATAAAGAAAGCTGATCGCCGAAGAATTGATGCTTTTGAATTATGGTGCTGGAGGAGACTCTTGAGAGTCCCATGGACTTGCAAGAAGATCAAACCTCTCCATTCTGATGGAAATCAGCCCTGAGTGCTCACTGGAAGGACAGATCCTGAAGCTGAGGCTCCAATACTTTGGCCACCTCATGAGAAGAGAAGACTCCCTGGAAAAGACCCTGATGTTGGGAAAGATGGAGGGCACAAGGAGATGGTTGGACAGTGTTCTCGAAGCTACCAGTGTGAGTTTGACCAAACTGCGGGAGGCAGTGGAAGACAGGAGTGCTTGGCATGCTCTGGTCCATGGGGTCACGAGGAGTCGGACACGGCTAAACGACTAAACAACAACAATTATGTATTCCCATATCAGTTAGGGCTTTGCCAAGGAAAACCATGCAACGGAACTTGCTTTCAAACTGAGGAGCGTTCAGGACACATCCCACAGTACTGAGTGGCATATTTATCTTTCTCAACATTGCCTGTGCAAACATTCCCTGCTACCTTACCCCCTGCCTTGGACGGTTCAATTAAATCGGCGATTAACCCATAACCAGCATTCTGAAGGGGTGCTGAACGTGATGGCGAGTGCAGAATCCTGCTTCCTGAGGATCCCGGTATCCATTTTTAAGAGCAAGCTTCTAATCCTTATGTATCTGTGAAGATACAATTGGATGGGAAGGCATGGGGAGTTTCTGCCAGCACCTCATAAAGTAACCAAACAAACCCCTGTGTTGCAAAGAGAACGTCAGCAATGTCTAGGCAACACGATGACCATGTACATACGCAATAGACAATCTTTTATAGAATTCCTTCAAACCATAACAAGTCCAAAATGAAATATTTAGTCTCAAAGTCTCTGAAAATCTTTAAATGAAGCAAGGTACCAGACTTTGTAAAAGGGACACGGGTGGCGCTCTGGGTTAAACCACAGAGCCTAGGACTTGCCGATCAGAAGGTTGGTGGTTCAAATCCCCACGACGGGGTGAGCTCCCGTTCCTCGGTCCCTGCTCCCGCCAACCTAGCAGTTTGAAAGCATGTCAAAGTGCAAGTAGATAGATAGGTACTGCTCCGGTGGGAAGGTAAACGGTGTTTCCGTGCGCTGCTCTGGTTCGCCAGAAGCGGCTTAGTCATGCTGGCCACATGACCCGGAAGCTGTACGCCGGCTCCCTCGGCCAATAAAGCGAGATGAGCGCTGCAACCCCAGAGTCGGTCACGACTGAACCTAACGGTCAGGGGTCCCTTTACCTTTACCTTACCAGACTTTGTACGATGAAAGACAAGCTGTGAAGCTTTGGGTATTCAGCAAATATGATGTCCAACACTGAAAAGTGATTCCGGATACTGACTACTGCTTCGTAGAATTCTTCGTCAGTGTGGTGGGAGGATATAGAATTGCTTCATAAACCCATCTTATTTCAAATGAATGTATGTAAATGAAAATATCAAATGCTGTGGAACAGTGCTCATGTAATAATGTAGTCACTGCCCAGCAGTTTCCACAACATTTGTGTTTGTGCGGGCCTGCCTCCCCTTGGTGGTTTAAGTCTTCCCAATTAGAGCATGTTTCATTTGTCCCACAAATCTCCATGGGACTCGTGGCAGAGCCCCCTCCTTCACCTGCACCCTGGCTTCCAATCCGTGGCCCCAGTGGCATAGAATCTTAGTTGGAAGGGACCCAAGGATCAATCTAGTCCAGCCCCCTGCAATGCAGGAATATGCAGCAGTCCTGTATGAGGACCGAACCTGCAACCTTGCTGTTATCAGCACCGCCAACCAGCTGAGCCATCCCATGAGCTGAATGTGGTCGTCTTGGGCCAGGAGTTGGCTTCACCTGTTGAGCAGCAGCCTGAAGGAGCAGAAGGCAAAGTGACTCCACCTGCGGCTGATCAGCCTCCTTGCTTCTGATGAGAACCAGCTGGCTTCAGCTTTCTTAAGCAGGGTTTCCAGCCTCAGTCGGTTGCTGGAAACAATATTCCTCGTTCCTGGCTAGGCCTCACTGCTTCTTGCTTCTCGTGACCTTGGATCCTTGGCTTGTCTGGCTGGATTGTCTGACTACATGAACCGAGATATTCCTGACCTTAGGACTGGACTGGACCTTGTGTATTGACTCTGCCTCCAGGCAAAGAGAAGGGACGACCCAGGAAATGTTTCTATACATGTGAGTACCTTTTGATGATCCATGGAAGCTGCTGGGAGCTTTCACTGGTGTTGCCTCTAGCTGCGTGAAGGCTGCTTTGTGGAGTGCCCAGCTGATACAAATGGGCATATTTTGGAGTGCTCCATGCATTCTCTTCATCCGATGCAATAGGCCTTTCCATATCCATGGGCCAAAACCAAACCATTTCCATATGCAGACACTGTCTGCCAGATTGAGATGACAGTCTATCATCTATCTATCTATCTATCTGTCTGTCTGTCTGTCTGTCTGTCTGTCTGTCTGTCTGTCTATCTATCTATCTATTCCAATTTCATTAATCTCAAAAGCCCTAGGAAGTTTGCTACTTATTGCGCCCACTTTACAGATGGGAGGAACCCAGCTGTGATTTCAGAGGGATTTGCTGAAGGCCACCAAACTGGTATCTGAATCCCGAAGTCCTCCTCTCTGTTAACTGGCTTCGTTTTTGCTGTGCACACATCGTACATTTCAAGAACAGTCCTGGGAACTGTAGTTTAAGGGTGCTGGAGATTTTAGCTCTGAGAAAACTACCGTTCCTAGGATTCTATGCTTGTGATTTACATAGAAATTGCATGGGGAGTTTATTACGGTTCCTGTGCAGAAAGCAGAGCACCCTATCATTTAAACCAGAAAGTGGAGCAAACCAACATATAGGTTTGTGTGTGAGAGAGATCTTCCTTCCATCCTTCTTTTGTAGAATCACAGAAATGTAGACTTTGGAAGGGACCCTGAAAGTCATCCAGTCCCAGGGCCAAAATTAGGCTTTCTGTCACCTGGGGCAAAGACCTAGTTTGTCATACACACACCATGTGTTTGCGTACACACACAAAAAACCCATATTTGTTTATAAAGGACATTAAAAGGAGCTTGAAAGTGGCCGGAGAAGAGCTGTATCTCCAGTAGTAAAACTGTCTGTGTGTACAGTGCCGGATTTACATACAAGCTAAACAACCTATAGCTTAGGGCCCCACTTTCTTGGGGCCCCCCAAAAAAATTAAAGGAAAAAACCACTAGATGTACATTTCCAAAATAAAAGATAAACAAATAAAATAAAACCTACATAGAGCAAGTGTTTAGTGTTGTGTCGGCTCCTATGATGTAAGTAATGGGCTAGCCTGCTCCCTGAAATATCACTGGTTTACAGTGGTACCTTGGCTCTCAAACTTAATCCGTTCCAGAAGTCTGTTCCAAAACCAAAGTGTTGCAAAACTAAGGCGCGCTTTCCCATAGAAAGTTATTGCCAAATGCCAATATTAAGTTTGTTATGAAGAAAAGAATCATTTTAAGTTAGAGCTTAATAATTATTTCACTATTGATATAAGTCTTCTTAATTGTCTTTCACGATTAACATACTTTATGTATTTTATCAAAGTAATTGTTGAACTGAAATACAATTTTTTGTTATGTGCCAATGGCTTTAGATACCTATTAGGTCCATAAATGACCATAAAGCATCTATTCAACACAAAAAAGCAGCGACAATTTGTTGTTGACAAAGGACAGCTGGACATATAAACTGGGCCCCATTACCTGCAGTAGCTTAGGGCCTCATCAAACCTAAATCTGGCCCTGAATGGGAGTGCACCAGTTTCTCCTTTGTGCCAGCTGTTTTGGCAGAGTATCGGTGCTAGAGAAATTGCTGGGTGCGTGCTCAGATGCATATTTATTTTATTTTATTTATATGGGGGCGGTCTCAGGGCAGTTCACAGAATAAGCATACATGTGGGGAAACTCAGAAAGTTCGTTGTAGTCAAGTCCTATTCATAGCAGACTCATTGAAATGAACGAAACTTTGTCAATCATGTTCATGAACACCAACTGATCTACTGTAAGCACGATTAGCATGGGCTGGCTCCATCTAGCTATGGATATTGCAGGGGTGGGCAGGGTCCATGATAATCATAGAAAAACTTTGTATGTAATGGGGGAATTTATGCGCACAGCGCAAAAGGGTGGAGAAGGATTATTTCTTTTTCTGTGTTGACTTTCCTATTGTAAGCTGATGGGGCCGATCCTGGGTGTGTATATAAAACAACGCCCAGGGGAAGGTGATCCTTGGGCGACTGGGGCGAGAGCGAAGAGGGGCGGATGGAGAGCCAGTCCCCGAGGGGGCGGGCAAGGCGCGCTCCCTCCGCGGCGCTGGGAAGGCCCTTCTTCCTGGGAGGGGAGGACCGGGGAGGAGAAGGAGGGAGCTGCGAGCCAAGGCGGGGGCGATCCCACCCACCCGCTCGCCCCACTGACTCCCGTCGGACAACTGCTTCCTCTCGCCTGCTGGTGGGATCCTGCTGCCCCGGCGCGCCATAACGCACCATCGGCGGCGGAGGAAGCCTCGGGAGAGCCGCTCGCTTTTCCTCCTCCTCCGCAGCAGCCAAAACTTCTCTCCAGCTCGGAAACCTCCCGCTCCGCCGACATGGGCAAAGCGGGCGCCGCTTTCCATGTCTTCGGGCTGATCCTGTTCGCCTCCGCGGTTTGGGGTAAGCGAGTTAGTTTGTTGTTGTTTAGTTATGCCCGACTCTTCGTGACCCCATGGACCAGAGCACGCCAGGCACTCCTGTCTTCCACTGCCTCCCGCAGTTTGGTCAAACTCGTGCTGGTAGCTTCAAGAACACTATCCAACCATCTCGTCCTCTGTCGTCCCCTTCTCCTTGTGCCCTCCATCTTTCCCAACATCAGGGTCTTTTCCAGGGAGTCTTCTCTTCTCATGAGGTGGCCAAAGTATTGGAGCCTCAGCTTCAGGATCTGACCTTCCAGTGAGCACTCAGGACTGATTTCCTTCAGAATGGATAAGTTTGATCTTCTCGCAGTCCACGGGACTTTCAAGAGTCTCCTCCAGCACCAGAATTCATAAGCATCAATTCTTTGGCGATCAGCCTTCTTTATGGTCCAGCTCTCACTTCCGTACATCACTACTGGGAAAACCATAGCTTTAACTATACGGACCTTTGTTGGCAAGGTGATGTCTCTGCTTTTTAAGATGCTGTCTAGGTTTGTCATTGCTTTTCTCCCAAGAAGCAGGCGTCTTTTAATTTCGTGACTGCTGTCACCATCGGCAGTGATCATGGAGCCCAAGAAAGTAAAATCTCTCACTGCCTCCATTTCTTCCCCTTCTATTTGCCAGGAGGTGATGGGACCAGTGGCCATGATCTTTGTTTTTTTGATGTTGAGCTTCAGACCATATTTTGCGCACTCCTCTTTCACCCTCATTAAAAGGTTCTTTAATGAGTTAGCTAGCGGCGCGCAAAAAAAGGCGCCTCTCTCGTGCGAGCTTTTCCACTGGCGAGCATCTCCCGTCTCTTTTCACGCATCTCCTTCCCTAGCAAGATTCCCAGTTTTAGACTCCTTTGCAAGCCAAGAAGGGAAACTTGGAAGGCGACTTTCCTTCAGGGAAACTTTGTGTGTGATCTTTTCAATTCTTTTCTTTGAATCACTGTTTGGAGCAAAGCAAGCCTTTGCAACTCCCTGTCCTTAGGGAAAGGGTCAAATCCGGATTTACGTGAGTGATTTGTTGGGAGTAGGTTCTCCTCCTAGAGGCGTGCTTCCTCACACCCCACCCCTCAGGGTCCAAGTTACTTTGGAGGTCTAGGAATGCCAGCAAGGATTTAATTTAATCTGGATTACCACCCCTTTTGCAGAAATAAGGTTGCTTCTGTTTGTTGAGCTGTCATTCGGATTCGTTCGCAGGGAGGTTATACGAGGTCGGTGCCAAGCAGTTGTTAATCCCACACTTTTCCGTTGAGTTTCCCTGTCACTTTACTTACCGCGGAAAAGTTTGATATTTTAGAAATGCATGTTTCTTGCAGCTCGGACTCTGCTTTCTAAGCGCGGGGCAAGCGCAAGTGAGAACGAGCCCTATAATTGCACAACCTGGAACTTGCTGGCATGCAATTAAATCCCACATGCAAAAGAGTAAGACTTTTCTTTAAAATGTTTTTTTCTGTTTTATTAAATTTGCTTAGTAACATAACATTATTATATATATTCTATATAACAAAGAATACAGAACAAAATTCATTCATACTACAATGCATAACTACATAACATTAATATATATGGTTTCTGAAAAAAAGGCTTACACAACAAAATCAATTCAAAATACCATTCGGTTTACTTCCCCCCTCCCTCCCCACTCCAGCCCTCCCCGCCCCCAGTCAGATCGTCCTTCATATCTTTATCCATGTACACAGTCTGTTCATTCGAGCTTGTATGTTAGGGTTGGCTTCCCCTCTTTCTATCCAGTTCCTGTAAAATGCCCATTTATTTTTGATTCAGTAAGACTTGAATCAGTTTAAAAAAACTTTTGCCAATGGTGTTTGCCATATCTGATACCTTTTGCCATAACCCCTTTGAGGGTCCCCCCCTCCAATCAAGCAGTGTATACATTTTATGACATATTTATAAACTATCTTCCAAGAAGTTCAAGGTAGTGTACATGGTTCTCCTCCTCCCCGTTTCATCCTCACAACAACCTTGTGAGGTAGGTTCAGCTGAGAAATGGTGACTGGACCAAGGTCACCCTGTGTCTGAATGACCGTTTTGCAGTCTTAAGCTCCCGTCTGTTTCCTTTGGCGTTCTAAAGATTCATGCCGTCTGTGGAGCTGTTAAGGCCGGTACTTGACTTGACTCTCCCCATCGTAACTTGCAAGGCTCAGCGTCCAGTCTACAGGCTCATCCAGGCAACTGCCATTGCATCCCATAATATCAGAGGAAGGATCCTCACGCAGAACAGTGCCCGCTTCTTTTCTCAAAACAGTATAAAAGGTGACTCGAGGCAGGGGCGGCTTAATGGCGCTTCCAGACTGTCTCTGTTTTCGGTATTGCATACCGGCCAATTGAGGTTGCGCAATTACAGGTGATGAGTAGGAAAAGTTGCACAACAAACCTGCTTCCCCCCAAAGACAAGACTTTTTGTGATAAAGAAAGTCATGGGGCAATGCCCTAGAAAGCTTGATGCATCTTCCTGGCCAACAGGATGAATGCTCAGTAAAGAAGTTGTCAGGAAGTGACTAAATTTGCAAATGGGATGGCTAGAACAGGGGTCAGCAAACTTTTTCAGCAGGGGGCCGGTCCACTGTCCCTCAGATCTAGTTGGGGGCCGGACTATTTTTTGAAGGGGAAAAAAATGAACGAGTTCCTATGCCCCACAAATAACCCAGAGATGCATTTTAAATAAAAGCACACATTCTACTCATGTAAAAACACCAGGCAGGCCCCACAAATAATCCAGAGATGCATTTTAAATAAAAGGACACATTCTACTCATGTAAAAACACGCTGATTTCCAGACTGTCTGCGGGCCGGATTTAGAAGGTGATTGGGCTGGATCTGGCCCCCGGGGCCTTAGTTTGCCTACCCATGGGCTAGAATATCACCAGCTCTTTGAGACTTTCAAACAAGACAAAAAAAATGGATTTAACAACGAGCCCTCAAAATTAGAAAAGGAATTGTTAAATAATACCAAAATCATTTCCAGAATGTACCGACTCCTCCTTGACTGGGAAGTCAAGGAGGATGAGGTGAAGGCGGTAATGATTAAATGGGCACAAGACATCGGACGCACCATCATGATGAGTGAATGGGAGACCCTTTGGAAAACTAACATGAATTTTACGGCATGTTACACCATTAAAGAAAACATGATGAAAATGCAGTTTAGATGGTACCTTACACCATCAAAACTCTCCAAGATGTATAAAAATATTTCAGACAAATGCGGGCCGTGTGGAGAAACAAAAGGAGATATGTACCATATGTGGTGGACATGCCGAAAAATTAAAGAGTTCTGGAACCTCATTTATGATGAGATGAAAAAGATCTTTAAATTAACATTCTCAAAGAAGCCAGAAGCATTTCTGCTTGGAATTGTAGGCAGTGATATCCTGAAAAATAGAAGAGAAATCTTTTTATATGCGACAGCCGCTGCCCGGTTATTAATTGCATCAAACTGGAAAGGGGGGAAAGTACCAACAGTAAGGGAATGGCAGAATATGTTACTAGACTATGCAGAAATGGCTCAATTGACAAATAGATTAAGGGGAAATACAAAACAATCATTCGCACAAAAATGGGATATGTTCAAGAAATACCTACAAAAATATAATAACGACATAACATCTATGGCAGCGTTTGAATGACCCTTGTGTAAATTAAACATTGATAAATAAGGGGAAATGGTACGATTTGTTATAAGAAAGTATTAGAAAATATATTAAGAGTAAGGTAATAAGTACATTCAGTGTTGTAAATGTAAAGTACATCGGGAAATGACATAGTTTAGTTTTTTGTATTCTACTTTGGTTTATTTTTGTTTAGTTAGAAAGTATAAGAAAAGAACGCGTATAAGTACAAGTTTAAATCAATAACAGTATAATTCTTTAAGAGTGTTATCAGTTTTACCTTTTCTTTGTACGTGTATTTAAGATTGTGTATGATATCCTTGGATGTCTAATAATAATAATAATAATAATAATAAATTTGCAAATGGGTTGTTGAGATACAGCAAGCCTGCAGCATACAAGCATTTAACTTGTATGCGTTCAGCTTTCCATGCTTGGCAATTAAAAAAATTAAAAGAGCTGGGAGCTATAGCTCTTGTGAGGAGGTAAACTACAGTTCCCGGGTTTATTTGCTTTAAATGTTGGAGGTGTTTGTTCGGATGGTCCCATCCCCAAATTTGGTCTCTTCCCTGCTGAAACATGGACATGCTGTTCACACACCAATATTCCTTACACCCACTCACTGCCTCCACCCCTGCCAAATACTTTAATCTCATTCTATTCCTGTGGTAATTTCTGGAGCTACATTTGTTTTATGGCTCTGTGAAACCTTGACCTTGGCACTGGTTTACCTCCAGAGATCTAGCCCCTCTCCTGAAATGCTGAGAGTATGCTGAGCTTCTCCTTTCCCTAATACAATATGGCCAGGTATTGATTTTAGGTTTGCAGAGAGATGGAGTCACCGCCTTTTCCCATAGGACATTCGTAGTTCATTTCCCCACCCCTATTGTGTCCTGGGCAGAGTACGTGCATGTTAAGCGGTTTGGCAAATTCTGATAATTCTTCCAAAGGAAGTCTTGAATCATTCCCTTTGACCTGAGCAAATAGTTAACAGAAGTGTTTTCTAGACGGGCAGGAAAGTGGATTAGGACAGTCTGTGGGTGGGAAACGAGCATGGGAACGGAATTGCATTTCGTAATGACTGTTATTTATTTATTGAATTTATATACTGCTCTATACCTGGAGGTCTCAGGGTGGTTCACAGAAAAGATCGCAATATTTTAAATCAAAACAAGAACAATAACCCAATAACTCCCCCCCCCCAAAGAGCCACATTTTAAAAGGGTATAGGATAGCCATCAGATCAACCAAAGGCCTGGTTAAAAAGGAACGTTTTTGCCTGGTGCCTAAAGTCCTATAATGAAGGTGCCAGGCGAACTTCCCTGGGGAGAGCATTCCACAGACAGGGAGCCACTGCAGAGAAGGCCCCGTTCTCGTGTTGCCACCCTCCAGACCTCTCAAGGAGGAGGAGGAGGGCCTCAGAAGATGATCTCAGGGTCTGGGTAGGTTCATATGGAAAGAAGCAGTCCTTGAGGTATTGCGGTCCTGAGCCGTTTAAGGCTTTGTAGTCAAAACCTGCACTTTGAATTGGTTCCGGAAACTAATTGGTAGCCAGTGCAGTAAGACCAGGAGCGGTGTAATAATGCTCAAACCGACTTGCTCTGGTGAGCAACCTGGCCACTGAATTCTGCACTAGCTGAAGTTTCATTCTCCCCCCACCCCTTAGGATACCTTTATTTATTTATTTATTTATTTATTTATGGAAATTAAACAAAACATATTATCTTAAAACATATCATCCTTAATTCCACCCCCCATTTCCCCCTCCCCCTCCTTCCCATAAAACAAGCCACCCCCCCCCGCCCCCCAATTTCTCTCAGTTCCAATATCTGATAGTAAATACTATTCTCTGCATGTTAGAGTTGTATAAATCCTTAATTTGTCTAACTGGTTATTATCAATGAAAAGTTTGTGAGTGTTTATTCAAAACCTGCCAAGGAGACCAATTCACTTTGTTGCATCTTTAGATACTTTGTAAAATATTCCCATTCCTTTTTAAAGTCACAGTTATCCTTGTCAATTTATGTGTCAATATTGCCAGTTCTGCATAGTCCATCAGTTTCTCTTGCCATAATTCTTTGGTCGGAATTTCCTCAGTCTTCCATCCTTGTGCTATTAAGACGCTCGCCGCTGTTGTCGCATACATGAAGATACTTTTCAACTTCTTTGGCAGGTCTTTCCCCACAATCCCTAACAAAAATGCTTCAGGTTTTTAAACAAATGTTAGATGGAACATTTTCTTCAATTCATTGTATATCATTTCCCAAAATTTCTTAATTTCATTGCAATCCCACCACATGTGGTAAAATGTCCCCTCCTTTTTCTTATACTTCCAACACAAATTTGAGCTAGTTTTATACATTTTTCCTAACTGCACTGGTGTCATATACCATCTATACATCATCTTCATATACGGTGGTACCTCAGGTTACATACGCTTCAGGTCACATACGCTTCAGGTTACAGACTCTGCTAACTCAGAAATAGTACCTCGGGTTAAGAACTTTGCTTCAGGATGGGAACAGAAATTGTGCTCCGGCGGCAGCAGGAGGCCCCATTAGCTAAAGTGGTGCTTCAGGTTAAGAACAGCTTCAGGTTAAGAATGGACCTCCGGAATGAATTAAGTACTTAACCCGAGGTACCACTGTACTCTACATTTCTTTGGGGGCTCAAGCAGAGAAAGGTCTTTGCAGCAACCTTGATCCTTTTATCCAGAGACTCTGGGGAATGAACCTGAGAGCTTATGCAGCCAAATCTTGTGTTTGTAACTCTTAAGCTTCCAAATGGCGCACAGGAAAAGATTTAAGCCATCCTGCCACTTGCTTCCATCTAATGAAGTGAAGTAAAAGAACAGCTACGGAAACATCAACAGGCCACACGTCTTATGTCTTGTCCCTGTGTTTCTGTACAAACAGCTGCGTACAGAAACATACAGTGCCATGCACTGGAGATCACTTCAGCTAATAAGAACATTCCATTCCTTTTCATTGGTGCCTGAGTGCAAGTGGGACCTACAACAATGTGTTGTAATACAGTATATCCTCGCTTCCTAGTAAGAGAGTGCGTGTTGAGAATATCAGCCAGCCAGCCAGCCATGCTCCTGTTCAGGATACCCTAAGCTGTAAGAAGCTCAAGCAGGCAAATTATCTATCTCCCTCCTGCCTCCTCCTTACTTTAGTATATTTGTAAGGTTCCCCTCAATTGACTCTCAACATTTCAGGACTTGTGAGAAGCCATCAAGCATGCTTTTGTGTTCTGTATTTGTGGGTGTTGGGGCCTTTTGAATTACCGTATATAAAAAAAGTATTGTGCCTCTGCCTGCCTTGGTGTAGAGTGCCTTCCTGACTCCCATTTTATTGGCACACACTACCTGAACTTGCTGTTTGTGGGACAGACTATCATATGATTCTTGAGGCCACATTAGCTACGACAGACACATGTCACTCTTCATGCGCCTTCCCTGCTCATGTATCTAGCAAGGAGTAGGATATATCAGAACTGGGGATGGAGGGAACTGGCTGGAGGAAGTGGCGGCAAAGTGGGTGGTGGTGGGGATGGACTCAGAACCCATCTCTGGTATGTTGTCTTTGTAAGTAAAATCCTTCCCCTCTACTTTATCGGACCCTCAAAGTGTCCCTGTTTTCCAGGGACAGTCTGGGATTTACAGAAGCTGCCCAGGTTTCTGATTTGATCTCAGATTGTCCCACTTTTCCTTAGGGCACCTTTATTTTCATCGGAGAAATGTTGTAGGATACAGTCATTCCTCTTGTTAAGTTTGCTTCAGGTTGACTCTTTTCAGGTTGCGTCCCGCAGCGACCCAGAAGTAACGGAACGGGTTACTTCCGGGTTTCGCCGCTCGCGCATGCGCAGACGCGGCAAGTCGCTACCCGCAGACGTGCAGATGCGGGTTGTGTTCTGCTCATGATGCGAACGGGGCTCCGGAACGGATCCCGTTCGCATCCAGAGGTACCACTGTATATGGAGTTTTGTGACCACCCAGCCAAGGAGGTAACTATACAACCTTTGGAAGACATCTGAAGGCAGCCCTGTATAGGCAAGTTTTTTCCACAATGTTTAATGTTTCATTATTTTTTATATATATGTTGGAAGCTTCCCAGAGTGGCTGGGGCAACCCAGTCAGATAGGCGGGGTATAAATAATATAATTATTACGGCATTGGCCCAAATATAAGCCGCACCTGAATATAAGCCACACCTTTAACATTCAAGGGGGGGGGAGAGAAAAAAGACAATACCTGAATATAAACCGCTCCCTTAAAATTCCGCAGGCACTCACACCCGTTCCGTTTTACCGTATGTCTGTTGCAGCAGCGATATCGTCAAAGCCAGTTTTTGTAAGGTCACGAATTTTAGCCGCACTTTAACGTTTCACGGTCAGAATTTGGGGGAAAAAGTGAGGCTTATATTCAGGCCAATACAGTATTAATATTATAGAATAGGACGTCCCTGTTTTCATCAGAGAAATGTTGGAGGGTGTGCTTTATGTGTCAGTGAGCTGGACGCTTGAATCAGGATGGGCCTTTCCACATCTATTTTGGACCAGTCACATGTTTATTTAGCTGGACCTCTTCCTCCGAATACTTATTGTTTCCTCCATGCATTTGTTCAGTCATTTGTTCATACGGCACAATCTCTTTGGATTTTCCCTTATCTTATTGTTCCGGTGCTGTGCTTTGTATTATGCACAACATGGGCAGAAAGGGCAGCAAAGGGAGAATGGGGCGTCATGGCAAACCAGATCCAAGATAAATTGCGCAGGGGAAATCCGCTCCACTTAGCAGGGGGGAGGAGTTGCGGTGGACGACGTGGCCACCAACTCCCCTCCAGGGGCGGGGGACTGGGAGCCAGTGTTGTGTAGTGGTTAAGAGCAGTGGACTCGTAATCTGGTGAACTGGGTTCAATTCCCCACTCTTCCACATGCAGCTGCTGGGTGACCTTGGGCTATTCACACTTCTGTGAAGTCTCTCAGCCCCACTCACCTCACAGAGTGTTTGCTGTGAGGGAGGAAAGGTAAGGAGATTGTGAGTCGCTTTGAGACTCCTTAGGGTACTGATAAAGCGGGATATCAAATTTAAAATCCAAATCCAAACCCAGAGGCTCCCTGTCACGCCATCACCCAGCCAGCCAATCTGCTGGCTGAGAAGGTGTGACCAGGCCCCATTTAAACAAAGCCGTGAGCCAGAGAGCTTTCTCTCTTGGCTCGCTTCCTCAATCTCCCACCTGCCCTCCCTAATTTGCAGGCTTCGACATTGGCCTTGCTATGGGGTTGGTCGCCATTGAGGGGCCTGGTAGGAATTTTTCCACTTGGCAGATGGGCAAGGGCCATTTGGTTTTCACCTACCTCGTAGCAATTGTCACAACTTTGTAAGATTTGGCTGTTAGGCATTGGTTGATCTTATGATGGAGGAGGGGAGGTGTGGCCATCACCTGCCCCTCCAAGCTTAAGGGTATTCCTTTGAAGGAATCCGGGGGTGTGGATCTTGTCCGAAGTCCGGGACTGAGCTAGTCCACGACCCCTTCGGGAACCCTGGGAGAGCTCGAGTTGGTTTGCATCGACGGGGCTCCCCTATCGGTGGTTGACTCTTACCGAATTCCCTGCATGATGGGTGGGAGTCAGATATAGTCAACTCCAGTGCCTAAGCCAATACCACTCACATTCTGTAACCAATAAAGTTGTGGCCAAATTTTGCCCAATAACATTAACCTAATATCCGTGTCCTTGTGTCTCATTCATTGCCGGGGGCGTGGTTTCGGGGTCTCGACACGCAACCGTGTTGCAGGCATGATGCTTTCATATGGGCACTTCCGGGCTCTGTTTCTTGGGTGGGATTCAGTCACATGCCTGGAAATTCAGGTTGTGCAATTAGAGTTGATTTGGAAGTCTTGCATGATAACGCTCACCCCACCCAACTGGACTTTCTGCAAGCAGGAAATGGTTGAGGTCTGGGAAGTCTGGAATAGCAGTTAGACAACATTGTCTAATTAATGCTGAATAAGCCGGTCATTTGCAAGTGACCTTAGTCTTTTTAGAGTTTGTTGCTTTGCAGATTATCTTGGACTATGAATTATCCCAGTCTGTATGGATTCCCCACCCAGCACTGTTTTCTAGCCTTCTAATATCAGGGACAGGGAACAGTTGGCTCTGCATATGTTGCTGGACTACAACTCCCATGTGCCTCAGCAAACATGGCCAATGGTCAGGGATGCTGGAAACTGAAGTTCAGCTGAGGTTTGAATGGCCAAATGTTCCCCACTGCTGTTCTGTGTGATTATTTGCAAGACTGTACTCTAAACATTAGGGACGTGGGGTGGCGCTGTGGGTTAAACCACAGAGCCTAGGACTTTCTGATCAGAAGGTCGGCGGTTTGAATCCCTGTGACGGGGTGAGCTCCCGTTGCTCGGTCCCTGCTCCTGCCAACCTAGCAGTTCGAAAGCACGTTAAAATGCAAGTAGATAAATAGGTACCGCTCCAGCGGCAAGGTAAACGGCGTTTCCGTGCGCTGCTCTGGTTCGCCAGAAGCGGCTTAGTCATGCTGGCCACATGACCCGTAAGCTGTACGCCGGCTCCCTCGACCAGTAAAGCGAGATGAGCGCCACAACCCCAGAGTCGGTTACGACTGGACCTAATGGCCAGGGGTCCCTTTACCTTTACCTTTACTCTAAACATTGGTGTTGCATGCAGGATCCACCTCTGCTTTCAGTTTACAAAACAAGTAAATTTCTAACCCTGAAGACGGCTAATATACTTGAATGTATGACCGCTATCAGGCCACAGCTCAGAAGAGGTGTGTGTATGACTCAGAGGTTGTGTATGTGTGTGTGAGAGAGAGAAACAGAGGGAGGCTGGAATTGCACAGCGTTGACCCCTAAATTCTTCTCCTACTCAGGTTTACATCCAAACCACAGAAGAATTCCCCTCCTACTCCCTTTCTTTCCTTTCTATTCCATTTACCAGGATGGAATTGCACTGACAGCAAGATCAGGCTGCAATACATTGAAGCAAGGCAAGTTAAGAGCTTTTGAGGGGGAGAAACATTTCCCCAGCTAGAGGGGAGAGGCCTCCATGCTTTCCTTCTCCTTGCTTGCCATGTAATTCTGCCTCACTAGAGTTGTCACTGCTGCAACAATTTGATAAGGGAGGGGGACTGGGGATCAGCAGATTAGTAGGATACAAGGGAAAGCTCTGCCTAAATTTGGATTGAACTAGGAACAAACGGAACTGTTTTGTGTAACTGAATGCTCCTTGATGACATATGATAGTGGTGATGATATTATTATTATTATTATTACTATTATTATTATTATTATTATTGTTTGGGGAAAGTCTAGTTTTCTTTGTGGAGGGAGTTAATGTTCTGTACAAAGCATGTGAGCCCCTGTCAATAAAACACAGCTTTACTTACCTAACGTACCTCACAGGGTTGTTGAGAGGATAAAATGAAGTGGGGGAGTGTATGTTGTTGTTGTTCAGTCGTTTAGTCGTGTCCGACTCTTCGTGACCCCGTGGACCAGAGCACGCCAGGCACTTCTGTCCTCCACTGCCTCCCGCAGTTTGGACAGACTCATGCTGGTAGCTTTGAGAACACTGTCCAACCATCTCGTCCTCTGTCGTCCCCTTCTCCTTGTGCCCTCCATCTTTCCCAACATCAGGGTCTTTTCCAGGGAGTCTTCTCTTCTCATGAGGTGGCCAAAGTATTGGAGCCTCAGCTTCACGATCTGTCCTTCCAGTGAGCACTCAGGGCTGATTTCCTTCAGAATGGAGAGGTTTGATCTTCTTGCAGTCCATGGGACTCTCAAGAGTCTCCTCCAGCACCATAATTCAAAAGCAGGGGGAGTGTATACCCACGTTGAATTCCTTTAAAGAAGAGTGGGTATCTGAATGTGATAAATATATTAAATTGATAGCCGAATCCTTATCGTACTATCGTGATAACAAGGAGTCTCCTAAAGAAGTTGATTACTTCTTTTTATTTTTTATTTTTAAAATCTGTTTAGCATCAGCATGATACAAAACATAGAAAAGTATTCAGTCTCAGCCCTCAGAGGGCTTGCAGTCTATTTTGGATGGGCAGGACTGGAAGAGAGGATTGTTGGGGTTGGTTTTTTGGGGGTTTTTTTTTTTGCAAGCTCCTAACAGTGTTGTCAGAGTTGAGGGTTGTTGTGAGACGCCTGAGGAACATCAAGGAAGGCAGGGCAGGGAAGATTCCCCTTGTTGTGGAGGAGAGGTGGCTCAATGGAGGGAAGACAAAATCTAATTCCAGGACTTGGCATGGCCAAAGGTGCAAAGGGGGAGAACATGAAACACTGAGCTTTTGGAAAGACAGAAAGCATGGAATAAGAAGGGTGGAGAATGTGCTTCACATCACTTGGTGCCAGTCACACCTCATGAGCCAGACATATGAATGATCAGCACATCACAGTCTGTTACTCAGAAACCTTGATTTGGTGATGGTTCTTCACGTGGGCTGCTCAATGGGTGTGGTATGATTCAGAAAACCATGATTCCTCTGGGTTTCCACTATCACCAGGTGACTGGAAATGTCCTTTCACAGTGGAAAAGGGGGCAAGAGGATCTATCTGGGTTTAGCCTAATCTCTGACCGCAGTAAGGACCTTAAATGCAATGGCTAGGGGAATATGAAGTTGTCCTTATTTGTCAAATATTTCCGTCATGCCGCTCCTCAAACTCTAGCAATAATAGCCACTTGCAGGCCCGGCCCAACCATGAGGCCAGGTGAGGAGACTGCCTCAGGCGGCAGGGTCCCCAAACAGATCCTGATATCCATCTTTCTCCCCCTCTCCCTTGTTCCTTGTGTCAGTCTTCATTCACTCCTCCTTCCCCGGTGGATATGGTGGGTGCCCCATTTTGGGGTTCGCCTCAGGCACCGAAATGTCTCGGGCCGGTCCTGGCTGCTTGCATTCGAGATCTCCAGTCCCTGAGAACATACAGAACTCCCTGTTGTGGAAGCTGGATCTGTGGAGACTCCCAGCTTTCCTTTTCTTTCCCCGCAAGTTTCTAAACTTTGCGAAGGTTGTTGGTGCTATTGAAACTGCAGCTTAGCGTTTCATGGGGAGAACGACACTTCTGTGACTCTTGTGTGTAGCCAGAGTAGCGTCAGCCTAGCTTCATTACAATAAATGGGCAAGGTTTCCAACCTTGACGTCCGTGGGATGTGAATTATGCCCACAAGTTTATAATCCTTGTGGTTTTGGAGAAAGAGAGAACTTGCGAAAGCCTCTTCAGTGCTATCTCTCTCTTCCCCGTCCCCACATTCCCTCTTTGTCTCCTGTTTTTGCTTCTGTATCTGTATGGCCCATATTACACCCACATTTTGTCATTTTAAACAACAACAACCAGCAGTTCTTTGTGTTTCCTGATAAGGCAAAAGAGAACTTATTCATACATTTGGATTTGTCAGCTCCTAAACTATGGACAAGGAGACGGGGAGGAAAAAAACTTAGCATAAACTGGTGAGAAATCTTTATGCAAGCCCACAGACGCAGTAAGAAAGAAACATAGCGGGGTGGCAGTCTTCCATAGACAAGCCAATGTGGAGTTAATAATAACTCTGGGCTGTTAATCAACAGTTTCTGAGGAAGCTGCGTAATCTCCAGAGCTGGGAGCTGCAGAAGCCACAGCCTGTGAGTCAGCAGTCCAAGGTGGTTATTAGAGGAGGGGGTGTTTGTGCATGAACAAAGGAAGAAAAGCAATTATAGAGATAAACAAGGGGCTGGTGGAGACTCCGGAGTGCTGTCTGCCCCACCTCTCCCTTAAAAGAGGCCTGCTGTCGAAATCATTGTAGGTAACAGGGCCCACTCGCCTACGGTGAGTCTGGTGATTTGGGAGCCCTGGGTTCAAATCCAGTCCAATGGACTCACAGTCCACCCCACAGCTGTACAATGGGAGCAGTGCCGGATTTACGTATGAGCTAAACAAGCTGTAGCTCAGGGCCCCACTCTCTTGGGGGCCCCCAAAAAATTTAAAGGGAAAAAACTGGATGTACATTTCCAAAATATAAGATAAAAAGCAAATAAAAAAAAAACCTACATACGGCAACAGTGTTTTGTGTTGTGTAGGCTCCTCTGATGTAAGTAATGGGTCCCGCCTGGACCCATCTTGGGCTGCCCAGATGACAAGATGCCCCTCTCAGCCTCACTGGGTCCTGGGGAAAGTAGCAGGATGAAAGAAAAACCTCTGACCTGTGCCTGGGAATCTGGGGACAAGTGTGGGACAAGCCCTTGAGTGTCTATATTAAAGTTTCCCCAACTTTTGAGACGTGTGGATGACATAGGCACAGTCTCACATTTTGGAGTAGCACTTAATAACTGTACAACACGGGTTTCCTGTTACGTAAGGCATGGAGCAGTTCGGAATAGCTGTCGTCTTTCCAAGCGAAGGGCATCACTAAGATAAGGGGAGTTTGGCTATGTGAATACACTGGTTTTCTTTCTGTGCTGCTGTTCAGATATTGCTGATAATTCCCCGAGGAATGCACAGCTCCAGTTATGCTGGAATCCTCCTGCGAAAACATTCAGCAAGCAGTATTTAGTGCATTCCCTGGAAGATAAAATCTCCTAGATATGTTTCTAGATTAGTCTTGTAAAATTTCAAGGAGCACAGGGAGGGGTGTAGTGACTGGGGGGGGGGAGAGAAATGGTGAGACCTTAAAATTTTGCCTCAATTCAAAATCTGGACTTTAAAAATAAAATCAGAAATTAACACATGGGGACTGGAGTGTGAAAAGTGAGGTCCTTTGAGGACAAAGAAATGTCATATTTGGTACTCATTTTGGCTGAAGTTCAAGATTTATTATTAGTGTTTGAACTCTTTCCCCCCCACCCCGAGGTTGAAATTGAAAGTGGAAATTTGTTCAGGTATCACATTTTTGAATCCTGATTTTTGAAACCTGGTTTCAGATTAGCATATCCAGTTTAGGAATCTATCTGAAGGTTAAGTCTTCCCTCTCCATTAAAATATTCATGTTATTTGCTGTAGATATTAGAGAGAAGTTCATATTTTTGTCAGCTTCTTGTATTCAACTTTCAGTATTCATTTATTTGTCAGATTTCTAGATCACCCTTCAACCCTATGCGGCCTAGGACCCACATACCTACGGTACCGCCTTTCCTGGTATGCCCCACGGAGGACCTTAGGGTCCACAAATGACAACACTTTGGAGGTCGCAAGGTGGTTAGATTGGTCTCAACTAGGGCCAGGGCTTTTTCAGTACTGGCCCCGACTTGGTGGAATGCTCTGTCTCAAGAGACCAGGGCCCTGCAGGACTTGACATCTTTCTGCAGGGCCTGCAAGACAGAGCTGTTCCGCCTGGCCTTTGGTTTGGACTCTGTCTGACCCTTATGTTTCCCTCCCCTTATGGTTTTGATTTATGGCTACTACTAAAATGAGGCTGCATTTTAAATTGTATTTTAACCTGTATTTTAAATTGGGTCCCCCCCATTATGTTTTTATTGTAATTTTACTGGTGTTAGCCGCCCTGAGCCTGGCTCTGGCTGGGGAGGGTTGGGTATAAATAAATTTATTATTATTATTAACCGAAGTTTCCGCGTTGTGTGCGTTTGCAGTTTCTGATAAAATACCAACAACAGAAGTACAACTGGTATACAGTGGTACCTCGCAAGACGAATGCCTCGCAAGATGAAAAACTCGCTAGACGAAAGGGTTTTCCGTTTTTTGAGCTGCTTCGCAAGACGAATTTCCCTATGGGCTTGCTTCGCAAGACGAAAAGCGAAAACGTCTTGCAAGTTTGTTTCCTTTTTCTTAACACCGTTAATACAGTTGCGACTTGACTTCGAGGAGCAACTCATAGAACGCGGTGTGGTAGCATTTATTGAGGTATTTGAAGACTTTGGTGATTTTTGAATCTTTTCAAAAACTTCTTTTAAACTTTTAAAACTTTTTTTGGGGTTTTTGGATTTTGGGTTGGGGTGTTTGGAATTCAAGGACTTGGTGTTGGGGAGGGGTTTGCAAGAATCTGGAAGCTTGTGTGTTTTTTTCCTGCATTTTTATGATTTTCTGTGACCATTGGGCCACTCTGCTATTTTTTTTTAAAAATTATGGATTTGAATTTCTGTGTGGTGGGTGCCTGGGGGAACAGTTGAGGAGGGGTTCTTCAGCAAGAAGGAAAGAGTGGAAGAGGAACCTTCTTCGAGTTGTCCCCCAGAGTCTTAGAAAATGTACTGTACACTTTGTTGATTTTTAAATGTTTTTCTGTCATGTTTAGAAAATTAATTTATTGTTCCTTCAATTTTTGAAATGCTCTTTACAGTATGTGTGACTTTAAAGAGCACTTAATAAACTCTTGTTGTACCAAATTTGGCTTTGTTTGGACTTTTTTTGACCATAGGAACGCATTAATTGGATTTCAATGCATTCCTATGGGATTTCGTGCTTCGCAAGACAAAAAATTCGCTAGACGAAAAAACTCGCGGAACGAATTAATTTCGTCTTGCGAGGCACCACTGTATAAGGAACCACCAATGCCATAACATGTGATGACACAGCAATAAATGGATCGTATTATGAGCCCACAAAGACCAGGCCAAAGAAAGAAGTCTGGAGTAGTACAGCTGGGCGATATCAGCTTTTCAACATTGCAACGTATCTAAACATCATGATATAGTGATACACTGCGATGTTGAAAAGGAAGGAGCATCAATTGGTCCTGGAAGATGTATCGATTCATTGCCCAGCCCTATTCAGTAGATGCTGAAAAAAAGACATCAACAAGACAGGTCTACATATCTCCACTGGGAGGGAATTCCACAGTTGGGGAGCCATGACAAAGAAGGCCCTGCTATAAGTCACTGTGCCGCAAGCGGTGGATAAAATGGAACTATTAGCAGGGCCCCCCTTGTAGATCCATAAGCGTGGGCTGGTCATATGTAGTTTTCTTACCACCCATGGCCCATGAAAATGCTGTTTGAAACTGTGGTCCAATTCTTGTCTGCCTTTTCTTCTTCAGGTGACGACGACATCTGCACTACGCGAGGAGTAAACTCATGTCAGCAGTGCTTGGCAGTGAACCCACAATGTGCTTGGTGTTCCCAGGAGGTGAGGCAAAAACCAAGATTATACCATGTACCTTCCCCTACTTGAACTTGCAGTTCTTGGGTGTCGGCTAGATCTTGCCTGAGCTCCCTATCTATTCATTTATTTCAAGCGTTTATAACCACTGTGCCAATTCAAATTGGAATGCCCAAGATAGCTTAACATCAATAAATATGTTGTTATTGTTGTTTAGTCGTGTCCAACTCTTCATGACCACATGGACCAGAGACACCAGGCACTCCTGTCTTCACAATAATATATATATATATATTAAACAAAACATATTATTAAAACAATTAAGAAACAAAAAGATGAGCAGCAGATAAACAACAACGAGAGAGAGAGGGAATCCAAAGTACAGTTGTATCTTGGTTCTCAAATGTAATCCATTCCAGAAGTCCGTTCCAAAACCAAAGCGTTCCAAAACCAAGGCGCGCTTTCCCATAGAAAGTAATGCAGAATGAATTAATCCACTCCAGACCTTTAAAAACAACCTCTAAAACAACAGTTGAACATGAATTTTATGATCTAATGAGACCATTGATCCATAAAATGAAAGCAGCAAACAAGGTACTGCAGTCACACACACAATCAATCTATCAATCAATAGCTGAACTGGGTTCCACAGTCACAAAAACAAAACAAAAAGAGCCACAAAAACGCAAAATAAATAGCAAAATCAGACAGACCTCAGCGTAACACTCAAAACGGAGCACGTTTGGCTTCCAAAAAAGTTCGCAAACCGGAACACTTACTTCCGGGTTTGCAGTGTTTGGGTTCCAAGTTGTTTGAGTACCAAGGCATTTGAGAACCAAGGTGCCACTGTACATCAAAATACCAGTCGAGCCAAAGCTGTGCTGGAACAAAAAATATTTTAAGTGGCATCGGAATGCCATCAGGAGGGGGCCCACGCAGATCTGCTGGGGCCAGGAATTGTTGTTATCGTAAAATGAACCAAGTACAAAATAAGATTAAAGTACTACCTAAAAGAAACAGAACAAAACAAAACAAAGCAGCAGATCATGCAGTAATGGTCTGGGAGTTCTGGAACTATGTGCTTATTTGCTGAGATAAGCTGGATAAGTTTATATGATGACATGGAATGTTCACATTTCAAATGTCACACCCATGGCAGCGAATGGAGCCTATAGCAGTGCGATTGAACACACAGGACAAACGCAATGGGTCAGTTGCAATTCCTCTTCTAGAAGCACCAAGGAAAAGATGTGGTGGTGGAGGGGTGCGGAGACTGCTGGACAGAGATGTCAAAGAAATCTGAAGAATGTCTTGTTTTAAAATAATGAAAGCCCAATTAACAGTGGAATCCTCTTGCAGTATCTGAAGAATGTTTTTTGTGGCCGTTAACTCCCAAACAGCAAAGCTTCCTGGCTCTTTGGAAAAGAAGCAAAAGCTTTTTTTGAATATGCTCCCAGGACATTTTTAATCAACTGATGATGCATCGGAGTAGCTCGCTGTAGGCAAAGAGGGAACCACCAGATGTCTGCCCACCAAAAGCTGCAAGAGTAATCACAAGCTGCTGCATTAACTAGCTCCATCTGTGTCTTGCCCCAGAGCAAATAAGCGGCGTTGATCCATTCCATGCCATTTAAACGTATTTCCACGAACGCAAAGTTTGAAGATCACTTAACAAGCGGTTCTCACTAATGGAAACAGGTTTTTTTTTTAAATGACACCAAATGTCCATTTGAACACATTAATTCATTTTGAATTGCTGGAGCAATATATAGTGGTGCCTCGGGTTAAATACTTAATTCATTCCGGAGGTCTGTTCTTAACCTGAAACTGTTCTTAACCTGAAGCACCACTTTAGCTAATGGGGCCTCCTGCTGCTGCCGTGCCGCCGGAGCACGATTTCTGTCCTCATCCTGAAGCAAAGTTCTTAACCCGAGGTACTACTTCTGGGTTAGTGGAGTCTGTAACCTGAAGCGTCTGTAATCTGAAGCGTATGTAACCTGAGGTACCACTGTATTACGTTTTGGAAGGAGCTTGTGCATTCCAAAGGCACTGGTAGGAACTGTTTTCCTAAGCAATTTTCCGGTCACTGAGAAGATCAGTAATGGCAGGCAAAACTTCTCCCCAGTGCAGCTTGCGATCACTACCGATCTTCCCCTCCACCGCACATCTGCAGGACAGCGTTGTTGGGTGTGTTCTGCGATGCATTCTTCTGTCCTGGAAGTGAGCCCCAGCAAGTCTGGACAAACGCCCCCAGATGAACTGAGATTGGAGCACTAGAACACATCCCAGAATCCTCTGCAACAGGGCCGCTAGGCCAATTGACGCAGCTGGTTTGGGGTGTCACAAAAGGGCAGCAAATTTTGAGTCGTTGAGTTCAACCTTCATAAATAAACGCAAATATTACAAAATGACAGTAAGCCTCTAGTGGCTTACTTCCAAAGCAAACTCACCAGTATGCCCCCTGGCGAAGAACTAGGCTGGGAATAGCCCAGTTCCTCAGAGCGGCTGAGGAAACCCAGCCAAATGGGTGGGATATAAAGAAAATATTATTTTATTTATTTATTTATTTATTTATTTATTTATTTATTTATATACAGTGGTACCTCGGGTTACATATGCTTCAGGTTACATACGCTTCAGGTTACAGACTCCGCTAACCCAGAAATATTACCTCGGGTTAAGAACTTTGCTTCAGGATGAGAACAGAAATGGTGCTCCGGTGGTGCAGCAGCAGTGGGAGGCCCCATTAGCTAAAGTGGTGCTTCAGGTTAAGAACAGACCTCCGGAATGAATTAAGTACTTAACCCGAGGTTCCACTGTATAGGGATGATGATGATTTGTATATAGAAGATGATCAAATCTTGTAGCCTGTAGTCTAACCTGTAGTCTAATGTGTTGCTGCTCAGGCACAGGTATAGTCGTACTTTGGAAGTCCAACAGCTTAGTTCCCGAACATTTTGGCTCCCGAGCATTACAAACCTTGTTCTGTGACTGTTCTGGTTTACAAACTATTTTTGGAAGCTGAACGTCCAGCGGGGCTTCCGCGGTTTCCGATTGGCTGCAGGAGCTTCCTGCAGCCAATCGTAAGCCACGCTTTGGTTTTCAAACATTTTTGAAGTCGAACAGACTTCTGGAATGGATTCTGTTCGACTTCCAAGGTACGGCTGTATAGAGTCATCGAATCGTAGAGTTGGAGGGTCATCTAGTCCAACCCCCTGAAATACAGGAATCTCAACTAGGTCACACAATGCAGGTGGTTGGAATCTCTTGTAACTTGAACTTTCGCTGTGAAGTCTGCATATAATGAGCAAATGCCTTTTCCACAGAAGATGAGCTGCCTTTGCGTAGCTGAGAGGTTGACTAACCTGTGACCCTCCCAGGTGTCCTTGAACTCCAAAGCCCATTGTTCCTGACCATTGCTAGCGCAGGGCATGGATGACAGAAGTTGCAGTCCAGCAACATAGGGGTGTGGTTGTCAAAAACTACCCATCACTGTTGTGTAGCTTAGGGGTGGTGTGGTTGGCATGAAAATAAGTTGTTGTTGTTGTTTAGTCATTTAGTTGTGTCCTACTGTTCATGACCCCATGGACCAGATCACGCCAGACACTCCTGTCTTCCACTGCCTCCTGGTCAAACTCATGCTGGTAGCTTCGAGAACACTGTCCAACGATCTCGTCCTTTGTCATCCCCTTCTCCTTGTGCCCTCCATCTTTCCCAACTTCAGGGTCTTTTCCAGGGAGTCTTCTCTTCTCATGAGATGGCCAAAGTATTGGAGCCTCAGCTTCAGGATCTGTCCTTCCCGTGAGCACTCAGGGCTGATTTCCTTCAGAATGGAAAGGTTTGGTCTTCTTGCAGTCCATGGGACTCTCGAGTCTCCTCCAGCACCATAATTCAAAAGCATCAATTCTTCGGCAATAAGTAGAAAGGGTTAACCGGGAAACCCAGGATCCCTCATAATTCTTGTCACAGCGATCTGAGGTGTTTGCCTCGGTTTTGTGCCTTAACAGCTCACCAGACATCCTGGCTGTTGATTACGTGATGAGATATTTGTGGGCGTGTGGCGGCTGGGCCACAAGGCCTCGTGCCAGAAATACTTGCCAGTTTTGTGTGTAATATGATGGGGAAACTTTTTTAAAAAGCAAAGTATTGGCTGGCTCAAGCCAATACGTCACCACTTTTCCCCACTCCCACAGCTGCCTCAGCGTTTATCCCGTGTTCCTAGACAGCAGCTATGGCTACGGAGCTGTTTTGCTTACCTCTGACAAGCGTTTCCAAAAATGGCAATATTTTCCCCGCCAGGCCTCGGGGTCTGTTTATTGAAGAGATGTGGCAATTAGCAAAGGAGCTGTCTCCCGCCTCTCACCAAAAGTCAGGTCCCCTGAGGTGCAAAACTTGTTAGTAAAATAACTTCCTCACATGTTGTCTTAATTTAGCAAATGAAAGTTTCCTCCCTGGCTCCCTACGGCCCTCTATCTTCTTGTCTGCCTTATTTGAAGAAAAAAAACACACGCCCTCCTTTTGCTTCTCTCTCTCTCTTCTTCACAGAAATACATTTGCACATATTTTTCTTACCTCAGGCTGCAAAGACACTATACATTTCAAGTATACCCCTTCCCAAGAATCCTGGGAACTGTAGTTTACCTCTCTCAGGGACATAATTCCCACCAACTTTTAACAAACTACAGTTCCCATGATTCTTTTTGGGGTGTTTTTTAAGTGAGCCACTCTCTCCCAGCTGCTCACATATGGACCCCGATTATCCTCATCTGCAAAATGGGTGCAATAATATTGCCCTGTCTTAAAGATGACAAGGTCACACGTGTGGAATGCTTCAAAGGCTATATAAGTGTGAAGTATTTCTTCTTATTACAAAGAAAAATGTTTCACACATTGTTGGGTTCCTGACCTTCACTTTAAAATTAAAGGTGGGGGAGACAGTCAGGAGGAGAAAGGGCAGTCCCATTCCTCATTGCTAGCCAGCAGTAGCAGGCAACTCCAGGAAGGAATTGTTGTGGGTAGCCAATTTTGTTATCTGTCCAGCCACTGGGCAAGGAAACTATACAAGAATAACTGGCAGTTTCAGTTAACAGAAAAATGGCTAGGCAGTTGGAACACATGTAGTTTTACTTGTGTCTTCCTCACTGGGCTCTTTTTTCTCTCTGGAAAAGGTTGTGTTTAAAGATCCCCCTACCTCACCCCAAGACCAACCTTCCTGGGCTCAGCTCAGTGGCAATCACATGTGTGTGGCTGAGTTTCATGGTTGAGTTGGGCTTTTGAAACTGGATCTCCACTGTCCTAATCAGGGCCGTCTTTAGCATATGCACCGCCGGGGTGTAAAGATCCGCCCAGCACCCCCAAATTTAGTTTAGCCCCCAAATTAACTCTTATTATGCTTATGTCAGACTTTTTAAAAAAATGATTTCTCTAAATGAATTTGAACTGTAAGTGATGAAATTAAAATGCAATTTACAACGTTTTACTCGGGGTCAGTGGCACCTTTGACACGACTGAACTTGCACTGCCTGCCTCCCGCAGGCAGGCGGTGCGAAATCAGTCGTGTTAAAGGAGCTGCCGCATAGCAGCTCAATACAATACGTAACATAATATTTTGATGTAAGAGTTAATTTCATGTGTACGGCGCTGTTGAGTCTGACAAGCACCACCGCTAGCGCAGCGCATCTTTGGTAAATGAGCGCACAAAGTCAAAAGTCCTTTAGTGAAACAGTAGGTATACATTTCGGTAATACCTAGGTATATATGTATTTTGTTTTTCTAGCTTCATCAAAATTATTATTTCATAACAGGTAGATAGTTAAGAGCTTAGGTGGCTTCAGCAGCGGGCACCCGGCGCCCCCCAGAATTTGGTGCCCAGGTGCCCCACACCCCTTGCACCCCCGGGTAAAGATGGCCGTGGTCCTAATCTAGCACCACACTATAATGTACAGTGGTACCTTGGGTTACAGACGCTTCAGGTTACAGACTCCGCTAACCCAGAAATAGTACCTCAGGTTAACAACTTTGCTTCAGGATGAGAACAGAAATCGTTCTCTGGCGGCGCGGCGGCAGCAGGAGGCCCCATTAGCTAAAGTGGTGCTTCAGGTTAAGAACAGTTTCAGGTTAAGAACGGACCTCCGGAACAAATTAAGTACTTAACCCGAGGTACCACTGTATGTCATTTTCCTCCCCTATAATTCCCTGGATGCGTACTCAAAGTGACGCAACACAGATTAGTCGCAGTGGACCATTTCGCATCGATTAAGCCATAGTTTCAAACAAACAAACTGTGGTTTGATGTGCACTAGCAGTGTGTTGGTGCACCACTGCTCAAAAGTTCCCACAATGCTCTTCCCACACTCCAGTTTGCTAAAGTGTCATGGGCAAAACAAGCCAGAGACTGGCTTGTTGACACCGCCTGCACCCCGTGGTTATTGCTCATGGCTTCTTTTGGAGGAAACAAACCACAAGCCTGGTTCGGACAGTGTGAGCAAGCTAGGCTCTGCATTGTTTTGTTAGTCAGTTGTAGCAGGATTGGGGTAAGAATGCTATGGCAGCTTTTTGTGCAGAGTGCACTAAGCACACTGCTCAGGCACCCTAAATCATAGTTTGTTTTAAGGTACAGTTAACACAATGTAAAGGGATGCGGGTGGCACTGTGGGTTAAACCACAGAGCCTAGGACTTGCCGATCAGAAGGTCAGCAGTTTGAATCCCCGCGACGGGGTGAGCTCCCATTGCTTGGTCCCTGCTCCTGCCAATCTAGCAGTTCAAAAGCATGTCAAAGTGCAAGTAGATCAATAGGTACCACTCCGGTGGGAAGGTAAACGGCATTTCCATGCGCTGCTCTGGTTTGCCAGAAGGGGCTTAGTCATGGTGGCCACATGACCCGGAAGCTGTACACCGGCTCCCTCGGCCAATAAAGCGAGATGAGCGCCGCAACCCCAGAGTCGGCCACGACTGGACCTAATGGTCAGGGGTCCCTTTGCCTTTACCTTTAACACAATGTGGGAACTGGGCTTTCATACCCAGAATCAGGCTGTATAAACTATACCTTTAAAGCACACTTGAAACACATCCTAAAGAAAATCTGGGCACTGTGGTTTGTTAAATGTTGCTGGGGCTTGCAATTCTCTGCACCCTTAAGAAATCACAGTGCCCAGAATTATTTAAGGGAAATAAGGTGTTTCAAATTAGCTTTCCTGTTATGTACTGAAGTTCTCACCCTGGGCCAACAGGGGGATACTGTAGATAGTTATGCAAATAAGGGATCGAAAGTGACGTTCAGTGATTGGATAGTTTTAGAAAGTTGTTACAGTAACGTTGTACTGGAGCTCTATATAAGCAGGCTGGCTGAACCCTTCAGTTCAGTTCTGTCCTGGCCTGTGAATAAACAAGAACTGTTTGAAGTTGGGCTGCATCAATAGGAGTATAGCATCTAGATCAAGGGAAGTAATAGTGCCACTGTATTCTGCTCTGGTCAGACCTCACCTGGAGTACTGTGTCCAGTTCTGGGCACCACAGTTCAAGAAGGACACTGACAAACTGGAACGTGTCCAGAGGAGGGCAACCAAAATGGTCAAAGGCCTGGAAACGATGCCTTATGAGGAACGGCTAAGAGAGCTGGGCATGTTTAGCCTGGAGAAGAGGAGGTTAAGGGGTGATAGGATAGCCATGTTCAAATATATAAAAGGATGTCACATAGAGGAGGGAGAAAGGTTGTTTTCTGCTGCTCCAGAGAAGCGGACACGGAGCAATGGATCCAAACTACAAGAAAGAAGATTCCACCTAAACATTAGGAAGAACTTCCTGACAGTAAGAGCTGTTCGACAGTGGAATTTGCTGCCAAGGAGTGTGATGGAGTCTCCTTCTTTGGAGGTCTTTAAGCAGAGGCTTGACAACCATATGTCAGGAGTGCTCTGATGGTGTTTCCTGCTTGGCAGGGGGTTGGACTCGATGGCCCTTGTGGTCTCTTCCAACTCTATGATTCTATGATTCTTCTATGATTCTATGATTCTAAGAATCGCTGTGTCATCTGATATGTTCAACCACAACTTAACATTTCCCACCTCATCAGTGCTTGCTGATAAGGATATCAGGCTGTATGGGGTTGATTTCCTGTGACCATTGGAAAGGACTCCTGAAATCTGCTTCTCAAGGCTCTTCTCAGAAGGTCAAAATTTCTGTCTTATCCTGGGGATTCCCCTAAGGACTGCCAGTTGGGAAGAGTTTTAGTGACCCAGCAAACGTGTCACCTTTCTAGCTGTCGAAATGGGTGGATAAAAATCTTGGGAGGGAAATGCGGTCAGTCTTTCAATGACATTCACACTTCCTACAAAATGTGTGGTTTTAACTGTTTTTGGAACAGTGCCATTCAGAGGAGGCGTGCTCCTGCGTTTGTTCTGTATCTTTACACTAAGGGTTTTTTATAATAATAATTTAAAAGCATACAAGAAAACGGCTCCCTTTCAGAAGAGGCAGACATGCCATGCATAATCACAACCCCTTTGCCTTTATAGGCTTAAGGAACGAAACCCAAACCCATATTTTTGTTTAGCTCAGGGAAAAGGTAGGCTTCAAATATAACAAGGTGTGCTAACCAGTTGTGGCAATCAAAGTCTCAGTTTAGCCCCAATCTATAACAGAAAAAAAAAAGACCTGAGAGGGTTTTTTTTTTCTTCTGGAGGAACCACAAAAATATATCGGAGTCATGTTGATCCTTTGTTTGCATTCCATTTCCTTGCCCTTCCTCCCATGGCCTCTCTGCTGCTGCCGCAGAATCACCCTTATTCCTTTTTTGGTTCTCTTTTTTCCCCCCTCTTGCAGTGCTCCTGCCCCCAGCATGCCTGGAGGAAACGATAAGTTAGAGGGCTGCTTATTTCGTTTTCCACGCAGCTTGTGCAATCGGAGTGACACCAGATTGCCCTGTATCGGCTTGAGGGGCTTATGAGTTCCACGAAAGCCGGATTTCCTGGCAGGGTTAATGGGGCCAGTTTTCAAAATGTTTGCCAGAAAACAAGGCTACCACATGTTCATGATTCATATGGATTGCTCCTATTTTGAGAGTCCCGTTCCATAATAACTGGAACCCATACTAAGGACAGAGGTTGCCCATGGTTTTTTTTTTTTTGTGAAGGCTGAATTGCTCGTCTAAATAACTTTCAGCCAATGCTGAAGGGAGCACATCTTCCGCTTTAGGGAGATGTGTTTTGAGAATTAAAAGGCACCCAAAGCAGCAAAGTTTTTACTTTCCCCAAGGTTGGTTTAAATGTTTTATAAGTTTTTTTTTAGAATACAGTGCACATAATTATTTTACTAGCTGTATGTGCTCCCAGTGTATGTCTACCTACAGAGATCGGTTTTAAACCTAGACAGCAACTTAAAAAGCAGAGACATCACCTTGCCAACAAAGGTCCGTATAGTTAAAGCTATGGTTTTCCCAGTAGTGATGTATGGAAGTGAGAGCTGGACCATAAAGAAGGCTGATCGCCGAAGAATTGATGCTTTTGAATTATGGTGCTGGAGGAGACTCTTGAGAGTCCCATGGACTGCAAGAAGATCAAACCTATCCATTCTGAAGGAAATCAGCCCTGAGTGCTCACTGGAAGGACAGATCCTGAAGCTGAGGCTCCAATACTTTGGCCACCTCATGAGAAGATAAGACTCCCTGGAAAAGACCCTGATGTTGGGAAAGATTGAGGGCACAAGGAGAAGGGGACGGCAGAGGACGAGATGGTTGGACAGTGTTCTCGAGGCTACCAGCATGAGTTTGACCAAGCTGCGGGAGGCGGTGGAGGACAGGGGTGCCTGACGTGCTCTGGTCCATGGGGTCACGTAGAGTCGGACACAACTAAACGACTAAACAACAACAACAACTGACATAGTTTCTCCCATAGAAAGTGGCATTTGTAGTTTAGTGTGAGTGTTGAGAATTATATACTAGAGTCACATTGCCTTCACCCCAGCTAGAGTTCTCAGAGCTCTCTTAGCTGTTAAACCAGTTTTAAAGCTGCAGTCTTATTTAAGTCCCTTTGGTAGGACTTAAACTTCCCAATAAGCATGGCTAGGATCTGGCTGCAAATCTGGAATGCAGAAAACTGAAGTGCTGTGTGGTTTCAGGGATAATTAGTCTTTAGAGACCTATTTTTCAAGCCCGTATTTAATAAGTAAAATCATTTTTAAAAGGCAACTAGACAGCCACAAGAAAAGCTGATCAGAAATAAGCCCAAGTCCAAGACATAAAAGCGTAATAGAACATCAAACATTAATAGTAACAATCTGATCCAATATGGAAGTCACAGTAACTTTAAGATAAGCAACTTATATCAAACGAAGCAACATTCAGCAATCCATCAGAATCTAATATTAACCAGTATAATTAAACATCAGCAAATTAAACAGTTCAACCATGATAAACAATTACCAATTTATAATCATTAAAAGTAACAACAAATCATAATGCATAAAATATCACACAACATACAAAACCATGTAAAAGGGTCAAATTGAGAAACAAAAACGTGCAACTTATAAAACTTTTTTTTTAAAAAAAAATATATCCCTGAACTCCTCTCTTCCCAGCTCCTGCTGCTGTTCTTAAAATCATAGTCTGGGAAGGGCTAGTTGGGGCAAGACAGGTGGAAATACAATTACCTGATGAGGAACAGAAAGCCTCTCTCTGCCATTCGTCCGGGTTTCCTGGACACTCCAGTATTTCCAGCTATGCCCAGAAAATTCCAGATGTATGGCAATCCTACTTTAAACTGTTTTGGCTTCCCCCAAAGACTCATGGGAACTGTAGTTTAAGGGTGCTGAGAGTTGTTAGGAGACCCCAATTTCGCCCACAGAACTACAATTCCCAGAGTTCCCTGAGGTTGACTGTTAAACCACTCTGGAAGCGGACTTTGTGAGGGCAATGAAGGGGGTCTTCTAGCAGCTCCCGGCACCCTTGACAAACTTGGGCCTGTAACTCTTTCTCAGCCTAAACTTACCTCACATGTAGGAGCACGTAGCCCCTGCCCCCTAGGATTTTTGCTTTTCTTACTGAAATTCTTTTTTTCCCTTCCTTCTAAATTCCTTGGATGTTTTCTTTGAACAGGGACCTCCAAATTTGGTGGCAGCTCCGTTTACAAAGTTGGGAGGCTAAATTTGTACGGTCCTGTATGCTCCTTGGAAACGGGCAGGATTCAAAAGGCGACGTAATTTGAAAAAATGAATTGAAACAAAACAAAATCAGAAGCCTTCCCTTTCTTTGCAGCGTCATTTCTTGCTGTTTTCCCCTTTTAAAGCCATTCTTCATTTTATTTATTTATTTTAGTTCTATAACCCGCCCACACCCTTTCATGCTGATCAGAAGGTCGGTGGTTCGAATCCCCGCAACGGAGTGAGCTCCCATTGCTCTGTCCCAGCTCCTGCCAACCTAGCAGTTCGAAAGCACACCAGTGCAAGTAGATAAATAGGTACCGGTGCGGCGGGAAGGTAAATGGCCTTTTTGTGCACTCTGGTTTCCGTCACAGTGTCCCGTTGCTCCAGAAGCGGTTTAGGCCTGCTGGCCACATGACCTGGAAAGCTGTCTGTGGACAAACGCCGGCTCCCTTGGCCTGAAGCGAGATGAGCGCCACAACCCCATAGTCGCCTTTGACTGGACCTAACCATCCAGGGGTCCTTTACCTTTTTACCTTTTTTACCATATACATTTGCAACAAAGGAGCTGGGACAGGGGAATGGGAGCTCACTCCGTCACCGGGATTCGAACCGCTGACCTTCTGGTTGGCAAGCCCAAGAGGCTCAGTGGTTTAGATGACAGCGCCACCCGCATCAGCATCACACTGGCACAAAGCCCATTTTGACTGGATTACTGTTCCTCTGTGAGAGATCTCTCCTCTTTCTCTTATGGTTGGCCTTTCTCCCTCCAACAGGGCATGCCGCCAGGATTTTCCCGCTGCGACTCGAAGGACAACCTCATTAAAAATGGCTGCATGAAAAACTTGATCGAGTATCCAGTCAGCAGCACTGAAATCCTGGAGGATAGGCAGCTCAGTGACAAAGGATCAGGAAGTGGCATCACTCAGATGACTCCACAGAAGATCAGGCTCCACCTGCGGCCAGGTAAGCTGAGATACACTATTCGGTTATTGCAGTTTTAGCACATCGGTGAGCTTTTCCCAGAGGACTTCAGGGTGCTGTAAGTGGTTATCTATTAAAACTTCATCCCATACATAGATGAGAGATCAGCCATAGCACAATGGATGCCTAAGACTTATCCAGAGTTTCAAGCCATGGGGAAGAAGAGAGTTTGGGTCAGCTTATGTCTTTCTTTCTTTTTTTGGTCTGGTTTTTTTTTGTATATAATTTTTATTGAATTTTTTGTTTTACAATTTAAAGTCCTCATTTTTATATCCTTAAGATATTAATGACTTCCCTTCTCCTTCCATGGTTCATTTTACATATCATAAATCCCTGCATATTTTACAAAAGCTATATCATCCAGTATTCCAATCATTACACCCATCAAAACTTGTTCACACTGCTGAATTTATCTTAACGCTGCCAGCCTTTTCAGCTGTGCACAGTTATTTCCCATATATTCAACAGACGTTTTCCAGTCTTCTTTAAATGTATGTTCTTCTTTTTCTCTTATTCTATATGTTAAGTCTGAAAACTGCACGTATTCTGTCAACTTAAGTCGCCATTCTTCTTTGGTTGGGACCTCGCTCGTTTTCCATTTTTGGGCTAACGAAACACGGGCTGCAGTAGTGGCATACATAAATAACCTTTTTTGAAACCTGGAGATTTCAGTCTGAATTATCCCCAATAGGAAGGACTCTGGGTTGTTGCTGTTTTTTTGGGGGGGGGAGGAGTACTTTTAATTATTTTTTTTTCCAATTCATTACGGATCATTTCCCAATACTCTTGCACAAGTCCACCACATATGGGTCAGCTTATGTCAATATGGGCCTATGTCAGCATAACAAGGTTAATTACTCAAGTATGTGGAAGGAAGGGACCCGTGTGGCGCTGAGGGTTAAACCACAGAGCCTAGGACTTGCCGATCAGAAGGTCGGCGGTTCAAATCCCCGCGACAGGGTGAGCTCCTGTTGTTCGGTCCCTGCTCCTGACAACCTAGCAGTTCGAAAGCATGTCAAAGTGCAAGTAGATAAATAGATACCACTCCGGTGGGAAGGTAAACGGCGTTTCCGTGTGCTGCTCTGGTTCACCAGAAGCGGCTTAGTCATGCTGGCCACATGACCTGGAAGCTGTATGCTGGCTCCCTCGGCCAATAAAGCGAGATGAGCGCCGCAACCTCAGAGTTGGTCACGACTGGACCTAATGGTCAGGGGTCCCTTTACCCTTTTTTTATGTGGAAGGAAGAATGGTGAGCTGGAGTCTCCCGGGCGAAATGACCCCTCCTCACACTTTCTCCACATTTTGACTTTTCAGATGACTCCCAAACATTCACGGTGCAAGTGCGACAGGTGGAGGACTACCCTGTGGACATCTACTACCTGATGGACTTGTCCAATTCCATGAAGGATGACCTCCGCAATATCCAGAACTTGGGTACCAGGCTAGCCATAGAAATGCGCAAAGTGACCAGCAACCTGAGGATTGGCTTTGGAGCCTTTGTAGACAAACCCATGCCTCCTTACATGTACATTTCCCCTCCGGAAGCCATCAAAAACCCATGCTATGAGTAAGTTATCTGAGCGACCCTCTGATAAATGTTCATAATCTAGAGTTTGGAAAGGTTGCCAGTTTTGTGAAGTTATTCCCGTTCCACCTTCGCTTTGAGGCATGGTAGACCTAATGAAGGTCCGCTCTTAACCTCATTTTGAAAATCAGGTGAGCTGGGGGAATGTGTGCTCCCATCCGTAGCTTAGTCAGTAGAGCCATGAGACTCTTAATCTCAGGGTTGTGGTTTTGAGCACCACCTTCGGCAAAAGATTCCTTCATTTGGGCTAGATGTCCCTTCCAGCTCTACAATTCTATGACTTCTATGATCCCACATCAAATCAGTCCCTCCCTTGCCTTCACTGCAGTTAAGAGATGCGCCAGCCCCAACGTTAACTGTTGTTAAGGCTAAATACCTGAAGGAGTGTCTCCACCGTCCAGCTCCAAGGGCCTTCTGGCAGTTCCCTCACTGTGAGAAGCGAGGTTACAGGGAACCAGGCAGAGGGCCTTCTCAGTAGTGGCGCCTGCCCTGTGGAACGCCCTCCCATCAGATGTCAAGGAAATAAACAACTATCTGATTTTTATAAGCATAGCTCCCTTTTCTTGCGAGGAATCCTATTCGGAATAAGGGAATTTCCCTTTTAAAAAGGGGAAAGTTGGCAGCTATATTTGGAAGACATCTGAAGGCAGCCCTGCTTAGGGAAGTTTCTAATGTGTGGTCTTTTGTTGTGTTTTTAATATTCTGTTAGGAGCCACCCAGAGTGGCTGGGGAGGCCCAGCCAAATGGGCGGGGTATAAGTTGTTGTTATTATTATTATTATTATTATTATTATTATTATTTATTTATTATTATTACATGCACACTGCTGGGAGTTGGGTTAGGAAGCCTTTTGTATGTGTCTCAGCTCAAGAAAAAGTGACTGAAATGCATAATTAGAGAGCGCCTGCCCCCCCGCCTTGGGATCAATGGCTATGGTAGTTTTAATCAGGCCTCCAGGGCCCTGTTTGCCTGCCCAAAGCGACTTCTGTTTTGCCTCTTCCCTTCAGCTTGAAGCCCCCAGATAACCGCTGCCTGCCAATGTTCGGATACAAGCATGTCCTGGCGCTCACAGATGAGGTAAAGCGTTTCAATGAGGAGGTGAAGAAGCAGAGCGTGTCGAGGAACCGGGATGCGCCGGAAGGCGGGTTCGATGCCATCATCCAAGCGGTTGTCTGTGATGTAAGAGCCCCCCCTTGCCGTGGGTCAAAAGGATCACTACTGCTACTTATTATTATTCAATTTATATACTGCCCTATACCCGGAGGTGTTGGGGCAGTTCAGAGAAAAGATGACAACATATATAATCAGAATAAAAACAACAACCCAATAACAGCCCCCCCCCCCAAGGAAAGAGCCACGTTTTAAAAGGGTATAGGAAGTAAAACAGATCAACCAAAGGCCTGGCTAAAAAGGAACGTTTTTGCCTGGCGCCTAAAGGTGTACAGCGGTACTTCAGGTTAAGAACTTAATTCGTTCTGGAGGTCCGTTCTTAACCTGAAACTGTTCTTAACCTGAAGCACCACTTTAGCTAATGGGGCCTCCCACTGCCGCCGCGCCGCCGCCACCGCCACCGCATGATTTCTGTTCTCATCCTGAAGCAAAGTTCTTAACTCGGAAGTACTATTTCTGGGTTAGTGGAGTCTGTAACCTGAAGCGTATGTGACCCGAGGTACCACTGTATAATGAAGGCACCAGGCAAGCCTCTCTAGGGAGACCAATCCACAGATGGGGAGCCACTGCAGAGAAGGTCCCGTTGTCGTGTTCTCACCCTCTGGACCTATCAAGGAGGAGGATAGAGAACAACTTCTTAGCAGATTGCATTTGCCTGATGTTTCTTAGAGTGTGGAGGGGAAGCTAGCTGGATCTTCCAACTCAGACAGGAACCCAATATGTATTGAGCTTGCCCTGTATTGACCCCCCCCCCACAATTATTCGGCACCCTGCCTGTGAAGTTAAAGCCCTAAAGCAGGGGTCAGAGCCCTTGCAACATTCCTTCAGAGGTAATCTGCCAGTGCTAGGCTGGGCCAGGATGAAAGGACGACCTCCTTCTCTTTCTTCTCTGACCCCTTTCCTTCCTCTTCCTGCTTTTGAAATTAGGATGTGGGTTGGATGGCAGTTGGGCCAAGGGCTGCAGGTTCTCCATTTGGGCTTTAAAGAGATAGCCTAGGCCAGGCAAGTCCAACTCCCCAAAGTCTGCGATCTACTCAAAGTATAAAAAGACTGGCTGTGATCTACCCCTTTTTTTCAATCGCCAAGGAACGCAATGCCTATTGCTATGCAGTGGTACCTTGGGTTACAGACGCTTCAGGTTACATATGCTTCAAGTTACAAACTCCGCTAACCCAGAAATATTACCTCGGGTTAAGAACTTTGCTTCAGGATGAGAACAGAAATCGTGGAGCGACGGCGCAGCAGCAGCAGCAGGAGGTGCTGTGGCAGCGGGAGGCACCATTAGCTGAAGTGGTGCTTCAGGTTAAGAACAGTTTCAGGTTAAGAACAGACCTCCAGAACGAATTAAGTACTTAACCCGAGGTACCACTGTACTGCCTTCCACAATCGACCTGGGACACCCCCAAGATCAATCTGTTGGACATCCCTGGCTTAGGCTAATTGATGTAGAGCAGTGGTTCCCAGTTGGTGGTCTGTGGACCCTAGGGGGTCCATGTAACCCACCTGGGGGGAGGTCTGTGTCACCATTCCCATAACAAAAACTACCATGTTGTTGTTTAGTCGTTTAGTCGTGTCCGACTCTTCGTGACCCCATGGACCAGAGCACGCCAGGCACTCCTGTCTTCCACTGCCTCCCGCAGTTTGGTCAAACTCATGTCGGTAGCTTCGAGAACACTATCCAACCATCTCGTCCTCTGTCATCCCCTTCTCCTTGTGCCCTCCATCTTTCCCAACATCAGGGTCTTTTCCAGGGAGTCTTCTCTTCTCATGAGGTGGCCAAAGTACTGGAGCCTCAGTTTCAGGATCTGTCCTTCCTGTGAGCACTCAGGGCTGATTTCCTTAAGAATGGATAGGTTTGATCTTCTTGCAGTCCATGGGACTCTCAAGAGTCTCCTCCGGCACCATAATTCAAAAGCATCAATTCTTCAGAGATCAGCCTTCTTTATGGTCCAGCTCTCAATTCCATACATCACTAAATGTTCAAAAGCAGGGGGTCTGTGGCTTGATTTTTGAAAAACACGGGAACCGCAGTGCTTAACTAATCGGGAACCATTGATGTAGAAGAGTATATTCCTTTGTAGGGCTTGTTTGTGTTTGTGTCTGTCACGATGGAGACTGCAGCGCCATTTTTATTTTGCTTCAGGACAAGATTGGCTGGAGACCGGATGCCTCCCATTTGCTGGTCTTTACTACAGATGCCAAGACGCACATTGCTTTAGATGGGAGACTGGCAGGGATTGTGACGCCCAACGATGGAGAGTGCCACATGGGAAGCAACAATTTATATGACGCTTCCACCACATTGGTAAGGCTGGGTGGCTGCAGCCACAAGGCCAGGATTGCAACCGCTACAGGTCATTCTGCTGTAGTTGATATGATAAATGGATTCAAAAGGAGATAGTAGGCAAATCCTAGGATATTAGAGTATATTTTACTTCCCGAGGACCAGAGACAATGTGCCTTGGAATTCCAATTGCCTGAGAAGTGCATCTGGTTGTCCATCATAAAAAAAAGATGTTAGACTAGTTAGGCCTTTGGTCTGATCCAGCAGGGCTGCTCTTAAAGTTCACAATATATTTTGCATTCCATATTTATATTTTCTGTTTTTTGGTGAGGTAAAACCCCAGAGGCCAAAAGACCACCTGTATAAGAGCTTTGATATCTGTGTGGGTTCAACCCATCATCTGGGTTCTATTTCCCCCCCCCCCTTTTTAAATAATTTTTTAATTAGGTTTTTTAAAAGAAATTTGTATACATATAAAACATAGCATTTTCAAATATTAAAATACAGAGTTCTTTCAAATCCTTATACTTCCTTCCCTCCCTCCATGGGTTCCTTCTTTAAGATTAAATTTACTGCATCTTTTACCTTTATCTAACTATTATATAACCATATTTATCATTAAAGCAATTCCACATTAAAAGTGTGCTATTTCTTGGTTACACTACATGTAACAGCGTGTGAGAAAGAGAGGGAGAGGTGCTGAGATCTGGCAATAGATAGGTAGGCAGGAAATAAATAGATAAGATTTGTGATGGCACTAACTTTGTTAGGATGGTCACATCTTCTATTTTAACTGGCCATTGTTAGACACCTTCTCGTCCAGAGTTGTCCAAAATGCCTTTTCTGATGACCCTCAGAAACATTCAAGAAAAAAAAGTCGTAAAGCCTTAAAATTTTATTTTTTGTGTCATGTGTTGTGAACATGCATCTGTTTGTTTATAAAATTGTTTAATCATTAAATCTATTAATTGTATATTTATTTACATACAATTATAAATAATTCTGTATCTTAAATAACTTTAAATATTTTGAGAACACTTTAATTTACGATATGGAAAATTAGTTCAGCGTGTGGTCCGTCACTTCTGTGCTGAAGTACTCTTGCTTGCAGCTCAATTGGTATGAAAAGTTGGACTGTCCTTCCTATCCCAGTCCTTTGAGGGGTGAAATAGGGTGAAAATGTGTTTATCCTGTTCCCCTCACATCAGACACAAGTGGATTTTCCGTTCTCTAACTTTCTCTTCCCTCCCCCGCTAAGGATTATCCGTCCCTCGGCTTGATGACAGACAAACTCTCTCAGAAAAACATCAACTTGATTTTTGCCGTGACAAAGGCCATTGTGGATCTCTACCGAGTAAGTAGACCCTTTGAAGCAACAGTTTCGTCGAGAACATTGGGAGTAGCAGGTGGGGCTTGAATGAGGCTGTCCAAATGCTAAAATATCAGCTTGGGTGTTAACCTTTTAAATTGTCGAAGGTGGAGCAAACAAAAGCTCTTATCGGCCTAAATATTAGCAGAATTTACTGGAAACCCTCCACTTCTGTTGAATAGGATCCAAAATGCAGCGGTCTGATTGGTCCTAGAACAATAGGATTCAGAATGCCGCAGTCTGATTGGTCCTAGAACAATGCAGCGGTATGACTGGTCCGCAGGAGCCACCCAATCCAGCTCCAGGTGGAAGTGAATCCGCAACCTGATTGGCCTACAGGAGAATCCCGGAATTAGCCAATCACGTGCTGCCCATTTTGTAAATAATGTATATAAAGCAGCTATTTTGGGGGAACTTTCATTCCTCACTACTATGAGCTGAATAAAGAGTATGAAATCCGCACTCGACTCCACGTATATTTCAACTTTTTTATTTTCAGAACTACAGTGAGCTGATCCCTGGCACCACTGTAGGGACCCTGTCAGCCGACTCCAGCAATGTTTTGCAGCTCATTGTGGATTCCTACGAGGTGAGTCCCTAGACCTGTGATATGCAGAAGCAAGGCAGATCCAGGTAAAATGGGCAGGTGCCAGATTTCCAGGGGCACCTCCCACAGCTAAGCAAACTTTGTTGTGTGATACAGCCGACACCTGTGTGTTTGGATGAGGTGCACAGCGTTCGCTTAGCAGCTCATTGGCTGAGCGAGGCTCCCTAAATTCCAGGAGACATGATCCGGAGGCCTCTGATCTTCATTGCCTGCTGCGCATAGTTGTAAAGTTGTAAAAGCGGAGGAAATGCAGGCGTTAAAATTGAAATAGTAACCCAGCTGTGACTCTATTGTTACTCTGTTCAGGAGGGCAGGTTTTAATTCACTTCCCAGTTGCAAATTGCACAAAGGGTTTTCTGTCTAGTTTGGGCTTTCTGAGCTTTTCTCTCTGGCATCTTAGCTTTCCACACTCAGAGAGATATTATCATGGGGTTGAGAAAGAGGGATGTGGACGTTCAAGCACTCCCCACCCCCCAGGTGTTTTTTTTAAAAAATTATTTATTATATTTCGTATACCACCCTTCAGCCGTATATACCAGGGCAATCCAAACTGCTGCAAACAGGTGTCTCCTAGTGTAAGTGATGCATTAATATTGCTTCCACTCCAGCAGTTTGGTCTGGAAATGCTATCCTTTGTTTACTCTGCTTTTATGGAGCCATCTGGATAACCTCCTTAAAATATAGTTGCATTCTGCCATTGACTGTGTTCCCTCCCATGTTCATAACTTATCCGAAGCAGTATTTAATTAGAATCTTCCTGCCTGACAGTTCTGCCCCCCTTTTGCTACTTCCTGCTAAACACAGCGACAGGATCACTGTTGAATAACGTGTGTGTGTGTGTGTGTGTGTGTGTGTGTGTGTTTATATCCACATATAAAAAACAGCTGACTTTCCAGGCTGAAAGCCCCTCTAGCATAGCAGGGGGTGGTCAGTGCCCTTTGCTGTTTTTCTGCAACAAAATGTTGCAGTGCATTCTCTTTGTATGCCCAACCTTTCAAGGTATAGTGTGACTTTCTCAGGGTGACATTGCTGCATAGCTAAGCCGTTTGAACCCTAGCCTTTCTGACCCAAGCCAATACACTTTACTTAATCCACTGCACGACTCTGGATTGACTTGAGAGGAGTGAATTAATTAACAAAACTCCCATCAGCAATGGAGCCAAAGCTTTCAGCAGGCTGTATCCAATACTAGCCGTGCTCAGGGCAGAGCCACTCAATTTAATGGACAGGACTAAGAGGCTCATTAAATTTCAGTGGCTTTATTCTGAATAAAACTAGCATTGCATACAACCCAGAATATTGTTTTCCAGGCCTGCTCAGTTTTTCGGCTTATCATTGTGTTTTAGCATTGTTGTAAGCCACTCAGAGACCTTTGTTTTTGGATGTAAACAAGAATAAATATGAATGAATGGGGAAATGTGCTTGTTTTTTTTTGTTGAGGGTCCATCTTGAGCTTAAGTGTGGCTGCATCTACACAGCTATAGAAAGCACTCTGAAAATGCTCTGGGTGGGGAGAAACCTTTTAAACCTCACAATAGAAAATTTCATAGAGTTCTGATTCAGCTCTACGGCGTCCTCTGGAGTTAGTGTTATAATGCATTTATAACGGTTTGTTTTTACTAATGTAGCTGAGTCCTCAGACATTCCCCCTGTTCCTCTTTCAGAAAATTCGTTCCAAGATTGAACTAGAAGTTCGCAATCTGCCGGATGAATTGTCCCTCTCATTCAATGCCACCTGCCTGAACAACGAAGTCATTCCTGGAGTTAAGTCCTGCGTTGGCCTTAAGATTGGAGACACGGTGAGTAAGAACTGCAAGGGGCTGGGGTAGGAGGACCACTTCTCCATGTCCCTCGTTCAAAGGGAATCCAAGCCTCCACCAGCAGTCTTAAGAAGGTTCACAGCAAAGAAGCAGAGGCAAGAGGAAAGTGTCAGCAAAATGTGCAAGTAATCTTTCTGCCTTCATCATAAAACTTTTGTGTAGTGGTGTTTTTTTGTGTGTGGGTTAAAATTTGGGAGGCAGAGGGCCTCAAAAGTTAAAAAGTAAGGGACCATGTGTCTGCACATTTGTATTCAGTAGCATCGAGCACCCCTTTCCCTTGGGACGTGGGTGGCCCTGTGGTCTAAACCACTGAACCTCTTGGGCTTGCCGATCAGAAGGTCGGTGGTTTGAATCCCCGCGATTGGAGTGAGTTCCCGTCGCTCTGTCCCAGCTCCTGCCAACCTAGCAGTTTGAAAGCATGCCAGTGCAAGTAGATAAATAGGTACCACTGCGGCGAGAAGGTAAATGGTGTTTCCATGCACTCTGGTTTCCGTCCCGGTGTCCCGTTGTGCCAGAAGCGGTTTAGTCATGCTGGCTACATGTCCCAGAAAGCTGTCTGTGGAGAAGTGCCGGCTCCCTCGGCCTGAAAGCGAGATGAGCGCCGCAACCCCCAGCGTCACCTTTGACTGGACTTAACCGTCCAGGGGTCCTTTACCATTTTTTTACCCCTTTCCCCTGCTAAAATGATCTGATTTACTACACTCCCTTCCCTAAGAACAAAAGCAGACCTGTCCTCAGGCACTCTCCATCCACTACGGTGAATCACCATGTTTGCCACTGCCGCAAAAAGAACAAGAGGCTATATATGGAATTGCCTATTTGATGCAAAAAAAACAACAACAGCCCCCTGTATAATGACACTCTTTGTTTAGTAAGCGGAGAGAATTTAAATCAGTTTCATGAAACGGCACTTAACGGAACTCTTAGAAACAGAAGAACTTGAACAGAAATTCCTGTGAATTTCCTGACAAGGTGACTGCGTCTCCCCATATCACGCAGTCCTTGGAAACTTCTCCAGGCACAAGGGTGTTTGCCCTATACTGCGATTTCTAAGAGCTGCGTTAGCTGAAGAGACGTGGTCTCTCCCCCCCCCCAATAAATGGACTGAGATTCTGCCCAGTTACTGAGCAAAAGAATGTCGTCGCAACTCATTGCAACATCGCGAATGGGCAGCTTTGGTACGAATTGGGCAATTCCACTTCCAGGCTGTGAGAGATGGGTTATTAAAAGTGCAGAATCCGAACGGTTGGGGTTTTTTAAAGGTGTTTCCTTGAGGAAGGGTGTGAGGGCAGTTCCGGATGTCTTGCTCTTTCCAGGTGAGCTTCAGCATTGAAGCAAAGGTGCGTGGCTGCCCTGCGGAACCACAGAAGACTTTCACCATCAAGCCGGTGGGTTTTGAGGACAGCCTGACAGTGCAGGTGAACTTCGACTGCGACTGCCGTTGCCAAAAGTTTGCCCAGCCGGACAGCGACATCTGCAGCAACGGCAACGGCACCTTTGAATGTGGCATGTGCCGCTGCCACCCGGGCCGCCTGGGCACCCAGTGCGAGTGCTCCGAGGAGGAATACAGCCCCTCGCAGCAGGATAACTGCAGCCCCCACCAGGGGCAGCCTGCTTGCAACCAGCGGGGAGAATGTATCTGTGGCCAGTGCGTCTGCTACAGCAGTGACTTCGGCAAGATCTCCGGCAAGTACTGTGAATGCGATGACTTCTCCTGCGTCCGGTTCAAGGGCGAGCTGTGCTCTGGTAAGTGGGGAAATGTCGTGGGGTTGGGGGCCTTGGAACTGGGCTTTTGAGAACTTGGTGCAATTTGAAACGAAAGGGCTCACCCTGCGTTCCGTTCGTCCCCTTCTCTGATCAAGCAGACTCATGGAAGTTGTAGCCCCAAACATCTGGCTGCTTGGGTGGGGGGCTGTTGGCGCACCGTAGGAATGGATGGCGCTCTCAAACACTGCCAGCTTGCTCTCAAACTTTTTGTGTCTAGCCGGAAAGGTTTGGTTTCCTCCTCTGATTTCACGGGGGAAGCTTTGCGTGTCAAGACCCCGCAGCCACGCCCTCGTTGAAAATAACTCACACAAGGACACAGATATTAGGTTTATGTTATTGGGCAAATTTTGGCCGCAACTTTGAATTACAGAATGTGAGTGGTATTGGCTTCGGCATTGATTGGACCTGACTATATCTGACTCCTGCCCATTGTGCAGGAAGTCCACTAAGGGTAAGCCACCGATAGGGGGAGCCCTGTCGATGCGAACCAACTCGAGCTCCCCCTGGTGTTCCCGTCGGGGTCATGTCAAGGCCCTAGCCCCCAGCTGGGCTTCGGAGTGCTCTGGCTTGCTCCTTGGTTTAAACGGCCCCGGCCATGCCCCCCCAGCCAGCGGATTGGCTGGCCGGGCTCTGACGTGGCCGGGATCCCCCTGGCAACGGGGTACAAAATCCCCCACCCCCGGTGGGGAGTGGGTGGCCACGCGGTCCACCGCAACTCCTCCCCACTGGGAAGTGGAGCGGATCTGTGCCCAGTTGCAATGTCCCACCTTTGAATCGATCCGAGATTATGTTGCGGAACGGGCAGTACCTTTTTAAAGGCGTGTACAGAGGCGTAGCATTGGGGCGGGCAGGGGGCGGGACAGGGAGCCCATGGCCCCAGGCACACATTTTTGAGGGGGCACAATCAGATGCCCCCACAACAGGCAGAGGCAGGCTGGTCTAGTGGTCAGGTGGATGGAGGCAGCAGGTGAGGGGCCTGTTGGAGGTGGGCTCCGTTCACCCTCCATGTGGGCTCCACACAGCCGTCCTCTGGCGTGTGCCCCCACCCCAGCTCCCCAGTCTATGGGGGGGGGACCACACTTGCTCCACCTCGGGTACCAGCAACCCATGCTATGCCACTGGGCATGTGCCCTGGTTCCTTTTCTATACAGAGAATAATTAATATCACTTTTTATCAACATGCGTCCAACAGTCAATGTTTTTTTTTTTATAGCAAAGAGGTTTGTAGTTTTGGGCACACAGCACAAACACAGTGCCAACTGAAGTCTTTCTAACAATAATCAATGCATAGAACCAGCCAGCGCTGGACAGAAATAAAGGTGTTCCTGGGGAACAGCACACCCTCCTTCCCTTCCTAAGTGGTGTATCTGCTAGTCCTTGGCTCCTTTCCTTTAGGACGAGGCCCCAAATGGCAAAGATTTAATTGTAGCTGAACTTTGATGTGGGAAAAGTACTCACATACTTACTCTGTGAGGTCTGCCAGAAATCAGTTTCTTGCTGATCTATGTTAAGCAGATTACCCTGTCCAAGAGAGTTATTTGGGATACGGGAGGGGGAAAACATGGGGTTTGGATCTTGGAAGGGATTAAGAAATAAGTGCACTTTTGGCCTCACTTCTGAAAGGGGACCTGGAGGCTCCTGGCTGAAACTGATAGATAGATACTGAAAGATAGATCATAATGACCTTTGAGGACTTTGTTTTAGCTATACATAGGAGTTTTGATTCTGTTAACCTTTAATTGGCTTTTATTCTTATTTTTCCTATGTTGTTAGCTGTTTCCATTTTTACCTGTAAGCCACCTTGAGTGTTCCCATCAGAGAAAAAGGCGGGATCTAATTAATTACTATAATAACTATATATGCATAGGAAACTGAAACACACACATACAGAACTTTTTGTATTTTGCCATAGGAGGTAGGATTCAAAAAGTAATAACATTTTTATTCGAGCATTTGGTATTCACACCATAGCAAGCTCGTGGGTTACACAAAACTCTTATTCAGGCAGGAACTGAATTTGTTTACCTCCTCAAATAAGATTTCTGTGCAAGTGGAAAGCTTGATGTTGGAAGGGAGGGTGCCAGTTCAGCAGTGCTTCCTGGTCTGTGCTTGTAATTGATGACTTCTTGATCCAGACTTTGATTATGTCTGCTTCCCTGAAGGAGGAAAGGGCTGCTTGGGTGTGCCTTTCTTTTTAGTTACAGGATTCAGGGTGGCTGTGTGGGTGACTCAATGTGATAAGGACTGGTGGGGAAAGGGGCAACTGTTGTGGTTGTGTGAGCTGGGAGAATCATCCTTGCTCCTTGTACAGAGCAGCAGCGCATTCCGTTCCATATGAGTTTCTGTGTGTGTTGTGAAATACAACAAACATTGTGCAATGCGTCCGTTTGAGATGTTTACAGCCCATTGATAAAGCAGGCGTGCCATTCATTGCGTAAGCCGCTGTGATGCTTTTAGGAGAATACTGACCTTTGATACTCCATTCAGAGGATATCGTAGTAGAAACAAGACGCTCACATAAAGCATGGTTTGGCCCTGAATCCACCACTGAATTGGGAGATAATGTAGCCAAGCCGTCTCCTGCCCATCCCTAAAAAGCTGAGAGGAAACAAGAGGTGGGAAGCCACAGCAGCCTTGAATCTCACTTGGAGATGAGTGAATCTGTCAGTGTTGGTTTTCCCTCGGTTTATCATTTTTCCTATCTTAAGTTTTCCACATTTCCAGGTTAGGTCTGCGATTGAAATGAAAAGTACCCATGAAAATTCATCAGCATTTTAGTGTGAATTTCTCCTCTGATATACACTTTCCGTACACAGTTTTGCCTCATCCGCACACTTCCGCAAAGCCGTTTTCCCTAAGGCAACACATTTTTGTAGGTTGCGTTCGCTAATTTATGCATTGCCATGCACATGTTGTTGCAGTATGTGCTTGTTATCGGTTGTAAAACTGAGAGAATTTGGAAGACTGGCTGTGTTTCAGTTCATGTATGGTTTTCAAAAAGCATGGCTTGGCCCAAGCTCATTTCTAAATGTGAACTGAATTAAATTCCCCCAATCCCTTCTTCTTCTTTGGCGATCACTCGTAGCCGAGTAAGATTGTCTTCCATAAACACGGTTTTAACAATGAGTCCGTAAGTGACTTTGGAGGCCAATTCTAGATCCACACGTCCTTCCACAGTGGGGACATTGGTTCCCGGGTGGGAGTTGATCAATGTGTGGATTTGCCAAGCGTGCCTTCCTCTTAGCACGTTTCTCCCTTTTGTCCTGAGTTTGAGTGTCTTCAAAGCCCATGACACCTTTGGTAAAGGCTGTTCTCCAATTGGAGCGCTCACAGGCCAGTGTTTCCCAGTTGTCGGTGTTTATACTACATTTTTTTTAGATTTGCCTTGAGACAGTCTTTAAACCTCTTTTGTTGACCATCAGCATTACGCTTTCCATTTTTAAGTTTGGACTAGAGTAGTTGCTTTGGAAGACAATAGTCAGGCATTCGCACAACATGACCAGTCCAACGAAGTTAATGTTGAATAATCATTGCTTCAACACTGGTGATCTTTGCTTCATCCAGTACACTGATATTAGTTCGCCTGTCTTCCCAAGTGATGTGTAAGATTTTTCAGAGACACCATTGATGGAATCTTTCGAGAAGCCTGTTGCCATAGAACAGGCATGTCCAAGCGGTCAATCGCAATCTACTGGTCGATCGTGGGGCATCCCTGGTCGATCGCATTGATCCCCCCCCCAAAAAAAAAGCTCAACAACTTTGGGTTTTCCTCCCCAGAAAAATCTCAACAACTTTGGTCAATCCACTGGGTAGATCACTGCCAGTTTTTTTATAGTGGGAGTAGATCGCAGTCTCTTGGGAGCTGGACATGTCTGCCATAGAGTACCCTCAGGCTTCAACATGGCAGCACTCAGAGGGAAAGGAAAGTACCCATTTCCCCCAGAGACCTTTCCTGACGGTGTGCTGCAGTGCCACACAACAGGCAAAGGAAGCTGCCATCAGGTTGAGCACACAAATCGGGTCACAAATTTCAACATTTCCGGAATGGGAAATACTGATGCTGAGCATGTTTGCTCCCACTTCTTAATGGACCTTGTGCCTGTACTGCTGACCAGTGGCACACCTCGGGGGTCTCAAATTTCAGCGGACGCCTAAAACTGACACCCCCTGCCTCTCGTCTTCCATTCCACATCATAGTTATAATAATTTAATTTAATTGCATTAGCATACCGCCATAGCAAAATAAGACAATACAAAAAATGTTGGGGACAAGCAACCAAGCAAAATTCAAAGCGATATTGCTGGCGTAATGACATTTAAAACACCCTAAGACAATAATACAGAGATTTGGTTGCCAGCGCCAAAAAGACTAGTATGCGGATATAAATAAAGCATAAAATGGCCCCAAAATAGGCTCAGCACATTGAGTTAAAAAGGTAATAAAAGAATTAAACAGGTCCAGGACTAGGGCACACTACCCTGTCAGAGTAGCCCTGAGTTTCAGAGCCTGCACTGTGAAGATTGCCACCCCACGTGAAATTTGGGGATTTGCGTCCACAAGAAGTGCTTTCAGACAGTCTTCCTTAGATGAAATGGAGGACGGGATCAAGAGGAGGAGCTTAGGTCTTATTGGGTCATAAATAGGGCAGTAGAAAAAGAAATGTATGAAGTCCTCTACTTCATTCATTGTGCATGGACATAGACGCTGAGTAATAGGGGTCTTAGAGTAGGTCCCCTGCAGGAAGGCCGTGGGTATAGAATGAAAACGGGCCATTGTAAACGCTCTTCTCAAATTGGGCTCCGTCAGGTCTATCAAGTAGTTGGCAAGTGATCTTACCACTTTCACTTTAGGGAGCCACATGGAGAGGCGAGCTGAGGTGGACTGTGCCCGGTCCATGGCCTCATCTCTTGTGAGAATCCAGGCCCGGATTTTATGTTGGTCCCAAGATGACAACGTGTCGAATTCTGGGAGGGAGTAGCGTACAGTAATAGTCTCCATGGCCTTGGACCATTTGTTGGAGTGAGAACAAGTTAAAAAGGCTTGCCTGGCTAGTAGGGAACCTGGGGCATTGATTAATTTGCAATAAAAACTAATAATTCTAATGTGGGCTCTCGCAACAATGGAGGGGAGGCCCAGTTCAGTTCTTAACTGAGCAGCAACCGAGCCCTTGGGGAGACCCAGTATCTTTCGTGCAAAAGAGTTTTGTAGACTCTCCAGCCGTTGTAGTGTTTTTAAATTCCACCCCCAGATTTCAACCCCATACAGTAACATCGGGAGGACTTTGCTAATAAATGCTTTTCTGATTGGTGGAACCAACTGTCCGCCTTTTGCATAGAAGAATTTCTCCAAGGCTTTGATGGTTCTACGGGCAGCCAGAATGGTCATATTTAGGTGAGCTGACCAGCTAAGCCCATGCTGAAAAGTGATTCCCAAATACTTGAAAGCTGAGCAATATTCAATAGAGTGGCCCTCAAAGTTCCAGAATGACTTCCGAGTTTTCGTGCCAAAAGTAAGAATTTTGGTTTTGGCGAAATTAATTTTGAGGGAATTGGTATCACAATATGTCATGAGCCCTCTGAGCATGTTGTTTAAGCCCTGCTTGGTTAAAGACAGTATCACCATGTCGTCCGCATAGAGTAATATGGGGATCTTGAGCTGTTGTAGAGTGGGGTCAGTTTGATTTAGGGCCTGCATAGTTGTAACGATGTCGTTGATATAGAAATTGAATAGAAAAGGGGCCAAGAGGCAGCCCTGTTTGACCCCTTTATTCAGAGGGAAAGAATCAGAAAGAGCTCCCAGGGGGCCGAATTTTACTCTGGCCGATATGTCATTATAAATTTCCATAAGAAGAAGGAGGAGTCTCTTATCTATGTTGGTGTAACTAAGCTTCTGCCATAGCCTATCTCTGGGAATGGAGTCAAAAGCGGAGGTCAGGTCCACAAAAGCCGCGTGTAGTTTGCAGTTAAACCTGTTTAAGTATTTATCAATCAGGGTAAATAGAACAAGGCATTGGCCAGATGTACTGTGACCTTTACGGAAGCCAGCCTGTTCCGAGTGGAATAGCTTTGTTTCTTCTGCCCACTCGATTAATTTCTCTAGCAAGAATCTAGAGTAAACCTTGTATGATATGTCTAGCAGGCTGATGGGTCGATAGTTACGCGGATCTTGTGGGTCCCCCTTTTATGTATTGGGATGACTATGCTCTGTTTCCAATTTGGCGGGATCTTAAGAGTGGCATTAATAGTGGTAAAGAGAGATGCAAAAATAGGGGCCCACCACATCTGGTTCAATAAGAATACCTCGGGTGGAATCATATCCTCCCCGGGATTTATCCCCTGATAACATGCTAATTAGTTGTACACATCTCTCTGGGGAGACTGGCTCCCAGGTGGGCAAGGGAGATGCAGGAAGAATGGAAACTGCGTTTACGTCGGAATCTGGGGCGGAATACAGCTGAGCAAAGTGAGAGTGCCAACTGGCTGCTGTGATGTTATTAACGATGAATGAGGGGGGTCTTAAACCTGCATTAATTAAATTCCAGAATTTCTTGTTGTCACGGGTTTTAATGGCCACTGACAATGCCGTCCAGCGTTCTTTCGCAAAGATCAATTTCTTATGTTGGAGCAACTTCTTGTAGTAAGAACGGAATTGGGCTAACTCCCTGATTTTGCTCTGGGTGCTGTCTGATTTCATATCAGACTGAAGAAATCTAAGCCTACTTCTGCACTGTTTGCATTCTTGGTCGAACCAAGTTTGATTCTTCCAGGTTAGACTCGCACGGGAGGGTTTCGTAAGTGTTGGGAGCAAGTAGGCTAGAATTTGTTGGAAACTTGAGAAATGATTCACATTCATTGTTACCAGCTGAGCTTTCAGGGCTAGGATCTCAGGGGAATTTAGGAGGACTTTTATGTCTTGCTCCAGATAGATATCCCACTTCTTACGACCGGGGGCTAAGGTCAGTGAATCCTGGTGGAAGGAGATGGCAATAGGAAGGTGGTCACTTTCGGTTCTGTTGAACACATTGAAACAATATGCCTTATCATTAAGTGCCGAGGAGGACCAGATATAATCTATAACGCTTGCCCCTCTAGATCCTAGAAAAGTATAGCATCCCCGGACCAGTCTTTGGGTGTACCATGCAAGCTGTGCAGCCCGCAGTTAATGGTAAACTCCAGCAGTATGATGCCAGCCCTATTAATGGTCTTGTCATGTGAATTCCACGTAGGAAACCACTCCTCTTCTATGAATAGTTGCGACTTATCGGTGAATGAGCTTATATCTGCTCCGATTCTGGCATTAAAGTCCCCCATTATGAGGATCTCTGACTTTGGGAATTCAGCCACAGATTTATCAAGGATAAATCTTAGATCCTCCCAAAACCGATTTGTATGGGAAGAGGAGTAGGTAGATGGATTGTACAAGTTAACACATATGAGGTCCCCAACCGGGCTGTTAGTGATGTGCAAAGTTTGAATACAATTACTCTCTAACCAAAGGAGAGGAGAGATATTAAGATGAAGCTCCTGCGAAACAAATGTTACCAGGCCTCCACTCGGGCGCCCAGACAAATGTGTTTTGGTCGCAGGAATCACAAAAGCATCATAGCCCAGTAGGGAAGGGGGGGGTGACGATTCTAAGCACCAGGTCTCTTGTATACCCATAATCTGGAATTTCGCTAAAAACTCTATCATATCCCCGCCATCCTGTTTGGACGTCCATCCCGCCACGTTCCAGGATAGCACATTGAAGCAGTTTGGGGAGGGACTATGTGCTAGTCAGATACTCTGGTTGCTGGTGGAAGAAGCATTGCCAAGGGTCTGAGACCGCGCCAGGCGTGATACAGCCGAAGGTATCGAAGGGGTGGTAATTTGATTGATGTGGCCAGCAGGGTCTTCAATAAAGCCTGAGCTGTCTCTTTGCACAGTGGCTTCCTTAACGTTTATATATTGGCTTGAAGAGGTTACGGATACAAGAGGTTCTGCCAAACGAGGTTGACTGACAAAGGACGAGGATATACAGTCATCTGCCTGGACCGCACTGAATGAGGACTCCAGGTCAGGCATGGAAGAATAGGACATTGACAGATTACCTGGATGAATGGTGTTTGGCATATTGCTCTTTAAGGCGAGGGACGAGGTAGTTGATTGCAAATCTATTAGTAGAGGTGAAGAGGGTCTGCGTTGCGACGATGTATGAGGAGCTTCCGCCAGGCAGACTGCCATATCATCCGTTATTGGAGACCCAGTGATTGGCAGGGGTTTCTGGGGTGTTAGTTGTGGTGCCCCACCTGTCGCGCCCCTGAGGCTCTGCGCCCGGTGCAACCAAACCGGCCCCACTCCCCTGAATTTGCCTCTGCGTTCGCAGTAGCCTGCCAACCAGAAATGAAGCAGGTGGCAATTTTCCTAGCATGGGAATAGGGTTTTTATAAAACACACCGTCATCACATGCATTTATTTGTGCCTCAAGGCTGCAGTTAAGGCGTTGGAGCGAGACTGGTTTTTGTTAATTATTTAAAAAAGGTGCACAGACCTAGCCCAGGGAAGTGGATTTTGGCATGTAAACGTGAAAACTGAATAGATTTGCTACGGCTCCCAATTCCTTTTCTGTTCTTGTTGTTCTTTCCTCCACAAGCCTCGTCCTCCTCAGCAACTTTTGACTGGGTCATTGTCTCCCGGCTCATTCCATCGGAGTAATTAATTCTAAAGCGAGTGACAAACACGCACGGCCTGTTCTCTCAGTTGGCATGTGTTTTCCTCAGTGTCACTAGAGACTCCCCCCTCCCAAACCAGCTGCTCCTTCTCTCCCCCCCCACCAGCCTAGCTGTGATTCACTTGAGTTTCTCATTAACCAGTCTTTTTCATAGTTAGCAGAGGGTCTGCAGGTTGCCACCCACCCACTGTCCCAGGAGTGTGTGGGCATAGCTGGGCACCTCAGAGAAAACATTTCCTCTGAATATTTCCACAGCAGCCTTTCGTGGGGGCTCCAGATTGGAGCGTGCGCCGCCCACACAACTAATGCTCTAACTGCATCAGTGGTTTAGCAAGGTCAGCACCTACTTGGGTGGGAATTAAATGTAAGCACAGGCCTTGGTTTCTGGCAACCGTGAGGTAAATTATTAAGAGTATACCCTCTGTTGCCTTGGCTCTTCCCCAACCCAGGGAGAACACTTCTTTTGTTATTTAATTCTCCTTTACCTCTGTTCTTCACTTCCAGCTGATACCATTTTATGTAATTTATCACGTTTGTTTCTCACCCTTCCTCTGAGGACAGCAAAAGGGGTTATCCTGTTTTATCTTCATAGGAACCTGGGGTGACAGGTGGGGTGGAGCGGGTAAAAGTTAAATTTGAGGGAGTTATAAAGAGGGTTGCCAACCAGCTAGGTAACCCACTGGCTTGGCTGTTTTGGGCAATTCCCTCCACCCATTGCCAGGTAATGGAGGCAAAAGTTCCCCCTGCCAGCTCTGCTCTGACATTTTCAGCTCTCTTTATATATCTATTGTACACATGTTTAATTTGGGCTCCAACACTGGAACGTAAGTCGCATTGTGATTTGCCCGCAGGTCATGGTGAATGCGTCTGCGGCGACTGCGCATGCGACCCCGACTGGACTGGAGCCTACTGCAACTGTACCACCCGGACTGATACCTGCATGTCTAGCAATGGGCTGGTATGCAGCGGACAAGGCCGCGGCTACTGTGCCTGTGGGAAATGCGTCTGCACCCAGCCTGGCTCTTACGGAGATACCTGTGAGAAGTGCCCAACCTGCCCCGATGCCTGCACTATCAAGAAGTGAGCAAGAGGGAGCTGTGATTTTGTGTGTGTGCGTGTGTGTGCGCCAGTTGTCTGTCGTTTCTCAAAACAACACAAAATCATTAAAGTAAACATCATAGCAGGAGGTAACCTGCTACAGACATGTAGAATATTAGGGTGCAAGGTTGCATTCTTAACTCGGATGATGATGATTGATTAATAATAATAAATTTATTATTTATACCCCGCCCATCTGGTTGGCTTTCCCCAGCCACTCTGGGTGGCTCCCAGCCAAATATTAAAAACACAATACAGAATTAAACATTTAAAACTTCCCTGCAGTGGTACTTCAGGTTACAGACGCTTCAGGTTACATATGCTTCAGGTTACAGACCCTGCTAACCCAGAAATAGTACCTCGGGTTAAGAACTTTGTTTCAGGATGAGAACAAAAATCGTGCGGCAGTGGTGCTGTGGCAGCGGGAGGCACCATTAGCTAAAGTGGTGCTTCAGGTAAGAACAGTTTCAGGTTAAGAACGGACCTCCAGAGTGAACTAAGTTCTTAACCCGAGGTACCACTCTATTTGCTATGCCGCTCAATTTGAATGGGCGTTCGCTGGAACAGCGAAGTACAGGTTTCAGGAAGACCGAAATTTTAATAAGGAATGGGGGAAATTTATAACTTAAAGACCATTGTAAACAGTTAAATTCTTTAGTAGGATTGGAACAGCACTTGTAGTTTAAGGTTGATGTTGGACATAATGGGAAGAGGTAAAGGGTTTGGATTATCATAAAAGATGCGAGAGAAACTGATTAATAATAGGACCCACATAGGGGAGGACGGATGTCCAGGAGATTTCTTGGAATCTTGTTTTTTATGATTTATGTTTGAGACATCTCTGTAATATTTTAAGTTGAAAAATCTAATAATTTTAAAAAAACAACAACAAAGTACAGTCGTACCTTGGAAATCGAACAGCTTAGTTCTCGGATGTTTTTGCTCCCAAACACTGTAAACCTGGAAGTGAGTGTTCCAGTTTTCAAACATTCTTTTGGAAGCCGAACATCAGACAGGGCTTCCACGGCTTCCAGTTGGCTGCAGGAGCCATGCTTTGGTTTCCGAACGTTTCAGAAGTCGAGCGGACTTCCGGAACAGATTCCGTTCAACTTCCAAGTTTGAAAAGTTGACAAAAAAAATGAAGGGAGCAAGGGGCATGTAAAAGCTTTAATCAACCCTTCGTTCTTACCCACTCATCCTGAGATTTCATTCCTTCTCATGAATACCCTGAGAAGCAGCCTAAAACCCTGAAATATTATTCATAATTACTATTTATAAATTCTTACATTTTTCTAGGCACTGTGCAAATACTCCATTTTCAAATCAAGTCTGTGGCTGCAGGCCTAACAGTCTAGCCAATATGACACAGGAGGGGTGGGGAGGGAGCAAGAAACAAGCTAACTTGGACACTGGTTGTTAAAGTTGCATCGCAGTTCTTCTGATGACTGGCTGAAAAAAGGAGATAGTTCAGGGAGGAGCCCAATGAATGGGGAACGTGTTCCACTCCCCCCCCCCCTCTGCTGCAGTCGGGTAGGACTGTGGCTAGCAGAGTGGCTGTTTAGAAAGAGTTAAAGGGCAGCTGGGCAAGGCTGATGGAATGGGCTGTACTATCTCGCTCCTCTGTCAGAAGCAGCCACCAGGTCAAACCCTGAGACATGGTGACCCCTAAAGGTGTGGCGTACTCTGGTAGGAAGGACACATGCCTTGGTTAGGTGGGAGACTGGGGGAGTGGGGTGCCAGAGATCCTGCTGAAATCCGAATGCAGTCATACCTTGGAAGTCGAACGGAATCCGTTCCAGAAGTCCGTTCGACTTCCAAAATGTTCGGAAACCAGTATACCTGAAGGAGCGTCTCCACTTCCATCGTTCTGCCCGGACACTGAGGTCCAGCACAGAGGGCCTTCTGGCGGTTCCTCGCTACGAGAAGTGAGGTTGCAGGGAACCAGGCAGAGGGCCTTCTCGGTAGTGGCACCTGCCCTGTGGAACGCCCTCCCACCAGATGTCAAAGAGTAAAATAACTACCACACTTTTAGAAGACATCTGAAGGCAGCCCTGTTTAGGGAAGCTTTTAATGTTTAATAGGTTATTGTATTTTAGTGTTCTGCTGGAAGCTGCCCAGAGTGGCTGGGGAAACCCAGCCAGATGGGTGGGGTATAAATAATAAATTATTATTATAATGAGCGGCTTCCAATTGGCTGCAGGAAGCTCCTGCAGCCAATCGGAAGCCATAGAACCTGCGTAGGATTTTTGGCTTCCAAAAGAACGTTCGACAACCAGAACACTCACTTCCGGGTTTCGGTCCTTCTGGAGCCGATTTGTTCAGGAGCCAAGGCATTTGAGATCCAAGATATGACTGTATAGCCTCTGTTTTTGCAGTCATGGGATGTGGAGCCCACATCCCTCGGCCTGCTTCATTATTCTCACTGTACCTGCTTCTTCCTCTTATGCAGGGAGTGCGTGGAATGCAAGAAGTTTGAGAGGGGGACCCTGATGGAGCAAGAGACCTGCAACCGCAACTGCCGGGACGAGATTGAATTGGTGCAGGAGCTAGGTGCGTAAGAAACATGGGGCTCTCTGTATGACCAAGAGACCTGCCTCAGCAAGGGATGGCAACTGTGCCAGTTCTTTCTTGCGTGATTAACAGCCACCCAAACTCAACACCATTCTTCCTCTCGTATTTTAACTGCCAGCCATCTTTTCTTTTAGACGACGCACTTTTAGAAGGGGCTCCGTTTCTCCTGCCGCTTTGCTGAAGGGGCGCTGAGCGGAGAGGGGGAGAATTTTTTTTTCTTGTTCTTCCCCTCTAAAACAAGGTGCATCCTATGGTCCGGTGCATCCTATAGGGCAAAAAATACGTTAAATGGCCTCTAATCTCAAGTGACATTTAAAAGAAAACGGGCAAATGCTACATATTTCATGCACAAAAACCTAGGGAGCACCAATGATACCAAACAGGTACCTTAAGAGGTACCCGCTGCCTTGCAGGACATCTTTGGGAGAAGAAAAGGATAAGAGTAAACCGTCCCTAAGACGGTTGGATGGCTCCTTGTACGCCTCCTTCCGGCAACTCCTGCAGCCAAGCTGGTGCCAAATGTATTTCTCTGCTTTCCTTTGTGCCATGTCAGTGAGGCTGAGAGGGGGTCTTTGCTAGAGATGGGAAGGCCTGGGGGGAAACTGGAAAAATGGAGGGGAAACCAGGTTTTTTTCTGTTTTTTTCCAAAAGCCGTTTTCCCCCAGAAAAGAAATGAAAAAAACCAGTTTGATATAGTTTGAGTATTCCATACACTCCCCCCCCCCATTTTTCTGGAGGGGGGGGAACAGCTTCGGGGGGAAATGGGGAAAAACCTGGGTTTATTTTTTCTTCATTTTTTCTGGGTTTTTCCCCAGGCCTTCCCATCTCTAGGACTCTTGGCCCAGGACAGGGGTCTGCAACCCGCGGCTCCAGAGCCGCATGTGGCTCTTTTACACCTTTGCCGCGGCTCCGGGGCGGATACTAGCGAGGGGAGGAGGCGCATTGTGCGCCCGACACTCCCCACTGTGGCGGGCGCTGTACTGGCTGTGATGTCGCATGGGGGCGGTGCTTGCGTTAGTCACGCACCGTCCCGACGTCACCTTCCCGCCCACCCGCTACATTGTAAGGGGCATGTATGCTGGTCACTGCATTGAAAGGGGGCATGTACGCTGGTCACTGTTTTGAAGGGGAGTGAAGAACACACACACAAAAAAGGGTAACTTGTTAATTTAACGTTTATCTCCAAGAGGAGGAGTAATTCTGAGGGGTCAAACAAAGAAATAAAAAAAAAAGTGACAAAAAAGTTATTTTTATAATGATGAGTTTTGCGGCTCCCAGTTGTTTTTTCTTCGGAAACGGGTCCAAGTGGCTCTTTTTGTCTTAAAGGTTGCAGACCCCTGGCCCAGGACCTCCATAGGCACCACCAGGCTAGTGCCATGGAAAGCTCCATTGTCTCTCTCTCTCAAGAGGCAGATGCCAACAACCTTAAGAGGACTCCATCCAGAACTCCTCAGACTCCATTGGTTTATGGCAGTTTCCCCCAAACATGAGTCCCCAGGTGGTGTTGGACTACAATTCCCATCATTCCCAACCAGTATGGCCAATAGGGATGATGGGGCTTGTAGTCCAATAACAGCCGGTTAGGTGCAATGGTCAGGGAAGACTATGGTCTATGGGATGCAACATCTCAATAGGTCCATGGAGTCGAATGATGGCTACAAACCTAAATCTCATCAGGAAGTGGCCTGACTGCGACAAGAGTGTTAGGATGAATTGCACAGATAGCTCAGTTGGTTAGAGTGTGGTGCTGATAATGCCAAGGTTTGCAGGTTTGATCCTCGTATGGGACAGCTGCATATTCCTTCATTGCAACTCTGATTCGATGAATTCCCTCACATCTAGAGTACATCTAGAGCTCAGAATACCTGACCCAGAGTGTGGCCTGCCACATGTATTGCGTGCTGTAGTCCAAAAAAATCCAAAGGGCATCGTGTTGGGAAAGGCTGATCCCTGTATCTAGAGACCAACACCAGCTACAAACATTCAACTAGACTAGAATAGGAGATGGAATTCATGTAGAGTACAGCAGCCTCTTCCCATGAGCCCTGAGACGATGTTGGCAATGAATCGAGGACCCAGGCTTACAGATTCGAATCAGCTTATGAGTATTTGAGTAGGAGCACTTGCTTTTTGTGTGGCCCCAATCTGAATGCTTGTGACACCCCTAGTCCTACTTCTGAACTTCCCAAGAGCACCTGTTGGGCCAACTCCTGAAAGCGAGGGATGCGGGTGGCGCTGTGGTCTAAACAACTGAGCCTCTTGGGCTTGCCGATCAGAAGGTCGGCAGTTTGAATCCCCACGACGGAGTGAGCACCCGTTGCTCTTTCCCAGCTCCTGCCAACCTAGCAGTTCGAAAGCACGCCAGTGCGAGTAGATAAATAGGTACCACTGCGGCGGGAAGGGAAATGGCATTTTCGTGCGCTCTGTGACAGAAGTCACAGAAGCGGTTTAGCCATACTGGCCACATGACCCGGAAAGCTGTGGACAAACGCTGGCTCCCTTGGCCTGAAGCAAGATGAGCGCCGCAACCCCATAATCTCCTTTGACTGGACCTAACCATCCAGGAGTCCTTTACTTTTTACTTTACTTACTCCTGAAAGCGGTATGTGTAGGACTAAATGTTTCCATGTTCTTTCTTCTCACCTGCCCCCTCCCCTTATGTAGGAGACAAGGGGAAGGATGCTGTGAATTGCACTTACAAGGACGAGAATGACTGCGTGGTACGTTTCCAGTACTATGAAGACTCCAGCGGCAAGTCCATCCTCTATGTCATTGAGGAGCCAGGTGAGGATGAAAAGCCACAGAAATGAGGCTTGATCTTTGGAGATTAGTCCCCCCACCACCCGTGCTTAATCTGCAACCTGAGAAATGCAGCTGCAGCGATGCACACAAAACGTCAGATAGTTTCATTAGCTGGGGGAAACCTTTTTAAGAAGGTTCCTGCTGCAAGGAACTTACAAACTTAATTTATGTGTTGGGGAAGGAAAGAGAAGAAGTAAGGGAGATGTTCGTTTGTCAAAGAGCACATATCTGCCAACACAGCAGAACGTACCCAAGACTGCTTCTGTAGTAGATGAGGGTCAAGCCAAAGGCTTCATGGGAAAATGGGGATTTAGAAGGAAGAGAGAAACTGGAACCACATAGATGGCCAAGGAAGGTATGGGGAATCAGAAACTTAATAGGCAGATCTCTGTTAAGCTAGAAGTATCAAGTTGGAGAGTGAACATCCAAGATGGGAACATTTTGAGCAGTGATGAATTAAGCAAAACCAAACTGAAGCAAACATTATTTATACAATAGTTTATGCTGCACATTAAAAGGGCCACCAGAGTGACTTAACAGTAATAAAAGCATAAATAGAATGAAACAGATGACTTTCTTTTTGCTTAGGTTAGCAAATTCTGCCCCTGTCTGTGCCTGCTGATAGATCAGCAAAGGGGAGCGAGAGCTATAGTCTGTCTCCCACCTGCCTGATAAGGCTTGTGATCAAAAGTTCCAGGGATCGTCATATAACACACACCCCCCCAAAAGAGAATGACGGAGATTGGGCGTGTTCAGGGTAGCCTGGCCGTAGACCCCCAAAAGAGAATGAATAAAGGCACCAACAAATGCACCCCTAGCCACAAGGGGCATGAACCTGGCCAGTGACTCAGATGCAACTGTGTTGCACAGAGGAGATTGACACCCAGCTGGGGTAGGTTTCATGGGCCTGGCCAGACTTCAGTGGGGAGCAGTTTTGAGGCCAGCTAATGCCTGGTGAGAAACCACAAAGCTGCCAGTTCTCTTGCGACTCCATGGGACTTAACGCATACAGTAATGTGGAAGTAAGACAGAGTTGGAAATCTTTGGCTATCCAGTACGCTTTCTGGGGAGGATCTTGCGACAGTTGCTGCATCATCAAAACATCATCAGAGACTGTTGAGACCTGCAACTCCCTCCAGGGCAGGATTCCAACTGCCTGAGTCATTGTACTCAGTGGCCTAAATATGCCTTGGTCTTCCAGGGAGGAGGTTCTTAACTGTGTTGATCTGGCTGTTAGGGAGGCTTTGGTTGTGCCCACATTGGGTCTGATTCTCTGTCGTTTATGTCCTTGTCTTGGGCTGCACCTAGATGAGAGTTTATCCCACGTTTGATTTAGCGCTATAGCACTTGAATTGCAGAAAAGGCAAGTGTCGGATCAGAACTAGGACTGAGACGAAGGTGTGGAGGTGTTTTGCGAAAATCCGATCCCCTTCTCAGTTAAGTGTAAATGTCTCCTAAAATGCCCATCTTCCACCTAGCTGGGCCTCTAGCAAATGAGCCCGGCTTGCAGAAAACCTATTAGAACTGATTCACACATGACATGTGCAGCTGTTGATGGCTAGCAGCTGAATGTGTGGTCATAACTCGATGTGGCAGTCGTGAAGAGATGATGAACATGCATGTGTGAAACAGAACCATCAGCTGGGCACAAAAGGCCCCCAAGCTCTCTGTCCCCACAGTAATACTCCCACAGCTCAGAAGCAGAGACCAAATATCTTGAGGTGGTTCTTGCAGAGCAACTGCTTCTGGTGAATAAGGCAGGGGAGCCACTCTCAAAAAAGGGATTTATGTATGCCACGACTGTGGCTTGTGTTTCATTAGAAGAGTTTGGATTTGATATCCTACTTTATCACTACCCGAAGGAGTCTCAAAGCGGCTAACATTCTCCTTTCCCTTCCTCCCCCACAACAAACACTCTGTGAGGTGAGTGGGGCTGAGAGACTTGAGAGAAGTGTGACTAGCCCAAGGTCACCCAGCAGCTGCATGTGGAGGAGCGGAGACGCAAACCCGGCTCACCACATTACAAGTCTACCGCTCTTAACCACTACACCACACTGGTGTTTTCCAAAATGGAAAATGAGCGAGGTGCCAACTATAGAAGAATGGCAACATAAACTGACAGAATATGCATAGCTTGTGGACCTAACATATAGAATAAGAGAACAAGAAGAACATATGTTTAAAGAAGATTGGAAAATGTTTATTGAATATATGGAGGAAAACTGTGCATATTTGAAAACATGGACAGCATTAAGATAAATTTGACAATGTAAATAAGTTTTGATGGATGTAGTGCAAAATGAACCATGGAAAGAGAGGAAGGGAAGTCATTGAGGGGAGCCACTCTCATGTGGGATGGAAATTATTGTGCATTCTCAGTAGAGATCTCTACTGGTGTGCAGATGTGAGTTGTGGAGAGAGGATGGGAATATCAAAGTAGGAAACTTAGGAAGTTTCGCAGCCCTTGCGGGATAACACGTGCTTCTCTTGCAGACTGTCCCAAGGGGCCGGACATCCTGGTCGTTCTCCTTTCTGTGACGGGAGCCATTTTGCTTATTGGCTTGGCTACTCTGCTCATCTGGAAACTGCTCATCACCATCCACGACCGGCGGGAGTTCGCCAAGTTTGAAGAAGAGCGGGCCAGGGCTAGATGGGACACGGTGAGAAACACAAGAGGCGGTTGATGGGGGAGTAGAGAACAGCCCTTCAACATTTCTGCTGCAGCGGGGGAAAGAGTTTCTTGCAGTGATCCCTAGTTCAGCTTCCATATTCTGGCAATCCTCATGTTGTGGATCATTTCAGCCACGGATATCAGGCTTATACCAGTTTGCAAACTAGACATTGAGGGGGAAACAGTGTGGGTGTCGCCAACTCACATCCATTCCTATTTCTCCAGCACTGTGCTGCTGAAAAAACATATGACTAGACTCATTGTGCTAGCATTTCCTGCCCTTTGCTCTGCTTCATTAACTAATGCCTGCAGGGAAGGAGAGAAAAACACTAAAATAATGATGACATGTCATGTTCTCAAATGCACGCTGCCAGGGAGATATGCTAGAACCCGTGTGCTTTGGGTATATTACAGAATCCTGGGGTTGTCAGTTTGGTGAGAATAATTAGAGATTCCAATCCCTGCCTCGCAGAATTATGTTTGCCAGGGTACACTGGGGCAAGAGAACTGTTAAACTGGTTTAAGCCTATATGCAGACACCTTTTGACAATGGCCGTGAATTAGCAGGTACAGGTTATGGTTTGTGCCAATTCCTTTACCCTGCTATATTTCTCTGTTTCAGGCCAACAACCCATTGTACAAAGGAGCTACCTCGACCTTCACCAACATCACGTACCGTGGGAATTCGTGAAGAGAGACAAGGCCTTGCAGGGCCTTCCTTACTGATGTTTACAGAACAGTCTGAGTTGCGCTGGCATGTGTGTTGTCTGTGTGCGTTGTGTGCGTATGTGAGATGTTTTAACAGCTGTTGCTCAAATGGTTCCGGAGCTTTTGCTCTGCGTTGTTCTGCTGCCGTGTGTGAACTATGCACTATGCTTCCGAGATTCTCTGTTTACCTCAGCTCACCTAGTACTGTGGGCCCAGATCCCCTACGCTGAAGGAGAAAGCAGGCCTCTCTCGTCAGTGGGAAGAGCATTGCGCAAATCCCTTGGAGGGGACCGGACACTCTAGTTGTATAAAATTAAGGGGCAGGAATGTTGAGATGCAATCTAACTCCGAAGGGTTTTACTAATCAGGTTTGGAATTGGGGAGTTTTCCCTCCAGAAACAAACTTCCCCAATTCAGATTATTACTAACTCACTCCTAGCTGAGCCCAAACTCCTCCCAAAGTTTCACACCTGGTTTGAAATGGCTCAGCTGGTGAAATCTCTCCCTTGCTGTCGCCGCTGCCCCTTTCCCTTCTCAACCGAAGTTACCAGTCAGTTGGCTCAGGTGGGCGTGGGAAAGCTTGCTTGCAAGGCCTCCCTGGTGTCTTAGGTGATACTTGCCAGCATTTCTGGCACAAGGATACATGGGAGATATAGTTCCCATGGATCCTAATTCCTAAGGGGAGTAGGAAAACTTTGAGAAAAGGGAACAGAGGAGCCGTCATTTGGCCGACAAGATCCCAAGGCTCTGTAGTGCTGCGGACACAACTGCAAGCATGGCGAGACCGAACTTCTAAATAGGTTCAGAAATAGAAAGCATTTTCTGGAATTTTGAGGGGTGTGCGAAATTATTTTCGGAACCTGTTTCAAACTGATCTAGCTTTTACTGTACCAAAAACAATGCACTGCATACTGTTTTTTAAATATATATAATATACCTCTTGCTAGTCTCATCCCCAGAGTAAGTAATAAGTGTTTTGTATTTAACTTCTAGAAAAACAAGAGATGCTGATGTATTTACAAGCTTGCCCCTGACCGTTTTGTGACCCTCCCTAATCATTCACAGGGCTCAGTTTGTTAAGGGACAAAAGGCACTCTGCACGTGCTTGAAGGTACTTCTTTTTGCACAATGGCTCCGCGTGTTCCAAGGCTGAGCCCCTGGGTTCAAATCAAGCCCCTTCACACAACATCTCTCACCTTTGTTCTGCATCGCCAACTTGATAATGCTGACGGTTTGGGGAAGGGTCATTGCTCACTGATAGAGCGTGTATTATGTTATGCAGCAAGGCTGGGGAAGACCTGGGAGAGCTGTTTTCTGTCAGAGTAGACCGTAGCAGGCTAGATGGCTTGGTAGCTTGACAAGGTATTCTCCTAGGTTCATATGAATCAGGAGCTCCTTCGTCAAGATGTGATATGTGTCTCTGAGCTGTCGTCGTCTCACATGTTCCTGAATCCTCAGAGCCTCACCATGGGGGCAAGTTCTTAGCTCCTGCTTTCTTACTCAGGGAACCAAAGATTCGCCTTAAGGAGATGAGACTCCAATGTCCTGGGTGACCTAAAATTTTCCTCAGGTTTGTTGAAGGGGGTCGGGAATATGCTGAAGCAACCTGCCCAACAAAACCGTCTTTTTCTGGGGTTGCGTCACCCAGTACAGCTAGTTGGGTCTCCCCTCCTCCATCTTTGTTGGGCTGTGAACTATTCTGGTAGACTCGGGTATTTTCGCCATTGGCCCTTCTGACCGTGGAAGGTGGCTTCTTGACCTGAGACCCATAGTCATTAAAAGAGGTGAGGAGTCGCAGAAAAGTTGATGCCCTCTTTCCTCTCCTTCCTGATTCTCAATCCACCGCTCACGCCAGCGCTTCCATCACCCCAAGCTTCCCATGTGCAGGCTGGATCCGTCAGCCAAAGTATCTCCCATTGCCGTCACAAACTTCCGACCCTGGAATTAAGAAAAGGAGGCTGCAGTTAGTCTGCTGGGAGTGACAAAATGTAGGTCGGAAGAAGTTGAGTTCACATGGCGCCAGCTTCCAAGTTACTCCTTTTCCCGTTCGCACAATGGATCTGTTCTTCTGGATTTCTCAGCTCCTTGCCCCATCCGACCCCCCCCAGCCCCACCTGTCCTCTTCCGGTTTTGCTGCCAACTGGTGTGGATTCTGGGAAGGAGAGATAGGTGCCAGGAGGTGAGCCTGGGAACATATTTAGAAGGGGACAGGCAGGGCTGTGTTGATTTGGTGAAAAGCAGATCTTGTTGAGGGCAATGATGTGGTGGAATGAAGACTCTTGTCACACGCAAATAAAATCAAATTGTCTCAACCCACAGATTTGCCTGGCTTCTCTTAGTCATTCATTTGTCTCTTCTTTTTTTGCTCTTAGCCCAATGACAACTTTAACACAACGCCGCAAATTGCTATTGCTGGTGAAATGAGAATGTGGAAGCAAATCTACCTATTTCCAGAACTGTGCTAGGTACAGAAAGGAGCACCTAAAATAATATGTGGGATGGATTACTTTTTCCAGTGAGGAAACACGCTAAAGTGTTTTGGGGGTGGTGGATTGGGAGGAGGCACCGTAGAAGTTTATAAAATCATTCTCAATTTTATAGCTGGTCTAGTCCCCAGAAAGTAACAAGAGGTAGTCTTAAATGCTCAATTTTAGTGGTTGCTCGACTGCTTTTATGCCCATGATTGTAAATCTAAAGAGAGAGATTTGGAACAAGAATGATTTTTTTACCAAATGTTCAATAGGTTCAGAATGGACAGGATGAACTGGACAAAATAGTACTGGACAGAGTTGACAAAGGGAAATGTTGAGGCAGCAGTGACATCTAGGGGCATTTTGTGGGATTTCATTATATCCAAACGCCCTGAGCATTCTACTGTAAAACAATATTTGCATACTTCCGAGTATTCGAAACTCATGTAATATAATATAATTAATATAATAATATACATTACAATATTTACAGAATTATTTACTGATTAAAATATTTATATTCATTTATAAAGTATCAGGGAGGTGTGCAGCAATATAAACCATTTAGAAAAACTTTAAGAGCAAAACAAAGCCACCATGAAAACAGTTGGTTACCCGAGTATTTTTTTTAATTTAACAAAATCTGCACAGGCCTTACAGCATTAAAAAAAAAAAAGGATTCAAGAGGTGGCTGAAAATTAAAAAGAGAGAGAGAGAGAGATTGCAGGATGCCTTCACAGCATCAGTGGCACAAAATGTTTGACTTCTGATTGTGACCAGAAGTATCATACCCAGTGCTTTTTCCCCCTGGGGGTACACAGGGGTGCACATACCCCTAAACATCCTGTGCATGTTTGTACTTTTGTCCATTTACTGTATTTATTTTCCCCAATTTGAACTATAAAATGGTGATTTTCTTGAGTCAAAATGAGAGTACCCCTAAACATTTTTTAGGAACGAAAGCACTGATCATACCTATATACAATTACCGTATTCTTCCATGTATAAGCCGAGGTTATTTTATTTAAAAATTACGCTAAAAAATGGGGGTCATCTTATACACAGATAGTGGAAAGGTGGGACAGGTGATTGGTGGCTGCCACGAGGAAGAGATTCTCAGCAGTGTTTGTCTGGATGAGACAATGTCCGTTGGCTATAGGTTGCGGTGGCAATTGGGCGGGCGATTGGCACTTGCTTTCGGCGAGCGTGCAAACGATTGGTTGTTTTGTCGATGTGCGTGCGATTGATTGGCTATGGCGGTCCTGCGGGTGAGCCTTTTTTTGGCAATCCCCCCCCCCAAAAGCTCCACAAATCTGGGCAACCCCCCCCCCCCCAAAAAAGCTCAGCAACTCTTGGCAATCTCCTCCCATTTTCTCTATTTTTTGTAGTCCCAAGAAACACGGGGGCATGTTATACACAGAAAAATACAGCACATCTTTTTTGCAGGTGGTTGGTGGGGTAGAGGGAGGGAAGTCAAAGGAGCGCAACTTGCCTAAGGTCCCGTAAACGAATTTATAGCAAAACTGAGAATCAAACCGAGGACTTCTTGTTTTATAGCCCCAAATGCAACCTTTTGCACTTACTCAGAAGTAAGTCTCAGGGTGGCGCTGTGGGTTAAACCACAGCCTAGGACTTGCTGATCAGAAGGTTAGCGGTTCGAATCCCTGTGACGGGGTGAGCTCCCGTTGCTCCGTCCCTGCTCCTGCCAACCTAGCAGTTCGAAAGGACGTCAAAGTGCAAGTAGATAAATAGGTACCACTCCGGCGGGAAGGTAAATGGCATTTCCGTGTGCTACTCTGGTTCGCCAGAAGCGGCTTAGTCATGCTGGCCACATGACCCGGAAGCTGTACGCCAGCTCCCTCTGCCAATAAAGCGAGATGAGTGCCGCAACCCCAGAGGCGGTCACGATTGGACCCAATGGTCAGGGGTCCCTTTACCTTTAAGTCTCAGTGAGTTCAGTGAGGCTTCTTCCAAGACAAGTAAAGCCACTCCTACTGCCCTGCGATCATGGGGTGAAGGAGGTCGGGATAAAAATGCGCGAAACAAATCAATATTTGTGAGCTTTGTAACATTGCTGGGCATCTTTGCCAGCCTGTATAAAATGAACCATTCTGGTCTCATGGCCATGTGCTCCTCCTACTGCTTCACTCCCAAGGATGACAGCCAGCTTGCTCAACACAGACATGCGCCTTTTTTTTTTTTGGGTAGTGATTTTCTACAACATGTGCTCTGTTTGGATCACTCACTGCTCTATGACATCATCGGGCTGGAACCTCTCAAACAACAGTTGCCACCCAAGTGGCGGTGGTGGTGGTGAAAAACATGGCACTGGTGGAGAACCATTGATGTGAACTCTCGTGGCCCTGCTTCCACCAGCCGTAACACCTGAGCTGCCTTGGGGGAAATGGAAGCCCTGGTCTCCACTCCATCCCCATATTTCTGCTCCTAGCTGTACCTCCCCGTTAATGGTTCATCTCATCCTAGGCCCTCGAACGCCACCCAACAAGATCGCTGATCCCTACGGCTTCTGACCAAGTGAGTTGTGGTTCTGAGGGACTGGAAAAGGAGGCAGTCTTCCCTTGGTGCTCCTCCTGTTCCTTTGATTCTTTCCCCCTCCACTCGCTCTGGATGAAGGACCATTGAAGAAGTGCTCAATGATTTCTTTTCCACCTCCAGTGAAGAGAACCTTGTTGTGTGGCCTTCATCTTTTCTGTTGACCTTTGACTTATCAGTTTTGGTTGCCATCCCTGCTAATGTGGAAGGAGTACATCTCCCTGCTGTGGTTCCTGGAAAATGGATGACATTATCAACAGAGTTGGCAGGTAATTGGAGCTCTTAAAGGTTACCCTGTGGGACGCGGGTGGCGCTGTGGTCTAAACCACAGAGCCTAGGGCTTGCCGATTGAAAGGTCAGCGGTTCGAATCCCCGTGACGGGGTGAGCTCCTGTTGCTCTGTCCCAGCTCCTGCCCACCTAGCAGTCTGAAAGCACGTCAGAGTGCAAGTAGATAAATAGGTACCGCTCCAGCGGGAAGGTAAACGGCATTTCCATGCACTGCTCTGGTTCTCCAGAAGCAGCTAAGTCATGCTGGCCACATGACCCGGAAGCTGTATGCCGGCTCCCTCAGCCAGAAAAGCGAGATGAGCGCCACAACCCGAGAGTCGTCAGCGACTGGACCTGGTCAGGGGTCCCTTTACCTTTAAGTTTACCCAGCTATTGATATACCCCTAATTAGGGTGATCAACTTGCTTTTTGATAATACTTTATTCTCAGGAAGTCAGTCTAAACATTTTGGGATTGCCCTGCCCTTCAAGAAAGTAGGGTAAGGAAGGTGGCTCCTAGACCAAAGGTGCTTTTTCCTGTGTGATGTGAGGGAGAAGAGAAAGAACAATTCAGCTCTGTCTGAGCACCATCAGATCAAGGTAAAAAAGGTAAAGGACCCCTGGACGGTTGAGTCCAGTCAAAGGTGACTATGGGGTTGGGGTGCTCATCTTGCTTCAGGACGAGGGAGCCACCGTTTGTCCACAGACAGCTTTCTGGGTCATGTGGCCAACATGACTAAACCGCTTCTGGCACAACGGGACACTGTGACAGAAATCAGGGTGCACGGAAATGCCATTTACCTTCCTGCCGTAGCAGTACCTATTTAATAATAATAATAAATTTTATTTATATCCCGCCCTCCCCAGCCGAAGCCGGGCTCAGGGCGGCTAACAACAATAAAATAATACAACATTCTAAAATCATTTCATTATAAAATTAATTCAAATCAAATTGATGGCAACCATTGGGCTAGAGTTCTGTGAGGATTGCCAAAGGAGGGGGTCAGGCTGTGCCTTGGCCAAAGGCCTGGTGGAACAGCTCTGTCTTGCAGGCCCTGTGGAAAGATGTCAAGTCCCGCAGGGCCCTAGTCTCTTGTGACAGAGCGTTCCACCAGATCAGAGCCACAGCCGAAAAAGCCCTGGCTCTAGTTGCGGCCAGCCTAACCTCTCTGTGGCCTGGGACCTTCAAGATGTTTTTGTTTGAAGACCGTAAATTCCTCTGTGGGACATACCAGGAGAGGCAGTCCTACTTTATCTACTTGCACTGGTGTGCTTTTGAACTGCTAGGTTGGCAGGAGCTGGGACTGAGCAACGGGAGCTCACCCCGTCTCAGGGATTCGAACCTTTTGATCAGCAGGCCCAAGAGGCTCAGTGGTCTAGACAAGCACTGAGGTAGCGGGGAATGATACTATGAGCAACTATGAGTATATACAGTAATTCTGAAAAAAATAGGAAGAGAAACAAAGACAAAAAGGAGCAATTCCAAGAATAAAGGGGGATTATTTATGACAAATCCCAAGAGTCCTTACGTACTTCCTTCTACTTGTCACTTATTAAGGGTTATTTATGACATTTTTTGATCCTGAGTATGACAAGGATAAGGAAAGAACCGCATCTTATGACCTGTGAAACATGAGGTTAATTTTTGGAATAAATTACAGGTCCCTTACTCTGTGTGCTGTTCTAGATGAGTGGTTCCCAAATCTCCCCATCTTCCTGAGGGTTTTGGCAGACCACTTAACAATGTGGTCTGTCAAGTAATGTGCTATATGATTTCTAATTGTATTTTGACACACAAGCTGTGGACTGTCTGAATGAAGCTTGTGAAACCAAGGCTCGCCCATATTGCCTATTCCCTTGTTGTAGTTTTTGTTATTGCTGCTGGAGGTTTTTTGCACATTCATGGTATCCTCACCACTAATGGCGTTATCCAACCATATCATAGTATTGTGTTTTCATTCATGTTTGTCACTGGGCTTATTTTTCCTTCCCTCGCAGTAACCAACAAGACAAAAACGAGCAAGCTGAGGAGAAGAACAGACTCCAAGAACTAAATGAGCAGGTCAAAGAGATCAGCGAACTTCAGGAGCCAAATTTCAAAGGCGATAAACCCCCAGAGGTATCTGAGCAGGATCAGGAGAACACGCCACAAAACTTATTTGACCAGACCGATGAGAGCAGTGAACTTGCAGCGCTAGATCTTGAAGAAATTAAAATCCAAGATCTATCTGAGCAGGTTGACGAGTACAAGCCAGAAAACCTAATTGAGCAGGCTGAAGAGAGCAGTGAACTTACGGAGCCAAATGTCGAGGACAATAAAGCCCAAGAACTAGCTGAGGAGCAGGACCAGAAGAACAAGCCACAAGGCCCAGATGAGCAGGCCAACGATGATAATCCTCAAGATCTAAAGGACAGGGTTGAGGAACGTGTGAAAACATCACTGCTGCACCTCCCTGGTAAAGAGCCCTCCCTGTATCCTCTTTCCAGGATACCAGATTTTTATTTGGCAGAACTGCAGGATGGACTACAAATCTCCCCTGCCTCTCAACCTCAATTGGATGAGTAAGTAACATTCTGGCATTGTGGCAGAAATCTTGTGCTTCACATTTGATTCCTTAAGTTGTCCCTAGCATTGCCAACTTCAGCACCAAGTGGCAGCATCCAGCACCATCCTTTGTGTGAGGAATGTCCCAAATGGATTTACGTTAATTTATTAACTTATAAAGAGAATTATATGAAAATGATGTATAGGTGGTATTTAACACCGGTTAAGTTGGCAAAAATGTACAAAACTAGAGAAAATAAGTGTTGGAAATGTAAAGAGGTAGAAGGTACGTTTCATCATATGTGGTGGCAACGTAAGATTATTAAAAAATTATGGGAAATGATATATAATGAGGGGGGGGGAGTTAAGAATAACCTTTGTTTAAAAAAACCAGAAGCCTTTTTATTAGGTATTACAGGAATGGATCTACCTAAAGAATATAAGAATTTGTTTATGTATGCAACAACGGCCACCCGGATATTGCTAGCCCAGCATTGGAAAGAAGAAGTCATCCCCACCGAGGAAGATTAGCAAATTAAGTTAATGGAGTATGCTGAAATGGCTAAATTAACCAGGAAACTTAGAAATCAAGATGACAACAAATATAAAAAAATGGGAAATGTTTATTGCATATTTACAAAAGCAATGTACACAAGTTAATATATTAGCAGGATTAAAACAACAACACTTGAAATGTTATAGACAAGGTTTAAAATTGGAGGTAATCAGAGATAAAGACTTTGTTGACATGCATGAATCAAAATAATACAAAGGAACCAGGATGGAAGGGGAAGGAAGTTGGGGGATTCAAGTAATCCCATAATATTGATTCAATACTGACTGTGTATATAGTTGTTTGAAATGTTTTATTTTATGCTTCTTTCTTTAATGCAAGGTCTTTGTTTTTGTGAGAAATAATTTTTTTTGTATAATATTTTTATTATCTTGCTAACCATTGCTCTCTTTTTTGGTAAAAGTAACATGAAGGGCTGGTATTCACATCTTGGGGTGGGAGGAAAGTGTTGTGGGTGCCAGCGTGAAACAGCAGCTGTGAGCAGCAAACAAGGAGAAGAGGTGATGGTACCCTGTTCTGGTGAGTACTGTCAGGGCCGACTTTAACATATGCGCCGCAAGGGTGCAAAGATCTGCCCAGCGCCCCCAAATTTAGTTAATTTCGTGTGAATGGTGCCATTGAGAATGACAAGTGCCACCATTGAGTCTGACAAACGCCGCCATTGTGAATGACAAGCACTGGCGCGGCGTGACTTTGGTAAATGAGCGCACAAAGTCTAAAGTCCTTTAGTGAAACAGTAGGTATACATTTTGGTAATACCTAGGTATATATGTATTTTGTTTTTCTAGCTTGATCAAAATTATTATTTCATAACAGGTAGATAGTTAAGAGCTTAGTGGTTTCAGCGGCAGGCATCCGGCGCCCCCCAGAATTCAGCACTCGGGTGTCCCACACCCCTTGCACCCCTGGGTAAATACGGCCCTTAGTACTATCACAAAACAAGGTTTTAAGAACTCCAGAGACCCTGCATGAGCTCAACCAGTAGCTTTGTATGGGTGTAAAATAGGATGAGGGACAGAACCATAGCTGTCAACTTTTCCCTTTTCTTGCGAGGAATCCTATTCGGAATAAGGGAATTTCCCTTAAAAAAAGGGAAAAGTTGCCAGCTATGGACAGAACAGATCCCCGAGCAGCTGCCACCCAGCTCAAATGCCAGGGGGTGTGTTAAGTTGTGGGCGAACATATCAGATGACACAGCGATTCTTCCAAAGCAGCTCTTTATTTGTAACCTGGAACAGAACTAACTGAGGAGCTCAGTCAGCCTGCTTATATAGAGCTCCAGAACAATTGTAACTGTTGCAACTTTCTAAAACTATCCAATCACAGAACGTCACTTTTCGATCCTTCATTTGCATACAAACTATCCAATCACTGAACGTCACTTTCGATCCTTCATTTGCATAACTATCTACAGTATGCCCCTGCTGGCCCAGGGTGAGAACATCAGTACATAACAGGGTGAGCTAAAATTCCTCTTGTCTGGGCTGAACTGTAAGCTGCTGTCCGAGATGAGCGAGGACCTGGGAAGGAAGCCAGTGGGTCAGAGCTGCAGCATTAAGTCAGAAATTGGGATGAAAGAGTGAGCCAAATAAAACACAGGGAAAGCTAAGTAGGCCTCGTTGCTCAGGCAGCATCTAATTCTAACAGGAAGCTAGTTATAATCCTGTAAAAGAGGCTCAAAAGGCCACCCATTCTTAACTACTTAGGCAAACGCTCCAAAAAATAGCAGAACCACCCAAGAATATTGTCCGCAGTTACTGATACCAAATGCTGCTGTGAGATCCAAGTGAATCAACAGCGTCATTCTGCCCCTGCCTTTCTCCTGAAGTAGGTTGACTAAGGAAGAAGCTGGCTTCCCTACCAGAGGATTGCAAGCTATGGGGTGGGGAAAGAAGGGTGTTTTCCTCCTTTCAGAATTTCCTCAATTGCACCCTGAATTCGCTAACATCTAAGATGACCCTCTGCTCAGGCTAAAGCATTGCCCTTGCTATAAAAAGACAGTTTGAGAGGAATAGTTTTTGTTACGTATTCAGTGGTCTGTGTTTGCCTGAGCTTAAGTCTGGACAAAGGATTCTGAGCACCTGCGTTCTGATTCGATACATGATGTCCAATCACAGAAAATTTCAGGATTTGGGCCTCTGCCACTGGCCCTTGAACCCTGAGTCGTGATTCGCAGCTTGGAAGTTTAGACAGCCAATCACATTGGGAGTGGGAGCAGCCCAGGCTTTCAGGAATGTACATAAGCAGTTGCTTTGCCCCTGTTTCCCAGTTTTGTAGTTCAAGAAAGGTTCTTGCTGCTATCAATGTGTCTTGCCTTGTGGGAACCCACCAACGCTTCAGTTTTCTTTTTCTTTCTTTTTTGTTTTAAAAAAATTTATTTGGTTTTACATATTAGAATTTACAATCATACCACAACATATTTAAAAGTACAAGATTCCCACAGATCTCTGGACTTCCCACCTCCCTCTTTGTGGGTCCCATTGTTAAGCCTTTTCTGCTACATCTTTTATAATAATCCAAATTTTTATAACTCCATTATATCCATAGTTCTCGTTACATTACAAGTGTTATTAAAATCCCGCTAACAATTTTAACTGTTTACAGTGATCTCTCAGGTAAAGTATAAATTCCCCCCATTCCTTATTAAAGCTTTGATTTTCCTGATTTCAGATCTTTCCGCTCATTTTTGCCATTTCAACGTAGTCCGTCAACTTAATCTGCCATTCTTCCTATTGAGAGGAATAGTTTTCATTCATGCCTGTGACTGGACTAATTCTTTCCTCCTCCCTTGCTACAGAATTCCACAACACCAAGCTAAAGATGGCAAACTCCCAGACCTGAAGGAGGAGGTTGAGGAAGCTTCGGAGCGTCTGATGGAGAAACCGACACAACAGCCTCAAGACAAAAAATTAAAGCCGCCTTCTATTACCACCATTGTGGATTTAAAACCGCAGGCCAAAAAGAAGCAGAAGGACTCCCTCTCCTACGTCTCTGCTAGATCCACTTATTCCATGTAAGAAGAAGTAGAGAGCTGGGACCGAAGATGGCCTACAGTTCATGTCTGAGCTCAGGAACCCTCAAGTGTCCCTATTTTCCAGGGACGGTCCTGGATTTACAGACGCCATCTTGGTTTCTGATTTGATCCCAGGATGTCCCACTTTTCCTTAGGATGGCCCTACTTCCATCAGTGGAATGTTGTAGGATATGGTAGGGTGTCCCTCTTTTCATCAGAGAAATGTTGGCGGGAATGGAGTTAGGCAACTCACTGAACCGAGGAGATAACTAACTATACAACCTTTAGAAGACATCTGAAGGCAGCCCTGTATAGGGAAGTTTTCAAATGTTTAATGTTTTGTTATGATTTTATATCTGTTGGAAGCAACCTGGAGTGACTGGGGCAATTATTATTATGGAATAGGTAAAGGTAAAGGGACCCCTGACCATTAGGTCCAGTCGTGAGCACTCTGGGGTTGCTGTGCTCATCTTGCTTTAATGGCCGAGGGAGCCAGCGTACAGCTTCCGGGTCATAATTTATTATTTATACCACGCCCATCTGGCTGAGTTTCCCCATGTGGCCAGCATAACTAAGCTGCTTCTGGCAAACCAGAGCAGCACACGGAAACGCCCTTTACCTTCCCGCCGGAGCGGTACCTATTTATCTACTTGCACTTTGATGTGCTTTTGAACTGCTAGGTTGGCAGGAGCTGGGACTGAGCAATGGGAGCTCACCCCGTCGTGGGGATTCGAACCACCAACCTTCTGATCGACAAGCCCTAGGCTCGGTGGTTTAGACCACAGCGCCACCCGCGTCCCTATTATGGAATAAGATGCCCCTATTTTCATCAGAGAAATGTTGAAGAGTATGAAGCTGTAAATACCCTCCTAAAGAAGGCCATCTTCTTCTTGCAATGATATAGATACACCAAGTATTTATCAGAATTAAGTTCCAAAGTGTCCTTTTTGAAGACAGATGGATAGAAGGAAGGAGAGAACATTCTCTGATGTGCTGCCATTTTCCACAGGCGATCTGTACGGAATTTGCCAGTGTCTGTAAAGGTCCCTCTTCAGAGACCCCCTTCTCCCAAAGTAAAACCTGAAACTGTTGATAAAGGAACTCAGGTAAGATGAATATTGACTTCTGCCAGACCAGTTAGATCATGTGGGTTTACGCAGCCAATCCAGTGCAATGGGCAGGCGGGTTGGTATTCCGTAGTGATGCATGGCATCGTGGCATGTTCACAGTTCAGGAAATCAAATCGCACAGCTCAGTGCGGCCAATGAAGTGGCAAACAGTATGCAGTTGAAATGCCACTGGCAGAATTTGAACACATATTGATAATGCTGGGTAATAAACGGGTGCTGCTTTTAATGGCCCCATAAGCAGCTGCCGCGGTGGGTCCAGGCCCCTTGCATAATTCTTCTCTGTGGGGATGTGTTGGCTGCTTGAAAAGTTTGCAGCATAGCCCCCCCAACCTGTGGTGAGGTGGTGCCCCCAACCATCCCACTGTGGCAGAGCTGGGGTCCCATGGTCCTCCACCAGCCAGAATGGCCAATAGTCTGGGATGCCTGGGATTTCCCAGTGACAATTATTCACACATAAGAACTAGTCACACCATCTAGTAATATGCAGATTGGGCTTGCCGCCTGGTCCTGGCCCCCTTCTACACCTCCCATGTGTTCACTGTATGCACAGTTGTTATGGGAATGTTAAGGATAGTAGGAAAGGATATATTGAATAAGTATTGTCCTTCCTTCACTCACACTAGTAACTGATGTAGCAGAGCAGATTCCCCTCAATATAGCTGGAAGCTAGTTTGCAGATTCGTTTGAATCTCTTCGTTAAGATTATTTCCTGGTGTCCCCTTTAAACCCTCTTAGAAGAATAAAGACACAAGAGTCGCTTCTGAGTAAAGTAACAAAAAGTTTACAATGGTACCTCAGGTTAAGTACTTAATTCATTCTGGAGGTCCATTCTTAACCTGAAACTGTTCTTAACCTGAAGCACCACTTTAGCTAATGGGGCCTCCTGCTGCTGCTGCGCCCCCGGAGCCCGATTTCTGTTCTTATCCTGAAGCAAAGTTCTTAACCTGAAGCACTATTTCTGGGTTAGAGGAGTGTGTAACCTGAAGCGTATGTAACCCGAGGTACCACTGTACTCGCATTTCAGTTTCCCGAAAGGCAGGCTTTACTTAGTGGTTACATAAAGAAAGAGACTGTGAGTTCATCTCATATGGAGACTGAACTCATGTGCTGCTGGCTGAGAGCCAGCAGACAGCAAAATTGCATTTAGATAACAAAATGGCTGCAGGAAAGCAGCCCAGCAGCAAAAGAACAGCAAGACAGCAAGATCAAGACTGAGAAAATGGCTGCATGACTCGGCTATTTTATGGAGTCAGCCAAAGCCACACCCATCTCCCAGATCACATGCAGTGGGAGTATGTTCCAGACCAGTGGAACAGGAAGTTACACTGACTGGATTTCCTCCTGCCTGTGCCCCTTCTAGGGAGATAAGGAATGTTGTCTTTGACTGCTCCAATGGATGACATCCCACAGTTGTCACCTGAAAATTGCTACTATAAGGACCTCTAAGATTGACAGTCGTAGCCGCTGTCAACTAACAAGAGTTCTTCATATATTTCAACAGTGGGATAGTGATCAACATTGTTTGTCATCTTGGAATTGTCTTTTCTCTTGGGTTGAACAGTGCAAGCTGATGCTCATGCGGAAATTGCAGGTGCTTCCGAGGACGCCGTCCCCTCAGAGACGCCATGTACAGAGAGCAAAGCCCCCAACCGCTGATAAAGCGACCCAGGTGGGAGCCGAAATCTTTGCATATAACAAGGTGAATCCGGGGCCGGCTTACCTGTGAGGCAAGGCGAGGTAACTGCCTCAGGCAGGAGGAACCACAAAGGCAGCAGATCTTACCTCCAAGGAATGCATTGGCCTGTGGTAGCAGCAACAGCTGTGGTGTGCTCCTTGGAGACTGGATCTGTCACCTCCTCAGTCACCTCTCCCCATACCTTCTTCGCAAATAGGAGGTGCTCCTGGTCTCTTCTCACCCCTAGGGAGAAAATGGTGGGGGTCGCCCTCTGGGATCTCCTGGACTCTGCAACCCCCAGCCATGTAGTTCAGGCCAAGTCCCTTTTTCTCCTAAAATGACATTTGATTTCCTTTTCAACCAGTGGATAAGGATGATTTGATTCCCTCTCTTGTTCCTGATGTACATATTCACCTTTCTTTCCTGGCAATGAAAGGCACCATTTTATGGTTCACGCCAGGTGCCAAAATGTATTGCGCCAGCCCTGGATGGCTCTAACCCTAGAAGCCCCACCTTGTTAAGCTGCCTTCACTCCAAGTTCCCCTCAGTGTCCTACAGCAGGTACCTTCCCATTGCCAGTGAATTAAACCATGGGACTGGTGCTGTTCTGCCAACAGAAGAACAGCCCTGGCTTTCCTAATGGCTCGTCACCTGCCTTTTGTTCTCCTAATGTCTCATCTCCCAGGCAATTACCTCATCAGGAAACTGGCCTGGTTTATATTTTAACATTTGCTGAATCCAGGGATTCAGTGTCTGGCACCCAGAAACTCATAACAACATTGCCAACCTGTCGTACCTTCAATTCCCGTTACCCTCCCTCTTTTACATGCAGAAAGCAGGACAGGTAAGTTATAGTGAAGAGAAGATGGAACTCAGGCTGCTTCAGTGATATCAGAGAACCACAAGAACTTGTTGATACTTCCTTCCAGGAAGAGCAGTGTTACCTCATATGTCCTAAGAGCCATTTTATTTCGTACCCTCTTTTGTGGCAGAGTTTATTTGCATGCATGGTATGGTTTGCCAGTCATAGGTTCCATACTTCATTATATATTTTTTTCAGCTTAAAGAGCAATTCATACCACGATCCATTGGGATGAGTGAGTTTGGATCTCTGGCTCAGTCAGCTTATTCCCAGCATAGCTTGGGCTATGCCAGGCAGAGGGCCTTCTCAGTAGTGGCACCCTCTCTGTGGAACCCTTCAGATGTGATGGAAATAAACAACTATCTGGCTTTTAGAAGACATCTGAAGACAGCCCTGTTTTTAATGTTTGATGTTTTATGGAGTTTTAATTATTCTGCTGGGAGCTGCCCAGAGTGGCTGGGGAAACCCAGCCAGATGGGCAGGGTATGAAGAAGAAGAAGAAAGAAGAAGAAGAAGAAGAAGTTGTTGATGATTCCAGGTCAACAGACATTATGCTGATGTAACTCCCTCTTTCCAGCTCAGCTGGGACTCGGCCACTTCAGCTGAGACTGGTGGGCCTTTTTGCTAGTGTAAGCCCTGAAAAATGGGTATTCTGAGGGAGTGGCAGGACTGGGCATGGGGGGCGGGACTTACTCTGGATCCTGACTTGGTTCAGCTCAGTCATGTGACCTCAAAACAGGGCAGAACCTATGGCAGTGGAAAGGGTGCTGCTAAGTCAAGGTCTGTTTTAAAGGCTTGTTTCAGCCTCCTCTGCCAAACCTAGGCTGCATCAAGCAGCAGTACCTTTCATTCCTGAAAGGAGGTTAAAATAGGGGTAATTTACGCTGGTTTAGCTGAAGACAGCATAAGTTCCGCTGCTTTCTATATACTTATGATCACACTGCAGGACCACTCATCACTTTTGGCAATGCTAATTCGCAGTTAGGGATGCCAGAAGGTATCGGTTTGCATTCCGACCTGAGTTTGTCCCACGCAGACCTCTTATGCTCTGCTGCAGTTCGGCTTCTGACGAAGAGCACGGTCTTTGTCTCCCTGTCCACTGTGGCAGACGTTTACGCAATTAAGCACATAATTAATTGTGTTAGTATTACATCATTCCACACCATTCATTACAGTGCAAATGAAAATCAATGCAACTGGAAAGGGGAATTTGTAATAAATTACAAATTGTTTGAGGACTGAAATAGCAAGAGCAAATGCTGATATTTGCTGAATCGATTTCCATTCCTGACACAGGACAAATAATTTCTGCTCCTGCTTCTGTTGAATTCTCCGACTTCACTAAATGCAGTTGGTGATGCAATACTGATAAGCTTACTCTTAGAATATTTATCTTCCCCAACTAACTAGAAGCGCAACAACTTCAGCTGCTGTTTTGATAAGGCTACACACAGAGAAACACCAGCTTCCCAAAATCTCTCTCCAAGCTTTGGTTGTCACCATGAGATATCTTAAAGCCAAGAGATTTCTCCTTAATCTCAACCCCATCACTCCTTAACTATCTGAGATTGCTAGGCTGTAGCTCTGAGCATTTGCTGTAGCCACAACCTTGCCATCCTCACCAACAGATTAACTCCAACTATGGGAGGTTGGAGAAGAGAACGCCTGTTTTGATCAAAAAGAAGAAAACAGGGGAAACGGCCATTAACAAGACTTTTCCAAGCAAGACCAGGCCATCCATCTTGCGTAAAGAAAGTGGCAGCTGTTATGACAAGTAAGAATCCCTGGAATAGTTAAGACCAGTGCTTTTTTTTCTGGGGGGACGCAGGGGTACACATACCCCTAAACATTTTGTGAATCTTTGTATTTTTGTCCATTTACTGTATTTATTTTTCCCAGTTTGAACTATAAAATAGTGGTCTTCTTGAGTCAAAATTTGAGTACCCCCTAAACATTTTTTATTTCTTTTTAGGAAAAAAGCACTGGTTAAGACAAACTTCTCCACCCTTCCTCCATCAATTTATTTGGACACTTTCTCTGTATTGTTTTTTCGCACTTGCTAAAAGCTAAATTGTTTAGGCAAGCCCACCCAGATATGTAAGAGAGGCATGCAAGGAGGTGGGTGGCAGAATCAACTACCGTTTATATGTATACCTGGATTTATTTTTAAGGTCAGCTTGTTTTTTATTTTTATTGATAACTTTAATGTATATTTTATATTCAGTGTCAGCCTCTTAGACGTTTCTACAATTAAGAGGTATACACATATTAGAAATGAACGACAATTTAATTCTATTGCAACTCATCATCTCCCATATTTATGCAAGTCTGCCAGCTCGGCTGTTCAGACTGGGAGACAGTCGAATTTAGTGGTGATTTCTCATCAATTTGCCTCTGATCTTGTCAATTTCCTCGATCGAAGCAAAATCACTTAAGCAGTATAAGAAGAGGAAAAGCCCTGCTGGATCAAAGGCCATCTAGTCAAGAATATGTTCTCCCAGGGGGCAAAGAAAGATGCTCATGGGAAGCCAATATGCAGAACTTGAACACAGTACCACTTGTCTAAAATCTTGTTCAATGTGAAGAGTGTAAGAAAATATTTCCACTGGTTGGTCTTCCTCTTGCTCCTTTATTGGAGGGACCCAGTCACCAGTGGCAAACTTGGAGAGTAAGGTAGGTAAGGAGGCACCTGGCTTTGGGAAGGAGGCGGGAGGGCTCTGGCAGGGTCCTAGAGCCCTTCCACCTCCTTCCCAAAGCTGACAAAGTGCTAACTAGGCTTTGGGAAGAAGGAAGGAAGACTCTGGAACCCTATCAGAGCCTCACGCCTCCTTCCCAAAGGCCAGTGCCTCACTTACCGGGCTTTGAGATGGTAGCTCCCATTGCGTCTCACCATTCGCAGAGTCCTAAGTCCGCCACTGCAGTCACTCATGGAAGTCTGAGTTAATTAAGCCAATAATAATAATAATAATAATAATAATAAATTTTATTTATATCCTGCCCTCCCCAGCTGAAGCTGGGCTCAGAGCGGCTAACAACAGTAAAATGATACAACATTCTAAAATCATTTCATTATAAAATCAGTTCAAATCAGATTAATGGCAACCATTGGGCTAGAGTTCTGTGAGGATTGCCAAAGGAGGGAGTCAGGCTGCGCCCTGACCAAAGGCCTGGTGGAACAGCTCTGTCTTGCAGGCCCTGTGGAAAGATGTCAAGTCCCACAGGGCCCTGGTCTCTTGAGACAGAGCGTTCCACCAGATCGGAGCCGCAGCCGGAAAAGCCCTGGCTCTGGTTGAGGCCAGCCTAACCTCTCTGTGGCCCGGGAGCTCCAAGATGTTTTTGTTTGAAGACTGTAAGGTCCTCCGTGGGACATACCAGGAGAGGGTACGAGGGTCCTAGGCCGTATATATTTCTCCCGGAGTGGTGGGGTTCGTGCAGTCCTGTGCTTGCTCCCACACCACTTCTGGTAGTCCCTGCAGTTTCCACCCACATAATTAAGAGTTGAGTGCAAGTTTATATCCTCTGCTAGCAATTCATCTCCATGCATTGCCAGCATGCTATGCAACCCATAATCTGTCCCAGGTGGGACCTAGAAACATATTTTTTTTAAAAAACGCTGTGAAAAATGCTTTTTTAAAAACACGTTTTGAAAAATATATGGAACTTGCCATAAGTTCGCCAATCGCCATCTAGGGCTGCATTTGTATAATGCACTCAAAACATTGTATTTGCAGCTGTATGGCTGAGTCCTCTATCACATTGTAGATGGCAGCCCTTCACTGATATTAGGCCTGAAGGAAGGAGGGCCAGATTTAGGTTTGATGAGGCCCTAAGCTACTGAAGGTAACGGGGCCCTTTATATGTCCAGCTGTCCTTTGTCAACAACAAATTGTCACTGGTTTTTTTGTGTTGAATAGATGCTATATGGTAATTTATGGACCTAATACAGGCATGGCCAAACTTGGCCCTCCAGCTGTTTTGGGACTACAACTCCCATCATCCCTAGCTAACAGGACAAGTGGTCAGGGATGATGGGAATTGTAGTCCCAAAACAGCTGGAGGGCTGCGTTTGGCCACCACTGACCTAATAGGTATCTAAAGCCTATACAACCAGTCCATGCAGAATATAGGCACCCTATATATAGAAATGAGCAAACCAGTGATATTTTAGGGAGCAGGCTAGCAGGCGGGGCCCATTACTTACATTAGAGGAGCCTACACAACACAACATGTTATTTGTTTTTTATCTTATATTTTGGAAATGTACATCCAGTATTTTTTTCCTTTAATTTTTTTGGGGCCCTCAAGAGAGTGGGGCCCTAAGCTACAGCTTGTTTAGCTTATACGTAAATCTAGCCCTGGAAGGAAGCAACCATGAATTGATGGCAGCCGTGTTGCTCCAGGTACCATGTAAATGGGGTTGGGGGGTGTCTTTAGGTGGCTTCTAAGTAACCACCATTTCTGCCTTCCACAGTATCTGCACGGAGGATTCCATGACTATTAAAAAGGGCAAGTGAGTATTCCAGACTCTTCTGTCCTGCCTTGACTTGACTCCCAGTCCTTTTATCCTCACCTTCCCTTGTGCATGTCAGGAGCTCGTCCTACACTCGAGTAGGACCCTGGCAGAGACACATGCCCAGCTGGCATGTTCTCTCCCTCCTGGTTGTTCGTTTGGGAGCTTCAAAAGCTTTCTTCGGCCCGAACATCACAGCGACCGATGCCAACAGACACCGGCACACTTAGGGATCCCCAGAGTCTTCGCAGTTTGCGTGACAGACCTCAGCAACTCAGCATTTTGGCTAATCGACTTTATTTACATATAAATACACACGGAGCACTGCAACACTCCCTCTCTCTCTAGCATCAGACAGCAAAGAGAAAGGACAAAGGACAATAGTCCCACTTCACGGAACACAATAACACAAACATCCTGTCTCCGTCACTTCCCACTCTGTGGAGTCATAACATGCACTATCATGTGATGACAAAAATCCCATGACTGCAGTCATGGAGCAGGAATTCTAACAGTGCAGGCTTGTTGGGCCCACCAGCTTTCTTCTGCTCTTCCTTTCTGCCATCTGGTTCTGCCTCTTTCACAGCTTGTCTCACCTTTCATTTCCACAGGAATGCAGGAAAATGCAGCTGTCCCTTCTGGGGATTGAACCCGCAACTTTGGCATTATCAACACCATGCTCTGACCAACTGAGCTATGCCCACCCCACCGTCGTCCCTCAGCGGGCTCGAACCACACTTTACTGAAGCCCAGAGATTCCTAAGGGGAGAAATGGGATTAAATTGTGGTTTTACATTCAGTTCCGTCCTAAAGCTGTGGCAGGAATCATCAATGTGTTGTTCACAGGTGCACAAGCACCCACACAAATAAAATAAATACCAATTATGTTACAACACTGGGTATGTTTCCCAGCCCAATTCAAAGTGCTGGCTTTGACCTATAAAGCTCTTTATTGCTCTAGACACCAACATCTTAGGAAATGCCTCTCCTTATAGGAACACTCTTGGACACTAGATTTTCAACTGAGGTTCTTCTCCATGTCCGCCCTCTGATGGAGGCTCAGAGGGTGGTGACCAGGGAGAGGGCCTTTTTAGTTGTGGCTCCCAATCTGTGGAATGCTTTCCCAAGCGAGGTCCGCCTGGCGCCTTCACTGACATCTTTTTGGCAGTAGGTATAGACTTATCTTCCCCCCACCCCAGACATCTGATAGACTGAGATGATGTTATTGTAGTTACTAGTTTGATTCTGATCCCTCAGGGATCAACAAATGGGTCAAAATTAAGCAAAAATCATTTTAGTAATTCTGCATGTGTTTTGGCAGGAAAGCTAAAGCTATCTACAATTTCCACATAACTGTTTATGAAGGGGAGAATGAAATGGATTCGATGTGTAAGGCGGGACCTAGATGGGAAGGTAATTCATGTGTTCATTTTTCTTTTCTTTATTTTTGATAATTTTATTAGTTTTCAATTGCAATCCAATAATAGCCTCATTATAACGATACCAATTTATAATACAATTATTAATATCAATAGTTCAAATACCGAATTATATAATGTGGATAAGGCGGCCCCCCATGTGCTAGAATTGATTATTTGCTTTATTTCTGCGTTCCAAAATCTTATTAATTTCAATTACACTCCAGTCAAAATAGCAATACAACAACTGCAATATGAATAACTTCTAACCATGTTGACACATTAAATGATTTATAAAACTACAAGTAAGGAACTCGAACTATATCCTCATTCTTCCTGTGTGTGGTAATTATTCTGTGTGTGGTGTTTCTTTCTGTCCTTGTGATATGTTATGTCTTTCTTCCCCCCAGTTGTTGCTTTTCTCCAGGTAATTAATGTGTTCTTGCCCTAATGAGAAATCTGTGTGGCTGAAAAACCTGCAGATTTCCTAACAGAGAAACATTTACTCTTATTTTGATTTATAAACCTACACAGTCCCAAGGACATAGAGTGGGGAATAAATCTCCACCTTTTGTCTCTTTACCCAAATGTGCTTGGAGAGACAGTGACAACATGAAATCAAATCAGAGCTACATTAAAGTGTACGGTGCTTTTATCTTGTTAATTCAAACATCCTGAGATGTGGAGAGCTTCTTGACATCACAAGCTTCAACCATTTTGGTGCCACCATTTTGAAACACAGAACGTACACAGAGTAATAATTGTGTAATTCACAGTAATAATTCTTTCCCCTCTGACCTCACTGTTTACGATTCCCCTCTGCCCCCAAATGCTCTGGGTCTGGATCTGTGTGTATGTACACACACACATTACTGAAACTCAGGAGAGCATTTCATGCGCGTAACCCACAAAAGACTATGCGATAAAGATGTTGGTCTTTATGGTGCTGTAAGACTGGTGATTTCAAGCCCCATTGATTTGGGTGGAGCCTAAACACAACCTGGACTGGATTTAAGCCGCTGCATTTGACTACAGTACAGGTTTTGTGTTCTAATTCAGGGGGGGGGGGCATTGATCCATCTAGCTCATTATTAGCTACCTTGATTGGCGGTGGGTCTCCAGGGATTCAGATGGGTCTCCCAGTCCTGCTTGGTGATGCTGAGATGCTGAACCACTGAACCTGGGGTCTTCTGCATGCAAATACTCTACCACTGAACCGCGACACTGATGGTGCTGTGGTCTAAACCACTGAGCTTCTTGGGCTTGCTGATCGGAAGGTCGGCGGCTTGAATCCCTGCAACGGAGTGAGCTCCTGTTGCTCTGTTCCAGCTCCTGCCAACCTAGCAGTTCGAAAGCACACCAGTGCAAGTAGATAAATAGGTACTGCTGTGGCGGGAAGGTAAACAGTGTTTCCATGCACTCTGGTTTCTGTCACGGTGTTCCGTTGCACCAGAAGTGGTTTAGTCATGCTGGCCACATGACCCGGAAAGCTGTCTGCGGACAAACTCCCTTGGCCTGAAAGCAAGATGAACGCTACAACCCCATAGTTGCCTTTGACTGGACTTAACCGTCCAGGGGTCCTTTAACTTTACCTATTACCTTTTTACTCTACCACTGAGCTACGACCCTTCCCCCAAAGTTTTTTGCCTCTTGTTCTTTTTCACAATCAGTTCCAGAAACCAATGCACTCTCATCCTTACTTTCCAGAGTCTGCATCCTCTTCAGGGCTCTCAAAGGCTTGCACTGTTTTCAGCACACTTAAGTCTGGAATGATTCACACTAGCGATCTCCTCTTGATTTTGCACACCCTGGGCATCCTAGTGACCAATGCTGAAATGCGTCGGACGCTGAGGCATGTCAAGGTGACCGGTATGTGACAACCTTCATCCTCAGATCTGTGGTTTTCCCTGGCAGTTGTTTTACCTTCATTGGATGCAATCTTGGGGAACTCTGATTCCCAGAAGCCCTGTTGAAATCCGACTGCTATATGAAAACAGCTACGTGCCCTGATTTAAGTGGGTCAGATCCAGCTCCTGCATAGTTGAGGGTGGGGTGAACAGACCGAAGGACAATTTGTGTTCCACAAGAACAAGTTTCTTTATACCTTGGCCACCGAGACCATATAATGCCGGTCCTGAAAGACCTACATTGGCTCCCAGTGCGTTTCTGAGTACAATTCAAAGTGTTGGTGGTGACCTTTAAAGCCCTAAACGGCCTTGGCCCAGTATACCTGAAGGAGCGTCTCCACCCCCATCCTTCAGCCCAGACACTGAGGTCCAGCGCCGAGGGCCTTCTGGCGGTTTCCTCACTGCGAGAAGTGAGGGAACAGAGAACCAGGCAGAGGGCCTTCTCGGTAGTGGCACCCGCCCTGTGGAACACCCTCCCATCAGATGTCAAGGAAATAAACTATCTGACTTTAGAAGACATCTGAAGGCAGCCCTGTTTAGGAAGTTTTTAATGTTCGATGTTTTATTCTGTTTTTAATCTGTTGGAAGCCTCCCAGAGTGGCTGGGTGGAGTATAAATAATAAATTATTATTATATAATCATAAGCCTAAGCCGGAAGACTTTACAAATAGCAGGGTGGCAGGTGGAGAAGCAGCTGAGCTGCTAAATGACCTGCAAATCTCCATTTTGAAAGTTCTTTTGCCTCCCAAACTCCATGGAGTGAGGATGTACGGTAAATTAAACTCTCTCCTGAAGGGAGAGTAAACATCCTAAGGCCAATGGCTCAGGATTTCAGTGTTTGATCTAGGGAAGGGTTTGTACCAACACCTGACCAATGAGGAATTTGTCAGCAAATGGCAGAAAACCATGGCTAAAAAATCCACCTCTATTGGTCTGTCACCCCCCCCCCCCACTGTATTACCTGGGTTATGAAGGCGCCCTAAAGATGTTAAAGCAAAGATTATGGGATAATGCACACAGTGACTTGCGATCTCGATCACACGCAGTCTGTAGTCCACTGGCAGTAGGAGTACAAGATGGGCATGTCTTTAAGTTAACATCTTATATTAAAAACCTGACAGTACCAAGTTATCGAAGGCTTTTCACCAAAGCCAGACTAAACGTCTTTCCTTCTGCAGTGTTGGATGGCAGGTTGAGAGGAGTTCCCTACCAGGACAGACTTTGCTCGTGTGCTCAAGACATCAATTCCATAAAACATATTTTGTTGCACTGTGCAAAATATGAGCAAGCCAGGGCTGAACTGATATTACCCTTGCTGGTACCTTTCCTGGGAAAATCAGAGGCTCACTATGTCAGGTTCCTATTGGAAGACCGGACAAATGCTAGAACATTAGCAGTAGCCAAGTTTTTATCGGTGGTTGCAAGAACTAATGATCCCTATATTCTGAACAAATTGCTTGTTTAACCTGGAGGTAGGCTGTATGAATTGTGTATTGCTTTGCAACGATTTGTTGGGTCTCTGGACCGTAATAAAGGTTAATGATGATTTTTTTTGCTAAGGCCAATGGAGGCTGGAAACAGGCTGTGGATTATTTCATATTTTCTAAGTTGTTGAGCCTGTGCTGGACATTGTATGGATATTTTGGGTGTATCTGTGATGCTTCTGTTCCAATTTTAAAGGGTTCTGCAAGTAAAAGTTTGAATAATATTTTTCTGGGCCTGGACAATGTTTTCTTCCAAAAGAGCCAGTTTGTATGCTTCCAGTCACTTCAAACTGCACAGTATTAATTTCTGTAACAGAAACACCTGAATAGTTGCACAAAACTAGGTTTCGATGTGATGCGCCTACACATACTTCAACTCAGCTTCTGTGTCTTTCTCCATTACAGCATCTGGGACTCTGGATTTCTCTGAATTCTTGGAAGTTGTGAACAATACCTCGCCTTTCACAGACACAGAGGGTATGATAAAGGGAAGTGAGGGAGCGAGGGGAAAGATGGCTGCTTTCCTGTTGTTCCTCTGTATATCACTCTTTGTCTGCATTCCTGTCGACTGTTTCTCTTTCCACCCTCATCTCTGAACAAACTAAAAGATTTATCCATTGTTGCAGTTGCTGATGCTGTTTTACAAAAACATACTCTGTGCCAATCTGGGGGTCTGGCCTTTTGGGGGTCGGTTTTATTTCAGTGGCAGAGCTGAAGTTGAAGGCTGAGCTGTGGGTTTGTCCGCCCAACACCAGCTTACCTGGATGGGACTGAATTTAGGTGGGATAGCAGCAAGGTGGGGGTCACCTCAGCAAATTGGTAAGAGCGCCATATTGGCTCCATCGATCTGCCCAGGCAGCCTAAACACCAACATCACCTGGCAATTAAAGGTTGAAGGCAATTTCTTTTTTCTTTTTTCTTTTTTGAATTTGCATTTTATTTATTTGTTAACATTCTTATGTTACATCGGTAAACATTGTCATATTAGATTACAGGACTTACAATAATATAATTTCCAACATGTGTACAAAAATTATATATAAATTTTATATACCTAGAAAGAAAATGAGACAAAAAAAAAAGAAAGAACAAAGACAAAAAACAAAAACAATCCCCCCCAATCATATACCGTATTTTTCGCTCTATAAGACGCACCAGACCACAAGACGCACCTAGTTTTTGGAGGAGGAAAACAAGATAAAAAAATATTCTGAATCTCAGAAGCCAGAACAGCAAGAGGGATCGCTGCGCAGTGAAAGCAGCAATCCCTCTTGCTCTTCTGGCTTCTGGGATAGCTGCGCGGCCTGCATTCGCTCCATAAGACGCACACACATTTCCCCTTACTTTTTAGGAGGGAAAAAGTGAGTCTTATAGAGCAAAAAATACAGTACATACCAACACACTAGACTTCCTGTCTTTCCCGTTGTATATTCCTTTTTTACAAATGAATGTACTCTTATTATTGTATATTTCTTTACATATTATCTAATACATTCCTATATCAATATGTGCTCTTAGTCTTATTTCTCAACTCAGTCTCACTCCAACGTCAATCAAATGCTAGCATAGAGAACCTTTACTGTATTTTTGAAGATATGTTTTATATCTATCCCACTTTTCCATAAATTTTTGTTTTGAATTGCCTCTCAGGCTATTTGTCAACTGCACCATTTCAGCAAATTCTTGTGGCTTGTAATGCCAGTCCGTTATTGTCGGGGCTTCTTGTTCCTAAAGGTTAGAGGTAATTTCAGGCTCAGTAATTGTTGTCCTTTCTCTCCCATGTGCATCCTTTAGATTTCCAGACTATTCTTTGGATTTTCAGGAAAATAAATAAAGGTATGGTGGCCGTTGATGACTTGGAAACAGTCTTGATAGGCCTGGGAGTCAACTTGAACAACAAGGAGATACAACAGGCACTGGGATGCACTGAAGTTAGTGAGTATCACTCTGCAACAAGTTGCAGAAAGGATATTGGACATGGTATTAGCATAATAATAATAATAATTTATTATTTATACCCCGCCCATCTGGCTGGGCTTCCCCAGCCACTCTGGGCGGCTTCCAACAAAATATTAAAATACCATAATGCATCAAACATTAAAAGCTTCCCTAAACAGGGCTGCCTTCAGATGTCTTCTAAAAGTCTGGTAGTAGTTGTTCGCTTTGACATCTGGTGGGAGGGTGTTCCACAGGGAGGGCGCCACTGCCGAGAAGGCCCTCTGTCTGGTTCCCTGTAACCTTACTTCTCGCAATGAGGGAACCACCAGAAGGCCCTCGGCGCTGGACCTCAGTGTCTGGGTAGAACGATGGGGGTGGAGACGCTCCTTCAGAAATACTGGACCGAGGCCGTTTAGGGCTTTAAAGGTCAGCTTCAACACTCTGAATTGTGCTTGGAAACGTACTGGGAGCCAATGTAGGTCTTTCAAGACTGGTGTTATGTGGTCTTGGCAGCCGCTCCCAGTCACCAGTCTAGCTGCCGCATTCTGGATTAGTTGTAGTTTCCAGGTTACCTTCAAAGGTAGCCAAATAAAACTTGTGGAGGTGTCTGTTGGTCATTTATTCATCCAAACTGGTGCTGGAATTGGAAAATTTGGCCAGTTCTCCATTTCTTTTGATGTCAACAGAAGTTCTTGTTTGATGCTTCATAACCAGTTGTGATTCCTCTCCAAGTTCTCTTCTCACTTTTAAACCATGAAAGAAATTCTAGGCTTGGAGGGGTGCCATTCTTGTGTCCCAGCCTTCCCTCTCGCTTTGCCCAACTTTTGAAAATATTTGCTTATTTAAGACACATGCAACAACATGCCTGTCAGGGAACTGCCATCGGAAGGAAGGGAGGTGAAAGGGCTCACACAGGTTGGGAGAGACTCAGCAGCTGAAGAGGGAACCAGTAGGGGGAGAGGAGCTGAGCTGAGGGAAAGTGAGCTGGAGGGATGGCTCAGAGACACTTCCAGCGAAAACAGTGGGGAGGTTTCAGGACCTCCTGTAGGGACACCCACTCCTCGCCGGAAACTGACACGCAGAGAGTCCAGAAGACGTGTTTCCGTTAAGGAGCTTTTATGTTGGAAGCGATTCCGAAAGCAACCACTGTCGGAATCTGCTAGTGACTAGAGGAGCCATGTCTGAGGGGCTCCGTCACAGACAGAGGTTTGTGGACTTGAACAAACTCTGAGGGGATACGATTTTACGCACAAGCAGCTCATCATCCCATCACAGCATTCCGACAGTCTTTGAAAGCAGCTTGTGCAGGAGAAGGCATCATGAGCAACCCAGCCGGAACCGGAGAAGCAGGAGCTGGAGCGGGTCCAAGCCTGGAAGAAAGGTACCGGGTGTTGGAGGTCCAGCTAGCGATGCAGACGGCGAGGCTTGAGGAGAGGAGGGCTCAGGATGCAGACAAAAGGGGAAAGCCACCCAGCTCGCCAGAAAGGTACCAGGATTGGTGCAGAAGTTTGGGGGGGAGCCCAAAGACTATCATGGCTTTCGGACAGAGATGCAATATGCCCTCAATCTGCAGTTTGATGAATTCCTGACGAGGAATCACGAGTGGCTTTCGTGATTGAGCATCTTGAAAAGGGGGCGAGAGACTGGGTTAGACCCTGATGGCAGCGAATAGTGACGTCCTAAAGGACACGATGAAGTTCTTTCGCGCCATGGATCTGATGTTTTCCAGCGATATTGAACAGGGAGTGGTGCGCAGACAGTTAATGGCTTGCAAACAGGGGAGCCGATCTGTCCGTGAGTACTGGACTGAGTTCACCATGCTGGTTCACAGATTGGGGTGGGACTTATCGGCGGAACCCATTCAAATGCTCTTTGAAGAAGGGCTTTCTTCGGCTGTGAAAGACGAACTTTCCCGGGCGCCCAGGGCGGAGTCTATGGACCAGCTGACCAAATCAGCGCTGACCATAGGAGCGCGCCAGGAGGCGAGAGCATTGGAGAGGCGGGAAGGGAAAGGGGAACGTTGGAAGGAGTTCCGCATTCCAGACATTCCAGAGCCAACTTTCCCGCCGGCAGAGCCGATGGAAATCGGAACAGCGCGCGCGCGCAGTTTCAAAGCCCAGTGAGGGGGAAAGAAGGAGGGAAAAGGCGCCCGGAAATGCTATCTCTGCCAACAGCCAGGTCACTTTGCCAGAGTCTGCCCCCAGAGGAAGGAATGGCAAGGGATGGTAGGAGCTGTGGAGGGAAGAGAGGAAGAAATACCGGAGCAAGTAAAGCCAACGCCTGGCTGCCACTGTCGGGGCACAGCAGCCAGGCCAAAGAGCAGTGAGAGTGCCCACGCCAGAACCTCCTAAACCCGCCCTAGTGATAGAAGTGACGCTAGAGCTGCCAAACGGACACCCTCTAAAGATAAAGGCGCTGTTGGACTCAGGCAGCTCCTGCAATTTCATGAGCAAAGAGTTTGCAGCTGAACACCAGATACAGACGATCCTTTAAGCAACCCCTGCAGGTGACCACGATCGATGGCAGGGAGCTGTTGGGAGGAGAAGTCAGCTTGCAGACCGTCCCAATGATAATGAAGGTAGCAAGGCACACCGAACTGATAGCGTTTAATGTGGCCACCTTGGGAGGAGCTCCCATTATATTGGGGATGAGCTGGCTAGCGTTACATGATCCGCTGGTGGGCTGGCATCAGAGAGTGGTTTCTTTTGGTTCAGCACATTGCTTAGAACACTGCAAAGAGGGAAAGGGTTTGGCAGGGGCCCAAGCCACCCTAGCAGGGACTGAAGTAACGGAGAACGTGAAGGTACCACGACAATATGCAGATCTCCGTGACGTCTTCAGCGAAAGGGAAGCTGACCAACTACCCCCGCATAGACCCTTTGACTGTCAAATCAATTTACTCCCTGGGGCACAGCTCCCTGTAGGCAAGCTGTACGCCATGTCAGACAGAGAGATGCAGGAGCTAAGAGAGTTCATTGACAAGAACCTGAAGAGAGGGTTCATCAGAGAGTCCAGGGCGGTGGGGGCAGCCCAGTGTTTTTGTGGATAAAAACACGAACAAGCCGAGGCTGGTGTGTGACTTCAGGGCCTTAAATGCAGTGTCAGAACCAGTGGCCTTCCCTATGCCCAGGATTGACGACATTTTGACAAGGGTGCGGAAGGGAAAGATTTTCACAAAGCTGGACCTAAGGGGGGCGTACAACCTGGTACGAATAAGGAAGGGGGATGAATGGAAAACCACCATGTTCACCCCTTTAGGGGCATTTGAATATTTGGTTATGCCCTTCGGCCTACAAGCAGGCTCCGCAACCTTTCAATCGTTTATGAACCACGTCCTGGGGCCTTTGCTTTACAAGAATTGTGTGGCCCTTTTAGACGACGTGTTGGTGTATTCTGAGAATGAGGAGCAGCATGTGAGAGACGTCAGAGAAGTGTTGAGCAGGCTGCAAGCCAACCAGCTGTGGGTGAAACTGGAGAAGTGTCAGTTTCATACCAAGGAGGTGGAATTCCTGGGGTATCGCCTGTCAGACAAGGGATTGGCCATGGATCCCGGCAAGGTCCAGGCGGTGCTGGAATGGAAAACACCCAAAACAAGGAAGGATGTGCAGAGGTTCCTAGGATTTGGGAACTTCTATCGTAAGTTCATCCGAAACTTTGCCCACCTGACGGCGCCCATTACGGACTGTCTCAGCAGTAAGAAGAAGTTCGTTTGGACTGAGGAGGCGGAGCGAGCATTTGAGGAACTAAAAGGGCCTTCGCCTCGGAACAACAACTCCTGCATGTGGATTTACAAAAACCGATGAGAGTGGAAACTGACGCATCAGACAGAGCGATTGGGGCGGTGCTTCTGCAGCCAGGGAAGGAGGAGTCAGAGTGGAGACCGTGTGCCTTTTTTCGCGAAAGCTGAACAAATCCGAGAGGAACTACACGGTGTATGACCGAGAACTACTAGCCATTCATGAGGCGTTCCGGAGATGGAGGCACCTGCTAATTGGCGCACAACATAAGGTGCAAGTGTGCACTGACCACAAGAACCTAGAGTATTGGAGGACGGCACGAGTGCTCAACCAACGGCAAGTGAGATGGGCCCAGGAGTTCTCCAAATTTAACTTTGAGATTTGTTACGTGCCAGGCCCAGAGAACATTAGGGCGGACGCTCTCTCACGCAAACCTGAATATTTGGAGGGGAGGAGCACCCGAAGAGAGACATGTCATTCCAGAGGACCGCTGGGTGTGTGGGGCGGCATTGGTGGGACAAAGAGAACTGGTAGAGGAAACAGAGAATGATGAATACGCCCAGAATAAGCTCAGAGGTCTTAGGGGTGAGGGAGAGGAACCAAGGGTTTCGAGGAAAGAAATGGAGCTTTGTATTACAAAGGGGCACTGTATATCCCTGAAGGAGACTTAAGGGGAGGGTACTCAAGCAGTTGCACGACAGCCCTACGGCGGGGCATTTTGGACAACACAAAACCATGTGGTTGGTCACCAGGGAATTTTGGTGGCCCAAGGTGAGGGAAGATGTACGTGAGTATGTAAGAGGGTGCGAGCAATGCCAGCGAGCCAAAGGGGAAAGGCGGGCGCCGGCGGGGCTATTAGAACCCTTACCAACCCCAGAACGACCTTGGGAGGCAGTGTCGATAGATTTTATGACTGATCTGCCGAAGTCCAAAGGGAAAACAGCCATCATGGTGGTGGTGGACCTACTAACAAAGATGTGCCACTTTGTAGCTTGCTCGCATGCAGTCACGGCGGAAGAGACAGCGAAGTTATTTGTAGAACACATTTTTAGGTTGCACGGGGTGCCATTGAGGGTGGTCTCAGACCGAGGAAAACAATTTACTTCCAGGTTCTGGAGGAAGCTCATGAGCTTACTGCAGGTGGAGGTCAATTTTTCGACTGCCCGGCACCCTGAAACCAACGGGCAGGCGGAAAGAGCAAACGGTGTCCTCCAGCAATACCTGAGGTGTTATGTCAATGACAGAGAGAATGACTGGGTAGAAAAGTTGGCGCTGGCGGAATTTGCCTACAACAATGCCGAGAATGTGTCCACAGGGATGAGCCCCTTCTTGGCTAATTATGGGTGTCATCCCAGGGCTTTCCCAGGGGGAGATGGGGAGAGATGGAGCGTCCCGGCAGCCGAGCATTTTGTAGAAGAAATGGAAGCAATCCATTGTCAGCTCCAACTCAACTTAGAAAGGGCGAAGGAAGAATACAAGAGGCAAGCAGACAAGAACCGAAGGGAAGGTGAAACCATAAGGGTGGGAGATAGGGTGTGGCTGTCAACCCAAGGGGTGCCGTTCACAGGAGGTTGTAAGAAATTAAGACCCAGGAGGTTGGGTCCCTTTGAGGTCATTCAACAGGTCAACCCAGTGGCTTTCAGGCTCCGGTTACCCAACCACATGAAACTGCACCCAGTATTTCACAGGTCGTTACTGTCACCGTACGAAGGGGGACGAGAAGGGATGGCCACTGGGACCGGTCATAGAAGAAAGAGAATGCAGCAGCCATGTGGCAGAAATCCTCGACGCCAGGTGGAAGGGGAATCAGGTGGAGTATTTGGTAGCGTGGGAAGGAGAACCGGAGTCAGAAAACACTTGGGTAATGGCCGAAGATATCAATGACGAGGTATTGATAGAAACGTTCCATCAAAGGTTCCCAAGGAAACCTCAGCCTGTGGAGAGGTTCCGGAGGGAATACTTTGGGACCACTGATGAGGAGGAGGAGTTGGAAGGCTTCCCGGACTCGGAAGGGGAAGGGGAGATGGACTCTGAGGAGGAGGAGTACTTCGAGACCAGGAACCGCAACAGGTGGAGAGAAGTGTTCGAGACATCGGAAGATGAAGGAAGTTCATTCCGGGTTTTGCCTCCTCACCGCCCGTAGAGGAGGGGGCGAGAGGGGGTGCCGGGGGCCCTGGAGGGGGAGGTGGATGTCAGGGACCTGCCCTCGGAAGGCCGGGAGGTGAAAGGGCTCCCCCCGGGTGGGAGAGACTCAGCAGCGGAAGAGGTACCCAGCAGGGGGAGAGGAGCTGAGCTGAGGGAAAGTGAGCTGGAGGGATGGCTCAGAGACACTTCCAGCGAAAACAGTGGGGAGGTTTCAGGACCTCCTGTAGGGACACCCACTCCTCGCCGGAAACTGACACGCAGAGAGTCCAGAAGACGTGTTTCCGTTAAGGAGCTTTTATGTTGGAAGCGATTCCGAAAGCAACCACTGTCGGAATCTGCTAGTGACTAGAGGAGCCATGTCTGAGGGGCTCCGTCACAGACAGAGGTTTGTGGACTTGAACAAACTCTGAGGGGATACGATTTTACGCACAAGCAGCTCATCATCCCATCACAATGCCCTTCTGCAAAACCATGACGAAGGCAAATAAGTCAACAATTAACCATGGATCACTACATTAAAATAAAATAAAAATAAATGTGCCCTCCAAAATTAATTATTTGAACAATCGTAGGCAAAATTTTAAAGAAACCTTTTATCTCAAAATGTCTTTTTTACATGATAAGCTGAAACAAACTAGACCTTTCTCAGGAAACATACATTAACATACATTTTGTTCCGTTTGTAGAGAATGGGAATGTGGACATTTTGAGCTTCCTTCAGACTGCGTGGGGACTGCAAAGAGGCTTTGAGGAAGAAGGTGGGTTGCCTAGTGCTTTGGCTAAACGATATCATTTTGACATAGTATGGTTTCCATTTATAACTTTTATAGCCAATGATACTGAATTGGGGGGGGGTTGGACTAAATGATCCACAGGGTCCCTTCCAACTCAATAATTCTATGATTGTACATACCTACAATGACTCATGCACTGCTGTGGAGGGGGTATTTGCCTTCCCATCATGGAGTCTCCTTTTGTCTGCCCTAGGACTAATGAGAGCACGGGCCCCCAAGATTTTGACTGCCTGGGGGCCTCCACAGGGTTTCATCTGACACTGCTTGGGGGAGATAGGGTGCATGGGGGAAAACCCAATTGCAGTAGTAGCAGTCCTTGCTCTGGCTTCTCCTAGAACAGGACAATCGAATCTGGCCCACAATATCGATTTAGTTGGCATTTTTATTTTGGTTCTGTGATAGGAATTTTGAAGTCTTAGATATATGTTAAATGTTCATAAGTGTACCAACCAACCAAGCACGTACATAGATCAGCACAGGAAGACCGACCTGAAACCATTTTGATTCCTAAACTGAGCAAATGTTTTCTCTGCAAGGTCAAAGTGGGAAACCTCCCCATTGTCTCTTTCCTCACAAATCCTGTCTTAAGGGCACATTTAAGATATGAATAGGGTGTGAGTCTGTGACATGGCCCGGGAACTAAGTATTTATCATTACAAAAGACTGGCCAGGCTCCCCAGGCAATCCAATCAAGCAAGCAGGGTATCCAGTCAAGTAACCTGCCAGACAGGAGAAAAACAACGATAGGAGAAAAACAACATTCAAATTTCTGTTTTAGACCACCTTTTCTGTGATTTAGGTATGATGTTTCTGGGGGTGGTCTTGATCTACAGGGTGGCAATTTCCAAAGTCTATATAAAGGCTTGGGCACCATTGTTCTGGGTTCCTCCTCTCTCCTGTGTGTGGTGAGTGAGGACCCTGTTGCAACAGATCAATAAAGATCAGGCTTACTAGCTGCTTTACTTCTCAATATTCTCCGGTTGGCCTCTGTTATTTTCTCCTACCAATAGGGAACCTACGTAAGGACTCTATATGGGCTCTAGGATACCCCATAAAGGAAAAAGGGCATGTTTTGTTTACAACAGTTCCCTGCGGCTTGTTCATCCTTCCCATACTTGTTGCTGTTTCCAATAAAGGTGTTGCATGTCTTGGTCTGAGGATCAGCTTTAAAAATCAACATCAAGGGGGTGTTTTGGAAGTCAGAGATGTAATGACATAGCACCATGTTTGTGGAAGCCTTCACGACGAATGATCTTTCTGCTTCTCCCCATCAGGTTTGCAATATGAATGCGACGCCATGGACGCGAGCCCTTTCCGTGATGTGACTGAGCTTGTCAATGCAGACGCTAGATGGAGAAAGAAATACTGCGATGAGGATTTCATCGCTGCCAAGTGCCCCATCCCCCTGATGACATTGTCATGTTCAAATAAAGACCTTGTTTTTGCCCCGCCAAAGAGAAGGTTATCCTGGAAGTCTGACCAGAAGAGGCCCAGCATTGTCATCTCATCAAAAGAGGGAGATAAAGGCAGTGGCATCAAGCTAACAAAATCTCAGTTGGATGCTACTGACCTGAGAAGTACCAGTTCTACATCTTCTGTGCATAACGCAGAGGGGGGAGATAAAGAACATGATGCCATGGAGGTGACAGAGGCACAGACAGGCTCTACTGGCCAGACGGACACCATCCAGGAAGAAGAAGAAGAACAATAACAACAAAAAGAAGTAAAGCCATGACATCATTGAGGAGACAAAGTCCTCGTCAGACTTTAAGCCCTCAAGTAAGGGTGCTTTACATCCTCAAGGCACCTTTCTATCCAAGTGAGTTTAACTGATAAAAGATCTTTGGTTTCCTGTTTGGCAGAAATTCTATTTAGAAAAACTCCCCAAACCAGATATAGTTACTCCTCCTGGTCAAGTACAGGGGAATCTTTGGAGTGTTTCTCATTGCTTCTCTGCGCCAGGCCATGTTATGTGCCGCTGAAGCCTATTTCCAGAATGGAAGCCAGGATCGCATGGGGAGGGGACTCGATGAACGACTCGTTGGCAGACTTGAATAAAGTCTAGCAGACCTGTTTCTCCAAACCATTCTCTTCTGCTTCTTAAAAATAAACAAAAACCTTAGCCTATTTATCGCTGCTGCTGCTGTCATCTTTTTGCAAAGTGCATTAGAAACCAACACAAATCAACATCAAGACAAGTGCCAAGGTTTTTGAAGCCTCTAGATTACATCTCTCTGGTGATCACTCGTAACCGAGTAAGATTGTCTTCCATGATTATGGTCTTAACAGTGAGTCCATAAGTGACTGTGGAGGCCAATCCTTCCATAGTGGGGACATAGGTTTCTGGGCGGGAGGATTTGCAAAAGGTGCCTTCCTCTTAGCTCATTCCTCCCTTTCATCCTGAGTTCCTGCTTCTTCAAAGTCCATGACGCCTTTGGTAGAGGCTATTCTCCAATAGGAGCTGTCTCAGGTCAGTGTTTCCCGGTTGTTGGTGTTTATACTACGTGTTTTTAAGATTTGCCTTGAGGGCATCTTTAAACCTCTAAACCTTTACCTTTACATATTATATTGGGGGCTTTTAACCAGTGAAAGGGGAGATGGGAAAACAAATCACCCCATAGTCCTCTGCCCCCATGTCTCGTCTAAGCAAACCAAGCCAAATGCCCAATACTTCTCTTCTTTCCTTTTAACCACTTCAGCTTACAGGTACCTCTGGTAGAATTGTTACACTGCAACTTGTTATGTACTGAAGTTCTGACCCTGGGCCAACAGGTGGATACTGTAGATAGTTTTCACTCAGGTCCACATATGCAAATAAGGAATTGAAAGTGACATTCAGTGATTGGATAGTTACAGAAAGTTGTTACTGTTGCTTTGTAGTTGAGCTCTATATAAGCAGGTTGGCTGAACCCTTCAGTTCTGTTCTGTTGTGGCCTGTGAATAAACAAGAGCTGCCTGAAGAATCGCTGTGTCGTCTGATATATTCACCCACAACTTAACACAACTGAAGCACAGTTCGCCATTCCCCATAGCTCTGCTGGCCAACAGTTTCTTCCAAGACTATCCCAAACTCTTGGAATATTATAGAATTCTAGAGTTGGAAGGGACCATGAGGGTTGTCTAGTCCAACCCCTGGCAATGCAGGAATCTTTTTGCCCAATGTGGGGCTTGAACCCACAACCCTGAGATTAAGAACCTCATGCTCTACTGACCGAGCTATCCCAATGGATGGCAATGTAAGATCACACTTTTATATTCTGCATTCAGCCCGGATCTGCAGGATCAATTAACATCAGAGCTTAGAAGTCCCAATTCAGCCATGCAAAATATGTGCTGGAAGTGTGTAAAAATGAAATGAATCTGAAAGTAAAGTTGTTGTTGTTGTTTAGTCGTTTAGTCGTGTCCGACTCTTCGTGACCCCCTGGACCAGAGCACGCCAGGCACTCCTGTCTTCCACTGCCTCCCGCAGTTTGGTCAAACTCATGCTGGTACTTCAAGAACACTGTCCAACCATCTCGTCCTCTGTTGTCCCCTTCTCCTCCTTGTGCCCTCCATCTTTCCCAACATCAGGGTCTTTTCCAGGGAGTCTTCTGTTCTCATGCGGTGGCCATGAAGATCCATGAAGATCCCTTCATGGATCACTGCCTTGCTGTGGCAAAGGGGCTTGAATAACTCAAAGAAGCTATGAGCTATGCTGTGCAGGGCCACCCAAGATGGACATGTCATAGTGGAGAGTTTTGACCAAACGTGATCCACCTGGAGCAGGAACTGGCAAGCCACTCCAGTATCCCTGCCAAGAAAACTCCGTGGACAAAGACAACAGGCATATAGATATATAGATATATAGATATATAGATATAGATATAGATATAGATATAGATATAGATATAGATATATGAAATCTACTCACTCTAATTGAATACAACACGGTGGTTAACCCTAGCAAGCCTACTGTGAGGAGACAGCCATGCTGCCCTGATTGTGCAAGTCTTTGCAGGAATCCCCAGCAGCAATCAATCAAGTCAGTCTGGAGGCCACACCTCTCTTGTTAGCATGCAGAGATAAATCAGAAAAAGCCCTAGTGGGAGGTGCAGGCATGATGAGAAATCAGGAAGAGGAAAGTTGAGAGAAGTGGGATAGGAATTGTTGGGGTGTGTTGTATCCCACTCACAGTGTGAATAGTTTTGCAGGAAGAGAAATAAGAAAGCATCCAAAGAAAGGTGAGAGAAATACCAACTAAACATTGGCAAGAAAAACTGGTGGAATATGCTGAAATGGCAAAGTTAACTGAAAGACTTAGAGAAAAGGACAATAGAGATTTTTAAAAGGACTGGGAACCATTTATGTTGTATTTATGGAATCAATGTAAAGAACTGGACTCACTAGTAGGTTTTGAGTAAACACTTAAAATTAACAAAAACAAATACAGAAATTACAAAGGTGATGATAAAATGTTAAGAACACAGCAATACTTATTTTAAAGAATATATTAAGATATAATAAAGCAAGCAGGAGAAGTTACTATGAAAAAAAACTAGAAGGAAAAGTTGAGGGAAGTCGCCAGCGGGGGTGGGGGGAAACTGGGAATTGAATTTGTTGTTAGTTGATATGATGTTCTTATGATAAAAATGTAAAATTTAATAAAAAATATTTTTTAAAAAAACCAAAGTGAGAGGAGAAAGGGGTTGGAAGGGAGAGCCCTCACACTTTGTACAAATATGAAGGCAACAAGAAAAGTAAGAAGTTAGGGGTAGGAAGCAAGATAAAAGACAATTCCAGGGGAGGAATCGATGCTCTGGTAGCAACAACCCCACTCTGTAGACTCTGAAGCACAATGAGGTCTTCTTCCTTGGAGGTTTTCCAACAGAATCTAGACGATCATCCATGATGTTCTTGTTGTCTTGGCCTTCAATGGGTATACACATTATATGGAACTCATAAAGACCCTTCTGGCTCCATGATTCTATAGCTACAGGTTCAGAAAAACATCAGGTAGCTGAGTCTCTCTTTCACCTCCCAACCCAGGATGTTATTTTCTACCACATGGGTCACCTTTTACTCTGTGACATCACTAGATTGGAACCTCTCCATGCAACAGTTGAGGTCAAAGTAGTGGGAGAGAACTTGGTGTGGAGGAGGGCTGCACATCCATCATCAGAGAGCCAATTCCACCAAACTCTCTTGGCCCTCCGATCCCTTTAGTCGGCACCAAACCTAAGACCTTCTTCATGGTGCCAGGAGAAGATCAGAAGAACTTCCCCTTGCTCATGTTGACTATCCTGGCTGTGCTACATCCTTTCCTTTCCATTCTGGCTGCCCAGTCATTTCCAAGAGGTTTGCTAATCCCTGCAACTTCTTGACAAGTGGATTAGCAACAGAGGCATTTTGTGTAAGTATTTCTGTATGCATCTATGAAGGAGCAGATTCGCAGCCTGGGGATACTCCTGGATCCTTTGCTGTCACTCAAGGCCCAAGTGGCCTCTGTGGCCCAGAGTGCCTTCCATCAGCTTCGGCTGGTGGCCCAGCTACGCCCCTATCTGGACAGGGATAGACTAACTACTGTTGTCTATTCTCTGGTAACTTCAATCTTAGATTACAGTGGTACCTCAGGTTAAGTACTTAATTCATTCCGGAGGGCCGTACTTAACCTGAAACTGTTCTTAACCTGAAGCACCACTTTAGCTAATGGGGCCTCCTGCTGCTGCCGCGCCTCCAGAGCCCAATTTCTGTTCTCATCCTGAAGCAAAGTTCTTAACCTGAAGCACTATTTCTGGGTTAGCGGAGTCTGTAACCTGAAGCGTATGTAACCTGAAGCATATGTAACCTGAGGTACCACTGCACTGTAATGCGTTATACGTGGGGCTGCCTCTGAAGACAGTTCAGAAACTTCAGCTAGTGCAGAATTCAGCGGTCAGGTTGCTCACTGGACCAAGATGGTTTGAGCATATTACACCAATCCTGGTGCGGCTGCACTTCCTAACAATTAGTTTCTGGGCCCAATTCAAAGTGCTGGTTTTGACCTACAAAGCCTTAAATGCCTCAGGACCGCAATAGCTCCAGGACCGCTTCTTTCCATATGAACCTACCTGGACCCTGAGATCATCTTCTGAGGCCCTCCTTCATGTGCCTCCTCCTTGAGAGGTCCTGAGGGTGGAACACGAGAACGGGGCCTTCTTTGCAGTGGCTCCCCGTCTGTGGAATGCTCTCCCCAGGGAAGTTCACCTGGCGCCTTCATTATACACCTTTAGGCACCAGGCAAAAATGTTCCTTTTTAACCAGGCCTTTGGTTGATCTGATGGCTATCCTATACCCTTTTAAAATGTGGCTGTTTTGCGGGGGGGGGGGTGTTATTGGGTTATAGTTCTTATTTTGATTTAAAATATTGCGATCTTTTCTGTGAACTGCCCTGAGATCTCCGGGTATAGGCTGGTATAATAAATGAATGAATGAATGAATGAATGAAATCTACTAGGGACGGCCATTGCGGCCAAAGGGCTGGCTGCTAGCAATTTGGCTTCTGTTTATGGATTATGGCTTCTGTTCTATCCAAGGGCGGCCCATCCTGTTGCGCCACCTGAGGTGAAATGGAAAGCTTCCACCCCCTGCCCAAGACTCGGTTACCAGGGTTGAGTGGTGGCGGTGGTGGCTTATGGGTTTGGGTAGCATCTTGTGGGAGATCTGTGAGATCTCGCAGGAACCTGGAAGCCTCTG